TTTTACTATTTACAATATTGTGTGAGAATACATAAAGACCTCAGTGACATGCTGATACCATATTGTAGTGCTGCTTCAGGGCTTTGGATTGAGCACCACATTGTGAGAATCAGAGAAGATATGGTGAAGATACAAGGCTTACAAAATCATGACTCATGCGGACAGTTTTTTGAGCACATATTAAAACTATATAAATCATCATTTATGACACCATAACAATCATGCCACCATTAAATAAATTATAAAGTGGTGTCATTATGTCATTTTAAAACCATATCTAACTATACAAACCAAAAATTTCCATATGTCATGGTTATATTCACCATGAAAGCCACCCCCCCTGCTCAGAGGGATAATATCCTCTCTCTTTCCTATTCTGGCCTCTCTGCTTGTCAAATTTCCTCTAGAACTGGAGTATCCAAGTCCACTGTGGCCAAGTTCATCAAAGAAAGTCACACAGACAAGGAAAACTTCTGTGAAGGGCATCCATCCAAGCTCACCTCTACTGATAGGAGGGCTATTATTCAACATATCACTACAGGAAAGGCTGATAATGCTGTCCAGGTCACCTATTACATCAATTCCACCATCACATTCCCTGTCTCTTCACACACTGTGAGAAACATTCTCAAGACAGCTCATCTCAGGTCAGTAACAAGGAAGAAAAGGCTCTCCTCTCTATCACACATATGCAGAGAGGACTAGCACCCTTCTTGTTTCACATATATACCTTGCCATCTGACCCAATCCTATTTATTGTGGTCTTATATGATCATATAACATGCTTCCAGTCCATGTAATCAAATTCTGATGGGCTAAGGCAAAGGTTAGTCCTCTCTGCATATGTGTGATAGAGAGGAGAGCCTTTTCTTCCTTGTTACTGACCTGAGATGAGCTGTCTTGAGAATGTTTCTCACAGTGTGTGAAGAGACAGGGAATGTGATGGTGGAATTGATGTAATAGGTGGCCTGGACAGCATTATCAGCCTTTCCTGTAGTGATATGTTGAATAATAGCCCTCCTATCAGTAGAGGTGAGCTTGGATGGATGCCCTTCACAGAAGTTTTCCTTGTCTGTGTGACTTTCTTTGATGAACTTGGCCACAGTGGACTTGGATACTCCAGTTCTAGAGGAAATTTGACAAGCAGAGAGGCCAGAATAGGAAAGAGAGAGGATATTATCCCTCTGAGCAGGGGGGGTGGCTTTCATGGTGAATATAACCATGACATATGGAAATTTTTGGTTTGTATAGTTAGATATGGTTTTAAAATGACATAATGACACCACTTTATAATTTATTTAATGGTGGCATGATTGTTATGGTGTCATAAATGATGATTTATATAGTTTTAATATGTGCTCAAAAAACTGTCCGCATGAGTCATGATTTTGTAAGCCTTGTATCTTCACCATATCTTCTCTGATTCTCACAATGTGGTGCTCAATCCAAAGCCCTGAAGCAGCACTACAATATGGTATCAGCATGTCACTGAGGTCTTTATGTATTCTCACACAATATTGTAAATAGTAAAAAATGCAAAAACATGTGGACAGTTTTTTGAGCCATTGTATGAGTCTTGAAAAATTGAAAGATCTCATTGGTGAGTGGCAATTGTGTATATGAAAAATTCCTTTCCCCAATGATGCTAACTGAAGCTGGAATCAATGTGAAGCTTATGGCGGAGGAAGTCAAATATCTTGAGGAAGAGTACAAATCCACTGCTGTGATTGGTCACTCCTGAGTAATTGAAGGTACAACTCTGACAAACATCCATTGGTCTTCATTTGCTATCTGTTTTAAAACATGTGATAGATGGATAAGACAAAATAAAACTCCTAGGCACCGAAAGGCAACCTGGATGTAAATGCTGATGGTGACTGGCCGGCATGATAAAGACCCAAACATGGGTACTCCTGAATACATCAATTCTAGTCTACATTCACCAAAAGGATATCATGCATGTCTCATGGCCAGGGCGGTGTTATGCACCATCTATGAAATTCCCTAAGCTGTCACAGTGACCCTGGTCAAGTCTTACCCCCATGTCCCATGACATGAAAGATCGACACTCAAATCGGTGAAATTGCAAAACAATGGAGTTCTTATATACAGTAAGTACTACTGTGTATTTTTCTGTGACTGATACTGAATGCTGTATAAAATGCATACCTGATTCAGGTACTCCTGGTGGCTTCATCTCTAAACAACTTGAAATTCATGTCCGATGGAAGTGCATCCAGGATGAAGTCCACTACATTTCTCCTGTGCTTCCCCAGCCATGCGAGACAACTGATGATGGCCATCTCATCTACCCATTCTTTAGTGATCTCATCCAGAGCGTCCTTCCCCAACTGGTACTCTGAGAGCTCTGCTCACAAGAATGTCCTCATCTCCTTCATCAGCAAGTCTGAATGCACCCTTGGCATGTTGTTAATGAGCTGTGCCTCGGGCCTCTTGTGCAGCAGCAAAGAGTACGGTTTCAGCAGGATTCCTGACATTGCCAGGTCGTCAAGACTTTGAATTATGAAAGCCATTAACTCATAGTAGCATTGACTGATGGGCCCGGTGGTCAGCCCAGCCATGCCACATATTTTTCGCAGAGCATATGCCCTGTTATAATGAGAAGAGAATCCCAATGGTGAAATTTTCACAATAAATCCATCTGCTGGCGTGCCTTTCTTGAATAGTCTTGACAAGATCTTTAGGGTCTCTGGGCTGCTATGCAAGAGCACATGCCACACTCCAGGGCTGCATGATGCACATTGCAGAAAGCTCAACACAGCAACATCACATTGGAGCACTTCCAAAGTCCCTTCACCTCCAGACATCACCAAACCCCGTTTTCTCATGTACAGTATCATCATTTGGAAGAGCTGAGAAGACAATTCACAAGGAATAGAGGAACGTAAAGGGGCAGGATTGACACCCTCAGCAAAGGACACCCCATCCTCCATGTCTCCCCTGCATGCCTCAAAAGTCCTGTGAACCTTTCGGCTGATTTCATGTGCAAATGAAGTGGGTTTTGCTTTCGTCATGATCTTCAGGATAAAATGTGCCCTATCATATGCAGAAGGGAATTGCTTGCGTCCCAAACATATCTGCATGAGAATCACATAGAGCACTAAATCACTGAGTGAAAAGGGGTCGAAATCCTTGTGAGGGGCAGGAGATTATCCTGATGAGTGAAGGGTGGACACTTCTTTCCTCATGCTGGCAGTCAAACGTGCAATGAGCGAAATGACCAGATGGCTCGATGGAAAATTACTCTGAAATGCATGTGCAGTATGAAGCATCCTTGTCCCTGACCAGAAGGTCAAAAAGCCCATCTCCTCCAGGTTGAATAATACAACAGAATTGAGCTCCAATGTTTGGGACTGAGTTAGCTTTGTGATTTTGAACACAAAGCTATTGATTTTCCTCTTCCATAAGGACCTCAGGTGTGCAGAGAGGTCTTCTCTACCAGTGTAGATTGGAGTTGGTGGGGCTGGATTCACATTGAGCAAGGAGCTCTTGAGTGAGCACGGTCTTGGGTATCATTTTGTTTCTGGCTGCAGCCATGTGTTGCACAAGACAACAGCAATGTGAGGGCTGAGCATGAATATGCGATGCAGGGTAGGGCAGCTACTTGCAGAACCTTCTGACAAACTGAATGCATTGTGCATGAGTATAAATTCTTCCCCCCTGAACACCTGCAATCTTCGTGTGGGCTCACCATTTTGAGGTTTGGTAATTCCTGCAACATCGTGACATTCTTTAAGACTGAAATGTATAGATGAGAGGAACTGAGTAGTGAGCATATATATATAAGTACCTGCAGCGCACTTTTCAGCCAGATGGCCAGTACTTGTTCCTGGAAGCAAAGGATTTATGCTTGTCCATCCATGTATGGAAATCCCTAAGCAGTAAAATTTGAATTTTCAGAATTTGCCGGTCAGTGTCTGTGTCACTGTGAAACCATCTCTTATCTACAACCAAGGATTCACACTGCTGATTTTTGTGACAAGGCTAAAATATGACCCCTCGGATTCCTTCAGCACCACATTGCCATAGAACTTCCAAGAGACACAAGCCTGACTATGCTGGTTTGGTGGATAAGCATGGACTCAGACTCACCCAATGATAAGATGTGATAGATCAATCGATCAGTGCTCAGTGCCTGTTACCCACAGGGGGTTTCACATTTGGACATACATCCATTCATTGGGCGTGGAGATGGTAATGGTTGTTCGAATGGCAACATTCAGCTTAAGTGCAAGGTGAGTCAGACTTTAAATAAACATCAAATATTTGCAGACAAACATTTTCAAATTCTTGCCCCCAGTCCATTTGCAATCAACAATGATATCACGTGAACAGTTTGAAGTTACTGCAAAAGAAAGCTGCAAAAGGGAACATCTTCACACGACAAAGATTCTTGCCTGAGGGCAAAATGCTCAGACCAACATGAATTTGTGAAGGTGAGTGAGCATAGAGATGTCATGCATTAACAAGAAAAGACAGTGAGGACAGAATGTAATATCAGAAGATAACATTGGGGAGTGGCTGACACACACACTGAAGCATTGGCCAATGTTGGAAATTTGCGAAATCTATTCCAATGCTTCGTTGTTGAGATGTCATTGAGATGGTGTTGAAATTTGTATTGTCATGATCATGTAAGATTGATTGCTGAGTTTCAATGTATCGCAATGTGATTGCGAAGTGCTTGCAATGTGTCCTTACCTCTGTTTGTGCTCTCATCATCTGTATTCCTCAATTTCTTTGCTCACATCAATTCTGTAGATACCTCATATATATCTTTCAACATCATGGGCTCCAACAGGGCCAAATTCTGCGATCTGTGTGAACAGAGCATTAAACCATGTGGCTGGGTCACTCACCAGAAAGCCTGCAAGAAGAACTCCCAGAAATGAGCCCAGGATCAGCACATTGCAGACTCAATTAGGCAGTGAAAAGGTGCATTGTTTGAATACTCCAATTTAGTTTCATATCCTGACTAAATGCAGCAGGTCTTCTTGGTCCTGGTTCCAATGGTACTGCTGTCAATGCGGTGGTGGGTCACAGTTTCAATCTGCAGCTTGAGACACAGGGTAAGTTTTGCTGTTTATTATTCTTTCAATGCATTGTGTCATTAATTTTACTTATTTGTTCATCAATAGTCCAGCGAGACCCTTCAGCATCAAGTTTCCATGATGTCAATAATCCGGGCCCTTATTTTGGTGAGTTTGATTATTTCTTTGGATGTTTTGTTGTATATCATTAATATGGATTTCAGACAAGCAACCGGCTATCCCTGATGATGACAGGGACCTTCAGTATTGCAAATATCAGCTTGATGACATCAAGGTCGAGCACCATCCCAAGAGTGGGATCCCAACCAAAATCTTTGCTTTCAGTGATTTCATGTGTCACCCTGCACATTATTCCTCATGGTCTGCTCCAGAACCTAATGCAAAGCCTTGGCATCCTTTCAGGTTTCATTTGGAGTTCGACATTGCCAAAATCGCCCTCGAAGCGGCGCTCAATAATGAGCAAACGGACTGTCTCATTGATATATGCCATCACTGCACAGTGCAGTCGGAGAAATTCATGTTCAAGAACCACAAGGACATTTGCGCCAAGTGGGATGCAGTTTCTCAGCGCCTTACAGGGGTTGTTTTGCCCATTGTTGTATGATTCTCATTGGACTAATGTTTGAGCTTAGTTTACAAAGGATGTGATTTCGATACCCTTCGCAGATAAAACATGGGACTTTGATGTCTACTATTGCAATCTTTGGGAGTGGGCTACTGACCTCCTCCGTGATCCTCATCTGTTTCCTTATTTTCATTTTGATGCCCAGCGCTTGGTGAAGTTCAACCACCAGTCTTTCGAACGATTTGTAGACGATCCTTTTACTGCTCAAGACTTTTGGGATGCTCAAGTATGTACCATTCATATATGTTGTATGGTAATCTTGATGGAATCTCAATGTAATTTGTAGTTGCAGCTGCCACATAGTGCTAAGCCCCTTGCCTTCATATTGCATGCTGACAAAACAAAACTATCTAGTTTTGGAACTGCAAAAGGCTATCCCATTGTTGCTCGATTAGCAAACTTACCCACCCACATTCGCAACAGTCAAGGAATGGGTGGCGGTTACATTGTTGGGTGGCTTCCTGTGGTATTACAATATGTACAATGTCACGCACATCACTTCATACTAATTCTATTCATAGGTGAAGGAAGATAAAGCCCATGCCAGCAAGCTGGCATGGGCTAACTTCAAGGCCACAGTATGGCATAAATCCTTTGAAAGGATACTGTCTTCGCTCGCTGCAAAATCAAAAACTGGTCAATGGTTGGAGTGTCTAGATATTGTTCAGCACTGGTTTTTCCTGCTAATACTCATTTTATCTTCCGATTTTGAGGAACAGTGAGCTTCAAACTTTTGGACTGACGTTTCACTAACTTACCATGTTTTAAGGTCAACAATGGCGCTTACTCACAGTGTTAGGGCCTTATGGCCATACCCAGTCTGTCTTGTTCCCCATGATAAACTTTCTGATATGTTGCACTGCTATCCACAGCGCACATCTCATGACTCAGAGGCTATTCTAGCAACCACACGAGAAAGGGAGACTGCAGAAGAGAGGGAGGAGGTATTGAAAGACTATGGACTTTGTGATGTCATTGTGAGCTTATCTTTACTCTCGTGCTACATTGTTTTAATGTTGTCTTAGAATTCATTTTCAACAGTGTCCTCTACAGATGTGCATCACGCATTGTCTTGGGACAAATTGCACTTTCACTCTGGCAGTCTATGGTCTGATCATTTATGGGTCGAGCTTCAGAAGTATATAAATAGTCTCAGATGAGAGAAAACATCTCAAGTAGACAAGAGGTAGGTCATTTATAATTCATTTTGACTCGAATTGACATGAATTTACACAGTTATCAAGCATTTCTCCACTGGTGAGACCAAAAACATCCAAACCAGGTCATGAATATCTCATTTACTGACAACTCCATGCATGAAGACATTTCGAAGGTTCTTAATTTCTTTCACTCTACCTCACATCTACTAAAATATCACTACCAGATGATAGTATATGCGACCCACAATATATTGACAGAAGCATACTGTCCTCTTGGTTACCTGCTTCTTCGTTGTGTCTGACTTTACCTCGAACTCAATATGTATGCCTCACTCGAAGTTCACATGATGGAGACCATTAGCAGTGGCCAACACACACCTTGCATTTGTGGCTCTTTTGTGGGTATGTTTCATATACTATTTACTGCTTCCAATAGGTAACTAATTCCTATTAGCAATACATTAACAAAACAGTTGAGAGTGACAAGAACTGGAATTTCCCGAAGTTGCACATGGGCTTGCACATTTTCAATGATGTCAAGGCAAAAGGAGCAACATGCAACTATAATACCAAGCTGAATGAGAAGATGCATGGCTCATTAAAGGACTCATATTTGCTGTGCACGAACTTTCGTGATGTAGCAGAACAGGTGCATTTCAATTTTAAAAAAATGATCTATTATAATACCACAACTTGATTCAACTTTGACAGATCCTCTGTATCAATATGTGGCAGGTGGCTGCAGATCATATATGCCACCACTTATTTGAATTCGACGATCATCAATGCCAATTGGATGAAGAAGACTTCCTTGCCACTGTCGTTGAGCGCCCTGTCTCGATGAGTAACTCCTTTCACGTGAAACTCGGATCGAAGCAACCTCTGCTGACCTTTGATGCAATTCAGATGGCTCATCAAGCAGACCAAGCCTTCATTAATTTCTGTGTCAAGCTCAATGATTTTCTCAATGTTCTTTTACCCTCATTGAGCATTCCGTTGCCTGAAGGCAAATGTATTCATCTCCAAGGAACTGATGAGGTATGTTTGCCTCAGTTCATTTTTTGCTGTGCTGACATACTACACACAGATTACAGAGCACCACTTTATTCGCATCAACTATGAATCAATGGTCGATTGGCGTCAAAATACAGACTATCTTTGTTCCAACCCTCATTTCTTCGGTTCACCATGCTTCAACTGCGTCTTCATTCGGTTGACTGAGAATAAAGTCATTTTTGGCTGGCTGGTCTTCTGTTTCGAATGTCTGGTTGGGAATAACACATTTCCCCTAGCCCTTGTTCACCCTTTTGATGTTCCTACTGGTTTGCGCACTTGAAAGGACAAGGATCTCAACCTTTACAGAGTTCACACAAGACCACAAGCACAGGCACAGTTTTTTCCTGTTAGATCATTCATACACGGGGCCCTTCTGATAGCAGATGGACCTTCTGATTATCTCATAGTTGATACTGCAGATACTGACATGTTTCTTCACATAAAGATGATGCATCTGGAGGCAGGGCACATCGTGTGCATTTGATTATTTGTCTTAATGAGAACCTTTTTGCTTCATTGGCCACCATCATGGACACCTTTAGTTCTCAACTTTAACTTAATCTAACTAATTCTTTCAATCCTACTAGATATTTCATTACCAGATTGTAAGGTACATGCTATTGACTTTCATTCATATGTCACAGAACACTGATTATACTAGTAGTGCAGCTCCCTGGACCCCTGCCTCAATTACTATGGCACCCCACACAAACCAGCCTCCATGATCGGGTTCAGCTTAAAAGGCTGTACCACAGCATATCCACCCTAGAAAAAAAGATATTAAATGAGGACCCCGATGATCTCATAGATGAAGAGCGCGCCATTCTCCAAGGATTCAGACAAGGACATGAAGTTAGCGACGAAGACCTCCAGCAGCAAAAATGGACAAAGCTGATCTCAGACCATGAATGGCAAGTCATTCTCCGGTTTTCATCATATCATTGATTGAATGGGTATTACAGACTTGCTGAGATAATGCATAATCTGATGGAGATCTCCCTCACACTGAGCATTCCAGCTTCCCTCCAAATAATCCCAACCAAGTACAATATCATCATTCATATCTGGACCCACACATTCCACAAACTCCTGGAGGCCTTAGGTGAGCCTCGTTTTTCTCACCCTCACTCTTGAACACCTCCAAGACTTTATATATTATGCCTACACCTTCTACACCTGCCTTCTAGAGGAGCCATCTTTGCATTTGTTCTGATCAGGCTGGCTCAAGGCTCATGGCAATCTTGTGCAAAATGGACGAAGCTAATCTCAGACCATTAATGGCAAGTCGCTCTCTGGTTTTCATCATGATATCATTGACTTAATGTGTGCAGACTCACTGATATAATACATAATAAGCTGATGGAGATCTTTCTCGCACTGAGCATTCCAGCTTCCCTCCAGGTAATCCCAACCAAGTACAATATCATCATTCGTCTTTGGATGCATGCATTCTGCAAACTCCTCAACCTCTTGTGAGTCAACTCTCCCCATCTGGTCATCAACTGCGCACCTGAACTATTCATCCTTCTACACAGCATGCTATTCACTAACATCCAACTTGACAACTTTTCACCAACCCTCACTCGCTTCATCAAGCACATCGAAATCGAGGGAGCCGAGGAACACAAGTGGATTATGATGGCAGGCACAGGTGGTCCAGCTGTAAAAGTTGCCAAGAAGTGTCAAGTTGCGCCCACATTCTGCAACAAAGACAGCAAAGAGAAATGGATGGACGTGGATGATGAAGGCACCTCACAAGCATCTCTAGCTCTATTGGATGCAAACACGCCTGCAGAGTTTCCGGTGTCATTCAAACTGGCATTGGAACTTGCATTTTCGATGCTCTCATTCATTCTCCACAATCCAACGCAGAAGGCCTCACCTTTTGCTCATTCTACTCTCAATCCTTATATCTCGGTCATGCTCACCTTCTTGTCTACCATCACAAAACATGCAGAGATGCTTTCTGTAATGGAACGTTCAATACCTTGGCATGATCTTGCGCAGTTTTTTGCCAACCCTCCCCCCCCCCCCACGATATCTTTACCACACAGGGATTGGTCATCCCAACTGCTGGCCGTGAGTGGTGGTCAATGCTGATGAGTGGTTGTGCCCCACCTCTCTCCAAAGACTGGTGCCTTAGTGGGATGGAGTGGATCGGTCGAAAAGTCTTCGAGCGTGGATACTGGAAGAGCGGAGAGGAGAGACGGATGTCAATGGAGGTGGAGATCCTGGATGTGGAAGAAGGTGGTCAACTCACTGATGGGATTATTGAAGATGAAGATGATGAAGAGGATGGCCACTCCCATGTCAATGGGGAGAGCTTGCATGGGGAGACAAGCAAGAGATGGAACCATCTTGTGTGCTGTCACAGACAGGAAGTATGTGGGTTGAAATGGGCGAGAGATGGCAGGCCAGCAAGTGGGGGGAACAACAACAAAGTGTGTATATGGGATCTACAAGGTTCAAAACGTGCCTCTGTTACTGAAGTTCAACATCAGGATCAGGGAGTGTGGAGGGTGCAGGAGGGAGCGGAAGTGGAGACATGCCACTCTGGAAATTCCACCAACACACAGCAGCAGTGAGTAGCCTTTCTTTGGTGTTATTCGGCTGGTGATAAATTGCTCAGGTGCTGGTGTTGTCAAGTTCAATGGTGCTAGAATTAGACACTGATGTATGTTCCTAGGTGAGACCATCGTAACAGGTGCTGGAGATGAGACACTTAGGTTCTGGAATGCATTTCTGAAGAAAGAGGGTGGAGAGAAATGGGAGACAAGGTTGGATTATGGGAGGCTTATCAGGTGATCTCACTGCTCAAGGTTATTAGGGGATCCTGAAATACACATGGCAGTTTCCTGAACCACACATGGCAGATTCCCAGACTACGCACCACATCCAGGGAACTCGGTGGACATTGCACACTGCGTTTGGCATAGATGCTGCTCAGGGCATCTGTCATGATTGCTGCACTCCCAACATCACACTCTCATCTATACACCCAATTCAATGCTTCTTGTAGAGCTATCTGTTTGCTTTTCTCATTTCATTGCTATACTATGGGTGTGTGACACAAGACCTCATCTCAGTTATATGCTACACCACCACATGCGCAGCTCCTTTCATAAGGACTTCATCAATCAGCAAACATTGCTTGTTCTCCATGAACTAAACACTTCTTATCAACCACTACACCAAACCACTTTTTTTACCAGCCACCAACAAAATCTTTGAAGCACACACAGAACTTATCAAGAAATGTACCTTCTCAACTGATGCACATGTGATATAAAAGGCTCTGGTCGTGGTTCGCTGCTGTTGATACAGACCGATTGGGCACGATCACTGCTGTTGAGCTTGGTGTGTCTTTTCAGAGTGACATGAGGGTTTTTGCTGATTGTGATCTGTTCAGGATCATTGGTGATTAGAGAGAGCATTGATCAATGGGGACTGGACTCGTGAGTTTTTTGCTTGACTTTTTGAGTTTGGATAAGAGCTGATGGTGGTGGTGTAGCATTTGATTTGGACACTGAAGCTCCTTATGAGCATGTTTGTGAGTCTCTTCCTTCTGACCATACTTCTTTGGTTGATTGTTCATCGGCTGTGACAGGATGTCAATCGTGATGACTCTGTGGACATTGATGTCGATGATGAAGATGCCGAGTCTAAGGAAACGTCAGAACAGAGTGAAGAGGATGAAAATGACCATGAGGAAGTCAAGGATCTCAAGGTGAGTTGCCTCATTGGTGAATTTTGGATGGTATTTGATGACGTGAACAGGCATGCTGGAGGTACTTGCAATCACTTCTCGTTTCAGGTCAGTGCGCACCTGCCCACATGCCCAAACAGCGGTCTCATCCAGCCTGTTCCCAGAAAATTGTGTCAATGCCATCTTTGGACATTGTGGCAGGTTATACTATTCTTGTGCTGGACACCAACATCATTTTATCTTCCTTATCGGCCGTTGCATCCATCATTGAAAGTCTCCGATGGACCATTGTCCTACCAGTTCCGGTTATCATGGAGCTTGACGGCCTATCCTCAAATCCATCTCAGCTTGGCAAAGCTGCTCAAGAGGCCATTGCCTACATAACCTTGCACATCCACTCACACCCAGATGTCACTGAGTGTACGAACCAAACAGGTTGATCTCATCAATGAAGACTCGTGGGATCACTGCATGGACAATTTGATTCTCAAAGCCACAATCTGGCAAGATGAGTATGGGGTGGACTGCTCTGCACTATTAAAGAATATGCCACCTGTGCAAGATGATGCCAATGCCATCAAGGTGGTGTTACTGTCTCTAGATCGTCTCTGTAAGTCCTTAACTTTTTGATGTCGCCCACAATGGCTCATTTTTACGCAGTCCATTTGAAAGCCCATTCACACCAACTTGCAGCAGCTGGCGAGAAAGATCTTGCTGCTATACTCGCATCTGGAACGTAATGCATGCTTGCAGCTTCATGAGATTGATTTTGTACATTTCCTAACATTGAGTGCACCTCTTATGCATGGCAGAATGTCTATCAGCGGTGGTTGGGCTGAAGTTACTTGTGGCAGGCTATCCTGCTCTTGTACTAGACCCTGATGATATCCCATCATCTAGGAGCTCAAAATGTAATATTCCAGCCCATGATTTAGACATTACATGCTGATTATTACTTCACAGTGTTGATTTCATTTGTTGTATTAAATTATCAAAGGTCACCTCCAGGCTATCACACCTTCCTTCATAACCAATAGTCAGAGCATAGGCACATTTTTCTTGGCACTGCTGATACATTGCTGCAACTTCAGTTGCATCAAGCATGAGGCAGGACAATTTACCTTATATACAGTGCTGTCATGCTGACCATTTCTCATCTCCTTGTATCTTTTTAGCACCTTGGACCATGTCTCATTTCTCTCAAAACACGTCTGACTCAGATGATGAATGGGACATGGAGCCTATTGTTGAATCTGTTGCAATTCCGGGGCCAAACACCTTGAAGGGAGACTTCATGGACGTAAGTTTTAGATGTTAAGATCAATTTACCTATCTAACTCTACTCTTACTCTAGGCACTCAAGGCGCTGCAAATCCAGGTTCAGAAGCTCGCTGAGGAAAATTGCACTCTTCACAAGGAGAACAAGGTTCTTGTTGCTGAGAAGCCTAAATGCAAACATCGTGCAGAGGCTCCCAATGAACTCCTGGCCCATGAGCAAACCATCATGCTTTATGCCCATAAATACAGCATGACTGTTGAAATGTTCCCTAACGCTGACCTTTTCAGCAAACAACGTCCCAAGAATCCAACTCCATTCAACAGCTGAGACCAGTATTTGACGGCAATGACCCAGGAATCAGTGTTTTTAGATGAACTATTTCAGCACTTTCCTGATTGTTTACATGACATTATGGAAAGTTCATACTTCAGTGATCTCATACGTATTACATGTTTCAATACTATTTGTTAAACTAACAATCATCCTCCAGGTAATGAAGTCCATTTCCGAGGCTCGCTCATCGGAAATCAACAAACTGTGTAGTGTTGCGGGCAATATATTCGACCTTCCAGGAGTATACTTCAGCAATACCCAGTACCGCAGAGCCAATGTCGCCAAAATACAGAAAATGCTTGGAGTGTCAGCGGCGAATCCAAAGTACAAGACATTTCTGCCAGTCCTGTTCCTTGGAATGCAAGAGGACCCTACCTTGAAGACTGTGTTCGGAAACTGGGAACTTTTGGCTAAGGTATGTGTTTCTTTCGGTCAATGAGTGTGTCATAGTGACATTGATATATCTCTGAATAGATTCTGAAGGCCACACTTCACGGTGTTGCTTCGCTTCACCAAGAGACCACTGGTGGACCAAAGACCAACACCCGGAAATGGAACCTCAAGCACATTACGCCAGGGTCTATTGCATGGGCTGCTGTCATTGTAAGTTTTTATCTACACTATGTTGAATGTTCTCACTCAGTCGATACTATTGCAGGCAATCTTTTTGCTATCACCCGATACCGAATTTCAGAAGTTGGGCACAGGAAAGTCCTCCAGCATCAACTACAAGGACCTTTTCTTTCACTACAAGAAACTCTTGCTCACCAAGTGGGACAGCTGCTGCATCCAGACCATTGTGCAAAACATTGACCAAGAAGTTTTCGGTGCCATGAAATCATCTGCTTCTGCAGCCACTCAAGAAGATCACTCCAGCAAAGTCATTCACACAATGAACACACTCGATATTGATAGCAACAACAAGTCAGACATCTCTGAACCTACTCCAATGTCTTCTGCAGTCCAGAGTACCACTGCCTTTCATTCCAACACTGTTGAGGTGGCACAGCCTCCTGCCACTCTCAGCACTGTTTCATCACTCAGTACTACTTCTACTCTCAGTGCTACTTTCCGAGCTACTGTTCAGGGTGATGCAGCAGTTTCAGCAGCTACTAATACAGCTGTAGTACAGGATGCAGATGTGGAACAGCCACCAGCTCGAGGGAGAGGGAGAGGAAGGGCTAGGGCAAAGAAGCCTGCAGCTACAGGTGTTTGACACAGTACTCGTGCTGCTTAGGATACTATTAGTAGATATACTAGTCTTTTTTTCATTTCATATGTAATGTTACATCTTTGATTCGCCTTTCACGTGCACCAAATCTTATTAGTCTATGCTACTTGCTATTGCCTTATAGGTAGCCAAAAACGATGGTTCAAATACAATCAAGTTACCCTATATAAAAAGACCCTTTAGCCTAACAATTTTGTCATGGTAAGTCCTAAGTATCACGTGACCTTAAGCTTAAGCTAATAACTACTACACAGTCGAGCATTCGAAACCTACCAAGTACAGACTATATAATAGACAAGGTAAGCATTAACACAAACCAGATAAGATAGTAAACTAACTAACATAACATAACAGGACCTAATAAGCATGAGCTAAAAGATAAGATAGCAACGTAGCAAAGGTGATAACAGTAAGCAATACAAACACAATACAATATAACTAACTAATAAGCATAGGGCAATAGAAACCAAAAGATAAGATGGCAACGTAGCAAATAGAAAAAGGGGCTTGTAAGATAAGGTCCAGTATTCCAAGAAGTGGTGACACAGGGGCATCATTACAACTGATTGCTGTACAAACAGTCCATTACAATGATTAATATTGATTTAAACCTATTTCAATTACCATTACAATTGGCATTGCAATGATGGTTGCAATGCCCATTACAAGGCGCACTCTATTATTAAAATCTATCTCAAGCAGCAGTTTGTATTTAAAAATTTCAATGCTTTGTAATGCATTGAAAGCTAGATTAGGAATTTCTGACAGAGTTGTCAAGGTCGCATCACGCAAATCCCCATGATGGTACAGGAATTGAATTGCCACTTCAATAGCGCCGTTATAGCGATGGCCACTCGTCTTGCTGTCTATATGGTATCAAGACGCTTGGGAATCGGGGTCGGGCTCGTCGGAGTGAAATCTTGGCCAGAAGGAGGATTATGTCACAACAGGGCACAGGTATGCTGACAGGTTGAAGAGCAGAGATCACTGGGGCAGAGGCTCGACGCTAAAGATAGTGATCGGAACAAGCCAGAGGCAATGAGAATATGATCGGATGAGGCAGTCGGAGATTTGGCGCGCACGCACTGTTTCGATGAACGAGCGTTTGCGGCTAGCGCCCTAAGTAGTACTTGTTATGTACAGGTGGCTATGTTTGGCAACGCACGCATTGATAGCATACCCTTCAACCAACAACCTCAGACTCAGATCAGCCCCACCGTATCGCCATTCTCTTCAGAATCGTTAATCAGCGCTCCCTTGAATATTCTCCTTAACTCATCTTCACTATAATCGACATCATGTCCATGACACTCACAGATCCTGCATCCCTGGACCTTATGTTCCCTCAAGAGCTCATTTCACCCGAAGTTTCAGCACAGCTTCCTTCTGATCTCCAGGTAATTGATCATGGGCTCGCTCACATTGCCCTCACACTAAAAAGACATAGATGCGTCCACTTGCATCAACAGACTACAAACGCGGACATCTCGATGTCCTTTCCGTTCTATCCATCGTCAACGACCTCGGCGAGGTAGCATGGGTCAATCAGTTCCACGCCATGCGCGCAACCCCAAGCGCGTACTTCTCCATCGTCATCCTCGACAAGGCGAGCGACAAGATCGTCGGGGTAGGCACCGTCTTCATTGAGCGCAAGTTCCTCCGTGGTCTCGGCAGCGTCGGTCACATCGAGGATATCGCCGTTGACAAAAGCCAACAGGGCAAGAAGCTTGGCCTCCGTATCATCCAGGCCCTGACGCATATCAGTGAGAGCAGCGGCTGTTATAAGACCATCTTGAACTGTAGTGACGCCAACATTCGTGAGTTGCTTTTCATCTGACTTTGGCTTATGCTGACCAGTGTCCCACAGCCTTCTACCAAAAGTGTGGCTATGTCAAGAAGGAGAACGAGATGGTAATTTTTCAAGCACTTCTTGTAGCCTTTGCTAACGGAATGCGCAGGCAAAGTACGCGCCAGAACGTGTTAATCACGCACCAAGACTTTGACTTGCCATCTTATCCTGCACTCGTATATACCATCGTTATCAATTGCCTGTACTCTAGATTTAACTGTGGACATTCATACCTTGCACATACTATTTCACTAGCAGATACTCGTAACATATACCCGGACTCATGCGAAAACTTCTCAAAGACAAATTGATATTTTTTCGAGTGTGTAGCGCGCATATATGTCAAGTAGTATAGTACTATAGAAGAAAAATGTGGTAGTAAATCGTTCATCGAGGCGGGAACGTTTGTTCGAGAGGACCCGCGAAAAGTCAAATTTCATCGACATATCCAGCCTGGCAGGCGTTGAAGTATTGGAAACCACTATGGATTCATATCGTCCATCAAGGTGGATCTAATCGTATCGGATATTGACCATCCACCACCTACTCTTGCCTCGAATCGATCACTTTCCCCATCCCCTCAGATCCTTTCCAACAACCTAAAGTTCTTAAAATATTTGGCGAATTTTGTCTTCCCATGTCGCGGAAATTGACGTTCGTGGCAGATCCAGAAGAATCGGGAGTTTCTTGTATTGTGGCAGCGCTGGAAGTTGCATCTTACGACGGACAGGTGGTAGACTTTCAGACAACCATACCGTTGGGCGAGATTGATGTGAATGTCATCGAGCCGTTGTATTTGATTGCAAGGTTACTGTTCATGGGGAGATGCTCCGTCGTCGTGTCAGGCAGGAGCACTGTGTCCTTCGTTGGTGACACGATATGTCAGCGTACAAAATCTGTCCGTCTCGAAAGTTGCTGATATCAGAAGTTCCCAGACCGGCCATTACATAGAACAGCGTAGAGCCGTGGAGGACCTTCACCAAACTACACCAAGCGGATAAAGGGTTCGAGGTAAGCAGGCAAGGGAGGAGAGCTGAAACGAGAGTGGGAAGCGGGAAAAATGCCGCGAGAGATGGCATCTGCCAGGTTGTCGCAAGACCTCACCCATCAAACAGAGATCCGGATGCCGTGTTTGAGAGCAAATGAGAGACGTTGCAGAATGTCATTCTGGACAACGTTGCAAAAAGCGACTGGCTTTAAGAGCCGTAATACAACCCTGGTTGTCAGAACGGAACCGCACACGCACGTCACGAAGACCCGAGCAGACAAGGGCGCGAGGACCAAGGTCGATCGCTACCGTTTCTCTACCCGATGTCCGGTCCGGTCCATCTACCGTCCAACCGTCCAACAATTCCCAAGTGAGCTAGCGGGGACCAGCGAGGAAACCGATGCCAAATGAAGAAAAAGCACCGACAAAAACAGATAATGGGGGAGGGTCAGGAATTACTAGACGAAGCGGGGCACTTTTGGAGGGGTGAGGGGAGGAAGTGAATAACTCGTCGAACACCATCATCTATGTCTGACAGTGCTGCAGCTCTGAAGAAAAGGTCATGATCTCGAGTTGACAGATGAGTTCCTAGAGGCTTACGTCGTGTCTGTGTGCCTGGGGTATCATCCAACTTGGAGAACATGGTTTCAAAGGCCTCTTCTGCTTCATTACAGCGTACAGCGCCGTGAAGCGCTGCATTCCTTAATTAATACCCTAGACAAGGAGAAGGATTGAGTTTAATGACCTATGCAATTAGTAGGATAAGTATGACTGCTAGAGAAATAATAACAATCATCCTCACCCTGTTCACGACGTGAAGAGCCGCTGCGAAGAGGTTGCGTTCTAAATTTGCCTTACTGTGGTGCACGAAGAGTCCACTTAGATCCCTGCTGAATACCCGTTTCATAATTTTGCGCAGCAATGACCTGCTCGGAGAGTTGAACTTGAGTGTCATGTAGATTCCTCAAGTCTGCGCTGTAATAAAGGAAAGCTAACACACTAAAAATGCGAGAAAGAGATAAGTTAACATGTTGAAAGAGGTGACGAGGAGAAGATCGAACCAAGAAAGCTGAAGGTAGTGATAGAAAAGTGAGGGAAGGGAAGCCTGCGAGTAGCGGAGATATGGCTACAACATTAAGCTGAAGCGAAAGTATTGATCAAACGTTGAGCAGAGTCTGGGTCTTTTCATTAATGTGAATGACGTGAGGGTACCGGAACCTTCAATGTTGGGTCAAGGCTGTCCGCGAAGGAACCGAGAATAATCCGACTGAGGTACCATGTGGCAAGAACGTTAACACCTCCTCGAATTGGGTGAAGCACTTAGCTATATTTGACAACGTACATATAAGAGTTGTATAAGAGCATTGATGGCATACGTGCAATGCCCCCTCCGAGTCAACAACAACCTGCTCATTGGCCCCACTGTGTCTTCAGAGTCAGTACTCGCTTGAATATTCTTCTTAACTCACCATCGCTATTATGTCAATGATTGACACCATGTCCACGACACGCGCAGATCCTGCGTCCCTAGACCTTATGTTCCCTCAAGAGCTCATTTCACTTGATGTTTCAGCACAGCTTCCCTCTGATCTCCAGGTAAGTTGATCATAAGCTCTTTCATATCGCTCTCGCATTAACAAGATATAGATGCGTCCGCTTGCGTCAACAGACTACAAACGCGGACATCTCGATGTCCTTTCCGTTCTATCTGGCGTCAACGACCTCGGCGAGGTAGCGTGGATCGACCAGTTCCACGCCATGCGCGCAACCCCAAGCGCACGCTTTCCCATTGTCGTGCTCGACAAGGCGAGCGACAAGATCGTCGGAGTAGGCACTGTCTTCATCCATCGCAAGTTCCTCCGCAGTCTTGCCAGCATCGGTTATATCGAGGATACCGCTGTCGCCAAAAGCCACCAGGGCAAGAAGCTTGGCCTCCGCATCATTCAGGCCCTCACATATAAGTGAGAGCAGCGGCTGTTATGTAACCTCCTCGAGCTGTTTTAGCGCCAACATTCGTGAGTTGCTTCCCTCATGGACTGTCGCTTATGCTAATTAATGTCATATAGCCTTCTACCAAAAGTGTGGCTGTGCCAAGCTGGCGACCGAGATGGTAATTTTCAAGTACCTCTCATAGCATTTCCTAACGGAGTGCGCAGGTAAAGTATGCGCCAGAACATGTTAATCACGCACCGAAATTTTGACTGGCCATCTTATCCCACACTTGTATATGCCATCATCAATCCCCTGTACTCTGGATTTTACTGCCACACATACCTTGCACATACTTGTATCATCAGTCTTATTCCCAACAAATTTTATATGATTAGCAGCTCTACTTCGAGAGCCAAGTGAGCATCGAAATGCACGAGGTCTACGGACATCTTCAGAACCAGTAGAAGCGGACGTGCCATATGGAAGCATGCAGCATAGATTTTTGCCCGTGAGAAGTCGTGTCGAAAGGAATGTGCGATACATAGGCATGTGCCAACAACAAAAGAACTGCTTATCGGCCACCCTTGCCACCCTTCATCTGCTGCTTCGACACCCTGGGTCCACTCGCAACAGGCGCACGTGCAGGCTATACCGGCCGACGTAAGTCGTACGTACCCCTTGGATTGTCGACAACATACCTTGGCCTTTTTCGACTCCTTCTCTTTCTTCTCAGTCTTGGCCTTTGCAATGGCCGAAATTCTCTGCTGGTTACGGACAGCAGCGGTCTGGTTACGCCTGGCGGCGATAGTGGCAAGGTCAGCACCAACGATGCCACGTTGGTGCTTCACGGTCCGGCGGGAACGCTTCTTAGCAACTTCCTCGGTGATACCCTTCTTGTGCATGCGACGGTAGACCTGTGTCCATGCGATCTTACGTGGGTTCTTGCGCTGGAGGAACAGGGAAGAGTTCTTGGAACTAGAGAATCGGAAAACCTATATCACAAGGGGCGTTCAGGCAGGAAGTTTGAAAGTGGGGGAGACGAGCTGACTTTGGAGTCTCCACGGACAAAGAGTTTTCCCTTGGAGGGGTACACACGGAAACCGGAGAACGCGTCGATTTCGACCTTCTACTCAAACATATCGAGCGATTTAGATTTCAGCAATGAATGTATATGAAGTAGAAACGCACCATCTATAAAACCGGCGCGCACGACGGGAATAAGTCAGTCTGCGTCCTTCCCAAAGCTCATATGAATATGCGACAAGCCAGAAACGTCATCCGTCATCAGTCTGATTCATCCACCACTCCTACAGCCTATCTTTGGCTGAAATTCGTCTCAACTTCACGCATGAACAGAACGGATGCATCCATGGTGTTTGGCGAAGAAAAATGGCATGGATCCTTGCTTACCTTGACGGAATTGCCGGGGCTTGCTGATTTGGTGGTGCCTTCGAGGGCGGGGTGGACTCAATGGGTAGCGGGGATTCAACTTCGGCTTATGCCGTGACCAAATTTGGTAATTCTGAATCTTATGACATACACACAAGCCTTGTACTTGGCTACGCGGAAACCATGCAGAGTCGCTGAGGTTATGACGAGGACCGCCAGCCCACTCTCCGAAACGGTGTGAATTGTCACGTTTTAGGAGTTGCGATTAATATATGTACCCCAGTATTGAGTTTAAACCTGGATCACAGTGCATAATTCGAACGTCCTTATCGGATCATCGCATTGTTTTGGAGCGGTCCCTAATTTTCATTAATATCCTCTCTAGTTACTACTTACCCTTCTACGTCCCACAGCTGGGAACATGAGGATTGACATATTGAATCAAGCCAATAGTCAGAGCTTTAATAGATTATCCTGTTGCTGTAAATATTGACACAAGCGCAGCAAGTCAGTACAGTGGTCGCACTGCAATTCCAAGGTACATACCTCGCAAAAAGAGGGGTAAACCTAAAAGGAGAAAGTGTCACAAAGCGGTCACACGTCACTTGTGCGTGCGAATATGCCGCTGCATCCCATCGTCTCAGCAACGTTAACGCCTCCACGCAGTCATCCCAGGTCACCAGTTCACTCCCCAAGTAACTCCGCCCTCTAAATTCTCACTTTCAACGGTGTGTCCTCTTTACTGAGACCATACGTCTACTGCTGATTCCACCACTAAACTTCACCATTCCAGAACCCTTTTAACGTCGTTTTCCAGTCATGTTCGTTTGTTCTCCCAAATGACGCAGCGGCCGTAGTTCATCTGTATTTTTCCCTATCATAGGTCCGAACCTTACGACCCTTACCTCCCCCGCAATGGCTCCTCATCCAATCCCGCTGGCGGATCAAGTCAGGGTGGAAACCCTAAAACCGCAGCTATCCAACAACAAATTGACGACACCGTCGGTATTATGAGGGAGAACATCACAAAGGTCGCAGAACGTGGAGAGAGATTGGACTCGTTGCAGGATAAGACAGGTGATTGATTTGTGCTCTGGTGTATTGCGAAGGTTGAAGCTATTTCCCCAGACAACCTTGCTGTTTCAGCGCAGGGCTTCCGTCGTGGTGCTAACCGAGTACGAAAGGTGAGTTTGACTTAACTTCCTTATATTGATGTAATACTAAGGCATATTCAACAGAATATGTGGTGAGTGTGATATTTTCTTTTTCAGTTGCGATCAAGATTCATCGAACTTATAATTTCTCAGGTGGAAAGACATGAAGGTCCGTTGGACTCGTCGCTCAACATTACATTCATAACTGACCCCGTCTTTAGATGCGCATGATCATTGGTGTTGCTGTCATAATCATCATAATCATTATTATAGTCAGCATTGTGAAGGCAACACATCACTAGGCAGCACGTGGGTTCCCACGTATATTGCTTATCCTTACTACCACTGGCCTGTTGGTTGTTGTATCTATCCACCGTATCGTTAATTCTTCTGCTCGTTCTCTGTTTTACTTTTTGTTGGCCGTCATTCACCTACATTCTTCCATAGGGCCCTAGTGGGTGAATTGTGGACCCCGATACATAGCTTTCGCTTCGTTAAATTGTCACTCGTGTTGTGCTTATGGATGATCTACATACTGATTGCTCTGTGCTAGTGCACAGAGCTTTATGGTCTAAAATTCCTTCGCCCCGTTCTCCAGGGCTCGAATTCCAAAATCAAGTTTCAAGGTCCTTTGTCAGTTGTTCAACATTGATAGTCTAACTTGAAGGATATCCCGGAGTACTTGAAGATATGGTCAGGTACATGAAATCAAAGCAACCCTTTTAAAGTACTACCGGAGGTCTGTGCCGACCCCCGGTACTGAATGACTATTGCTGAGATAGACTATAGTCTTCAGTGTGCTACTATTTGTACGATCGTGTATGTATCACTATTGCATCACTGGTGCCGCTACTGAATTGAAGGACATCACACTGCAACGTTGTTAATGCCCAATACGAGACTTAGTTTGGCATGTGGCAATGTTGGCGATTACTAGTTATTATTAGTTTACTCTGTGTATCTTCCACGAGACCCTTCTCTCGGTCACACGCGCCAGAATTCTGTGAGTATTCCAACATTTATGTAACGTTAAGATATTTTTATAGCTCAATTACCCTCGACTGAGGACACCCAATAAATTTGGCGGTCTTTGCAGTACAAATATGACGGATGCCGCTGAGTTGGCACTCCGCGCGAAGAGCACGGCGAACAGTTGATTTGCCTACCGCATGTGTCTGATCTAGATGTTCCAGAATGAAGTTCCACGATATCGATTATCATAGATACTCCAGAAATCGTCTCGAGCTGTCGATCCTGAGGTCAGAAATTTTGGAAAATGGTCGCACAGCAAAAGAAAAAGTGGAAGTTCGACCGTTGATCTGCGACAAATCCGGCCTCAAGGATTCGCACAGGAATTTTTCTGGCAGTGCTAGAGAACTTAAATTTAAAGCTTATAAGTGCGATCAAGGTCATGATTTCCCAATCCCCCACTTTGTTACTCTTTCCTGTGTAATCCAGAAAGACACTGGATGGATAAAGGTATGTTCCATTTCTCTGCCTGCATCTCACGCTTGATATCGTTATCTGAATAGAGGTACCGTTGAACGGAAAGTACAACTGGCCGACTGATTGAATGTCAACATAGGCCAAGTTACAATGATGTCAGTGGACTACGACACTCGAGTCGGCCTTCGGTGCCTATGCATCTCTCAAACGTTCGGGGGCAGAGGCCTCAAGGCCTCACGATCGGATCTCGTTGAAGTACGATTTGGCATGGCGGGTTCGGTGACGGCTCTTGAGGCTCCACCCAAAATCGCGTGTAACCCGGTACGGTCGTAGTCATTTAAGTTGCGTTCCGGGAAGGTTGCGTTGCGGAATACTTTGGCCTTCATTTGGTGAGCGCTTAATCTCATGGCATGCCTTATTTCCTGGCACTATCATCCTTCCTTTTTCTGTCAGGTGTATCTCACCGCATCGGCCGGCTATATTCACTGATGACCGTTTACAACCAAGACAAATGGAAACAAAGTGTTTTGTAAGTGGCCAGAAGAATGCAACCTAGCCAACTGCGTGGGAGTCGAGGCCATTGCTAGCGCTAAACTTATATCGTGGCCAGCGTGTCTATTAATGAAAATTTGATAGTGCACTATATTCCGCATCATCGGGGGTGCGTTTCGAGATCCTCTACCAATGAAAGCTCGCTTCAAGCATTACTCGGGGACGCAGAGTCTCCGAGTCACAGATGTTGGTCTGATTTCAGATAGTCCAATGTAATGCCGCTGAAACGAAAGTTCCATTGGCCTGATCTGTTTTATTGACAGTCAGTCCCTGGCCTTTGGCCTCCACGCCATTTTGTCATTCACCGTTTTGTTCAGTTACCCAAAAGACGTTTCAAGATTACTTGCGGGATAGGCCTAGTTAACAACTTTCATATTTTTCCATTCTTGATCTAGCTGATTCTACATGCCACTGTTTCTTGGCCTACGAACCACCTTTTGTTGTCGGCCTTCATGGCTTCATGGTTGGTCCTGCCAGTCGCGCTATAGATGCCACTACATAAGATTCAGGACTGTGGTCCTCTTCCACAGCGGATCGTAGAATGGTTTATAATTTCTGGTGTGTTCGTACCCCTACAATTCTTTTTGGCGTTGATTCCTTTGGCAGGCAGGACGATTCAGAGCTATCCAAAGCATTGCGTGCAGTACAAGGACTTGTCGATAACGTATGTTTCGTCTGTGCTTGTAAAGGGGAGTGCGCTGATATCTGCCTGTAGGCCCCGTCGTCCTCTCAGCCTCAGCAGAATCACCATCCGCCTTCGGCTCCAGTAAATTCGTATGGGGATCCCCCACCCACGGTTACTCAGTATCACTCTATGTATGGCGGAGACTCGACGAGCAACAATCAAGTGCTCGCTCCTGCTCATCTACAAAATGCTTGGTTTTCTCAACGTAATAGTCAATTTCCAAGTGATTTGACGCCGCCATTTCGTGAGAACGATCATCGTGATATTCATAGGTACGAGCTCCTTGATGTTCCTGTTTCAGGGAAATTGACTTCTTCGACAGTGCTGCCGGACAACCTTTGCCCGACGCCTCTTTCAACTATTTCCACTCTCCTGTCTCCAACGACTCGTTTGCAAACAGTCTGGGATTTTCTGGCAGCGTCTCTGAATCATACCTCATTGAGCCTCACCCTCACCCGGTCCATGACAACCAATCAGAATCGCACGCATCTTGCGGCTTGTGCAAGTGGAACGATGGCCATGGTCCATGTGACGTGACTGCGAGTGAAGAAGAGATCGTGGACCACTTGTCGTCATCCCATCTCCCACCGGCTGGACGCGAGCTTATGAAATGTAAATGGGAGGGATGTAAACTCGGAGGATTCATCCGCCGAGATACGATCCTTCGCCACATCCGTCAGATTCACCTTAGAATTAGACCTCGACGTCAGTCATAGGTTACTTCTTCGAGTCGACGTCCGCAGCCGTATTTAGTCATTATTGCTTCGACTGCCGTATAATTTATGTTTCCTGCTTTCCGGTAATGTTTCGTGCTGTGTCGCTTTCAAGAACGCATATGTCGATTTATTAATAACATGCCTTTGCCATACCTTATTTAACTTTCGAGCTGTTCTTCCTTAGATATTTTTCACGTACCTGAGCGTTCAATCAGAAAAAAATTCATTAGGCAAACGCTATTACTAGTATAATCCCTGGCTTTCCGCACTATGTACCCCCTTCTAGAATATTTAAATTATCACCCGATTGAAGGGTACAATTCGCCAGGCGAGGAGTGGTCCCAACGATTAAATTCAGCCAGACTCAGATAGGTAGAAATAGTGGTTGAAAACATGAAGGCAGTGGATTTTATCGATCCGAATTAGTAAGATTAATAACCAGTCAGCGCTTGAAGCAAGGCCAGTGACTGAACAGATATATATTTAAGTAACTTTGTCATCACACTCTAGTTTGGATGCTGGGACTCACCTACCCTCATTCATTCCATCCTCCATCATGAGGCGCGCCACTGTCATACTTCTCCCCAATAACCGGAGATTGGCACTTGGTTAACGGGCTAGGGCCCATGGGGGGCGGGCGGGCCCGGCGCCTGGCCAAGATATCTCTGCGCAGACCTTTCAATTTCCCATGGCTGGCTAGATGTTCAAACGTTCATGATCCGGCCCCCAATTTTGCTGACTCTGCGTTAGTACTCGGTAGTATTTCGTAGTCGGAATGGCCACTCAGAGCTCATTGGCGAACTCAAATATTGGGCTCGTATTTGGAACCGCTACAGGAACAAGCTGTTTAACCAATGAGAGCGCTCATACGTCATTACAATTTTGGGGCTGCCTCGTCCTTGATCGTGTGGAGGCAAGCCTTCGAATCACAGATCTATTCCATGATCTCAGATCTAGACAGCCCAGCCAAAAATGCCATCGCATCACTGCCTCACTGACATGCAACTTTCACTTCTTTCAACTCTGGAACTTCTTCAACAAAACCCGTCGACCTGATTTGCCTTATCATCTCCAAAGTCTCTGGCCTTTGGCCTATATTTTTTGCATCTGATATGAATCTCTAGTAATTGGCGGTCATGCCTTCCCGCCTCCCCTGGCTTCGCCTACGTGCCACCAACCCTTGGCCTGCGGACAATCGTTGGCCGTTGGCCTTTCTAGCACGATCTCATGCCTCTGTGCTTATATTGTTTGAAGGATTCCGAATTATCTGTATGATCAGTGTTCAATGCCATTTTTCACAATGCATCGCAGCACGCCCTACAATTACTGGTACGTTTGATGTGCGCCGTTGGATTTCTGATTGTTGCTTATCCCCGTGCAGGGAGCAGGATTCAGAGCTATACACACACGTCAAGGCATCAAATGCGGAGCGTCCGCAAACAACTACCGATTATGTGTGTTTGGTCCGCACAGTGTAAACGATGTGAAGCGCTGACAACTTGTTATTGGGACAGTCAACTTCTCAACCTCACCAACATTTCCTGTTTTCTGTACTGAAAAATTCTCATGGCGATTCTACACTCATTCCCCAGCATCACGTTGCGTGTGACGGACACTCGACAACCGAAGACCAAATAGTGGGTCCTCGTAATGACGTACTTGATGCGGGTATATTGCCGATCCAGACACTGCCCCTTCTCGATCAGGGGATGGCTCAGGGCGACATTCAAAGGTACGAGATGGTATCGACGATCTTGTTCTAAGTGGATTAAATCCCCTTTCTTTAGTGGTACTTCTGGATGGCATCCACGCCGTGTTTCTTCCAGCTATTCTTCCTACGCCCTTTCCCACCATCTGCCTGCCCACAATATGGACCTCTCTGACACAAACCTTGCCGACCCATGGCTTATCTCGCCCATGCAAGGGTTCCAGCATAACCCACGTCATCAATTCCAAGAAGAGGTTTACGCTGATCCTCGATATGTGGCCAACGATGGTGAAACAGAATCGCACATCAGCTGTGTGTTTGCGTGCAGGTGGAATGATGGTTACGGCATATGCGGCAGGAGTATAAATGCAGCTGGGATCGGGGAACATATGTTATCATACCATTTCAAGTCACCTTTACCCGCCGACAGCCGCTTGGAATGTCTGTGGGAGGGTTGTAAACTCCATAAGCCTGTGCGCCGAGACACAATCATCCGCCACATCGTCGAGATACATCTCGGACTCAAGAATCGATGCAAGCTCTGGGTAGCCTCTCATGGTGGGGCCAGTTTCTGTGGATCTCGCAAAAATGCACGCCTGCAGTAATAACGTTTGTGTAGTCTTCGTCTGTAATCTATGCTCTAGTCCACTTTTAGTTGATGTTGCTCGCTGTTGTCTCTGTACAAGCCATATGCTGTGTACATATCTAGCTGTTCGTCACAATCCATTAACATTAGTCATTCGTGCGTTAAGTTATGTTCACCCCATAGTTTCCTATATCATGCATATGTAACTTGTTTGACACAGTACAGGGGAGGTCGTGAATCTGATAAAATTTCATCACTGGCCTGAGGGTAGCCAAGCATGCGACTATGTACTGAGGGTCCTTGATCGTAAGAGAGGACACGATGTGTACCTTTGTCCTGTCGCCACATGAGAGATGGTAGGGAGATACGAGCGAATACGCGCTTTGCCCGCCTGCATGGACAGCATAGTAGGAGTCTTGCTAATTGGCAAAAAAGACACTGCATATTACATTTGCTTAACAATAATGATCAAATTCGAGATATAACATACCACCTAGTTTTGCGAAGTTCATACTGTGTACAACGCGGAAAGAGACAACACAAGTCCGAGGGGGATCAAAGATCGAAGATCGATGGAAGCAAAATGAAATTATGGAAAATCTATAGAAATCTAGATGGATTCTCATTTGGAGGATCGACAAGAAGTTCGAAACCTGGTTTTGAAAATTACCAATTGAGTTGTGTATCATGATTCATGATGATAGCTGTAAGAGATAAGTCCGATGTCAAGCCAAGAACACGCATGCGGTGTGTACTCAGCTGTACTAAGTGCCACGGCAATGTCGAGGCACTGGGAGGCGCTGGGATGGTCAAAATTGTGACAAAAAGATATACCTAAGGCAAATCTAAGCACAAGCGTTAATAAGTCAAGGTATAAACTTGATGAAACAATTCTTGAATACACACATGAAAGCTAGAGAAAGCCAATACAATAGCAAGTATCGCCTTTTTGTATCATGTCAGGCTTCACTTATCCGCATACTATAAAGCTTGGCTCCGCATGACTTTGGGCGACGTCTCTTTGTGGGTTCGGACGCGGAGATAGTAATAGTACGGGAAGTTGTGCGTTTGCGTGTACAGGGTACCCCACGACAAAAATGTTATCTTGGACTAAGCTTGGACATACTACATCGGATTCGGGATGTTGAAAGTTGAAGTAAACAAGGACGGAAGGTGCGTGTCAGAGCGCAATTAAACAGAGAGACAAGTATGCGTGCGTGGGGCTAGTAGCGTGAGAGAGAGAGAGAGAGAGCGGGTCTGGGGAGAGCACACCGAAACGTGTTCTGCTATGAGTCCAAGAGAAAATTGCGAGGACGCCGGCTGGGCGCTGGGGCTTGGTGAAGAACTCCCAGGCACATTACAAGTAGTACACCCAACTTAGTCACCGCAGATATTTACGGCAGGAAACGTGAGGTTCGCTCTTGTACAGTATATGCGACTGAAACAAATGAAGAGTTGTATATAATGTACAAACGAAGTACGGGCAGGACGTCATATAAATCGTACCAAGATACATACTAGCTACGATAGCGGGAATAGTATATCATCAGAAGGCATACTAGAACCACCTCCTACACAGTGCGACCCAAAGTAATCAGTCTTTCAAGTTCAGATGGGACTCATGGTGAGTGCTTGCGGCGAAATTTGTCCCCGTAGTGTATTTCGCGGATATGCCTGAGAATTGTGTCTCGTCTTATGGTCTTCGGGAGCAGACAGCCCCTACACCGACATTGCACCTGGCAGTCGGGGTGCTGATGCTCATGAAGATGGTACAACGATACGTGCTTCATTACGGTCGTGACCGTATCCGCAGTAAAGCTGCACTGGCCTTGGCTGTCCTTCCACAGGCATCGGGTTGGCGATTCTTGTTCATGGGGTATATCTCCCCGATGGACATGCAAGAGCGTAGCGGGGAATTTGCCAATGGCGTGCGGCATTGTGCTAGGCAATTGCGGATCAACAGAGTACAGATAGTTGGGCGAACCACTGGAACCGTAGCGCAAAGACTGCCTTGCCACACTTTGAAAACATCCGCTCCGTTAATAACACAGGATCAACATTATGTGAAAAAGATCATACCTTTGAGCATGATGCTGAGCCACAGCTTTCTCAGAACTCGACAATGAGTCCTCAACATGCGGGTCACCAGAACTCGATCCACAGTAACTAGTCTTCGACTGAGCACGATGCTGCAAAACAGCTGATGCAGTAGCATTGTTACAGGAATTCATGTGTACGGGATGCATGCAATTCTGTAGCGGCCATGTGAATGTTGGCATTACACCACCCTGCATACTAGCCTGACGTACCTCGCGAGCCGTCACTTGTGGACGTCCAGACGCTTTGACGTGTGCATATAGGTCTGAATCTAGCTTCCTGTCAAAGGTATATGCACGGGAGGAGCATATGAGGGTAGAGGAAACCCACCAAAAATCGTATGGCATTCTCTAGTCTTTCGGGTAACCAAATAGTTCGTGGGCATCTGATCAGCCAACAGACTGTTTTATGTAGCCTCGGAAAAATAGACTGCACAGAAGCAGACGTGAAAGGGAACGGCCAAAGATGGCCTGGAAATGAATGACATGCTTAGCTGAAGGTAGACGAAAGGCCATGGATATGAAGGTGAATGCCCGGTTAAGTTTGAACACCGAATGCGCAATGCGGTAGCAGAAACCTTTTTCCAAGTCTGTTATTTGGCTGGAAAACCATGTCACGAAATTGTAGGAATGATGTATACTTAGCTGTTACCCCTTGGTTACCCCTCAAATTCCCCCTTGAATCTTGAAGCCTTTCGTAAAGTTCAAGCATATTCGCGGTTGAGACTGGAGTTCAAGACGTGCATCACGTAAGAGCCTTTCAACGGAAATTCATCTATTCCCACGAGCGACATGGGTTACGACTATACATGTCCGAGGACCGAGTCGCGAGGGATTTATCATCTACTCTACCAGTGGTTCAGCTCTGCCAAATCCTGTCGCATGATGTCAAGTCTGTCACTCAGCACTACCGTTAATTCATGTATTTCTGCAACGCCGCATTGACACATTAATGCTGAGCTAATTCTAACAGGATACATGTATCGATGGTCTTTGGTGCCGGCGCTTCAGGAGCCTTCAGCGCTCAAAATGTATACATTAGTGGCAGTACGTTTTTCCTGACTTGGACCCAAGGCATCCACATACCCTCATCCATTCCCTTCTGGGCCGTGAGATACGTTTTCATCAAGCCTGAAGATCGGCGAGCCACGGCCAAGGTATATCAGAGCACAACTTCTTTGTCTCTGACCGGAAGTTTGACTTTTATGATCCAGCCTGCCAACGCTGCGTGGGAGTGCAAGGACGTCGGCTCGCTGCATTGTTAAAGACTATTTCTCGTCGATTAAAAACTCAGACGGTCCCTATCGATAAAGTTTCGGCCTACGGTGCAATACTCCGTTGTGAAATTCGGTGCACCTTTTTTAGATCGTCTACAGGAAAATCCCAATGAGGGCTCCAAGCTTCACTCGTAAATGCAAGGGCATGAGTCTCCGAGTTACTCATGTGGTCTAATCCAGATCAAGCAACATGCCGTCGTTACGAACAATCTGCCTTCAAAAGTATCATCAATCTGACCTCAAGGGTGTCGCTACGTTGTGCAACGTGGGACTTTCTCTCTCAGATAACGCGACCTCAACGGACCTTGGGGGAGCGCAGGGCTGATTCTGCCTTCTCTTCGGCCTATGGCCTCCTTTTATTGTTTTTGTTACTCACCTTTACGTTCAGGTTTTCTAAACAGACACAGAGTCATGGCAATATTCCTGCGTGTGAGCCCCTAACGAGTGGTAATAGTATTTTTATCTTCCTTCTTTGCCCTGGACTAAGTGGTCGTACATACCACTGGATCTAGGGACTCACATAATCCTTAGCTATCGGCTTTCATGTGTGCTTCTAGCGCGATGTTGCTTATACATTTTCAGTTCTGGGGCTGATCAGCCCTATCAATATCCAATTCTATCATCCCCAACGCATTGTAACAGTATGCCGTACAATTGCCGGTACGTCTGTTCGGCATTAGACTTCTTCCTTGTGACTATTATTTGTGCAGGGAGCAGGATCTGAACCTTGCAAAAAGAGCCGCGACAAGGAACCACCGATGATGTCCATTTGGTCTCCTAGTGTGGAAAGACGATAAAGTGCTGATGTCTGGATATAGGGTCATTCTGCATTGGTGAATCAGCTAGAATCATATTCGGCTGACCGCTGGAGTAATGCTCAAGGCTATCCATAATAGAAGATATAGCCTTGACCTACATAGCGACGCCTCCTTACTTTCCGTGCATCTCCGTGCGACGACCGGTGTCCCACATCCCAGTACTTCTACTGTCCCTGCCACAGTCATACAATGAGATAAGTATAGATCCGGTCAGGGTCGGGGAGCGTACTTATCATGCCATTTTTAGTTACCTTTGCCCGCCGAGAACTGTTTGAAATATTGGTGGATGGGTTGCCAACTCCAAACATCATAATCATCCGCTACATCCTCGAGAAGTATGTTGGAGTTGAGTGCAGATGCAAACTCCAGGCGGTTTTCCGTGCCACACCTTGTCTTCGTCGATTCTGTAAAAGCGTACGAGTTTGCACTCTCAGCTTGTATCAAAAGGATATATTTCTTGTGACTGCGATGGTGAGGCAAACTCCGCAAACACATTGTAATATTTAACGAGATAGCTTCTGCAGAAACATACTGCATTTCGTTGCCAAGTAATTCCAACACGAATTAACAAACACCGTAGAAGTAACGCCAGTAACCTGGAAGCAGATGACCAAGCGAGTACCACAGTTGATGGAACTTCATTGTCAGTTTCACCTCGTTGTACTGCGAAGGAAGTCAACTTCCGCTGTAAAATTTGCGGGATTGCTTATCGGCGTCTACCGTTTTGCATATGTCAAATTTGGTCCCCACAAAATTGCCATAGGTCACAGAGGCAGCACTAGAGAGTATATATATCTTCCAGACGCAGATGAAGCCAAATGATTAAAGGGGAATGTCAAGCATCATTGAAAAACGCGCGGTTTTAGGAAATATTTTGGGCAGCATCCGTCTGCCAGCGAGGCGATCGCCCACTTCATCCTTGAAGTCTTGTGTATGATGCGTAGTCGTAAAGACTGTCGAGCTAAGTGCAATAGTCAACGCACCAGCCTTATCGATGTACTGAGTTGCACTGAACCTGTACGCTCGATGAGCAAAACGATACATTGTCTGCAACTGGATAGATTTACCAGCAGCAACGGTTCCTCCGACCTCCAGATACCCATCGAGGATAGCCGTGAATACATTCTTCGACTATCCAATTTTATCACCGGGAAGTTCGTTGTACCAGATCGTCAACACTGCGAAAAAAGTGCTGGCCTGTAGAGCCTGAGTGCCGCACCACAACGATAATACTAAGCAGACCGGGACCATTACCCGACGCTTGTCAGCTGCGCTGTCTACAGAAATGCGGTTAACATCACATACGACAGATATCAGAGTGGTTCTGACATCGGCTTTTGTAAAGAGGAAGATAGTCTCGAGATGACGGGCGATGCCATAAGCGTGAACAAGAGCTTGAGAGAACATCTTGAGTATCCTCGATGGACCCAACAGTCTGCTAGATCGAAGGTTTTATACGACCAGGCACGAAGAATTAGGCAGTCCGACTCAGACATCGCTGGTTATCTATAGGAACAAACGTTTTAAAAATCCCTTCACATAGTTTAGTGGAGATGGATTCTGGGAGAGAAGATATGGTGATTCCCATTGGACGAAGTTTCGCATGTAAGACACCCTTTGCATTCCTTAGCGCCCGACGCATCCCTGAGTACTCCAGGACCGCCATAGCCGGAGAGCGTATCTGGTCCTGAAGCTGGAGTTGACAAGAATGAACAAGGATTCGAAACCTCGTTTGGTGAAATTATACGGGTACATATGCATAATAACAAAATGATAGTACTATTATTCGCCGATTCAACAGAAGCTTCCGGAATGAAATAAAAGAACGAAGGACATCCGGACTTGTAACTGCATGCAATAATTTCTACGAATCAAAAAAAAAATTGAGCAAGAACTCAAAAATAAATGTGCCCGGAGTAATCTGCAGGGGTAGGGCAGATAAAGATTCCAGAGACAATCAGAGACCATTCCCCGTCGCCGGGTGTGACGTTATTGAATCCTGCTCGTCAGACGTGAAGGTGAAGTGGCTTCTATCGCCAGAACTCCCCGTTATTCTTCTGCGACCATGTTGAGCTGAAGATAGCTCAGAACACGACAGAGATGACTCTGCCTGATAGCCGTAGTCTTGTGCGGAAGTCGACTTACTATAAACTCCTAGCAGAACATACAACACGTTCGATAGAGATTGTCGTCGGACAGCCGACAAATGAACAAGTGACCACTAATATAGAGAACGTGCCGACGATGCCGTGTCACTAAACAGCCATTGCATTCCAAATACATGTGCCTCTGAAGTGCGGGAGCCGATATTAGCCGCCCGCAGAATGCAGGCGCAATTGTATCCGGCCATCCCAAACAGTTCGCCTGCGACTGAAGGGTACATTGAGCGAAGAAAAAGTCAGACAGAGTGACAGGCCCGGTGGAGGCCTAATCAAAAACTGATTGTTGCTTGCTATAGATTTATTGTATTGAAGACCAGTTGGCAAAGATGACGGCCATCAGCTTGCGTCGCTGAGTTCTCTATTCTCGCGCAGCGGCTGATAATGGACACGAAGACATCATTGCGGTCATCACAAGTCAAGGTGTAATGGTCTGCTTACCTTGAGCTGTGGTCAGACAACTGGAAGCAGATGTACTTGGGTGGTCTCCATCCTTGTGCCAAATGATACGCGATCTTTTTCAATTCTCCTTTACCAAGTGAATACAAATACAACCAATGAATGAGAGATGGCTATTGTGCTCGAACTGGCTCAAATACACGCACAGTTTCAAATCTAGTATCATCCTTAGACAGGCTGGCCTAGGTCATGAGCTAGCCAAGATGCTTGAGCTACTGTGGCAGTAGTACTACTTAGTGGTTTGAGACAAAGCCAAATCAGGCATGTGCTGTAGAAAGCCTATGATATGCGAAGCTTAGATAGGCTACTTACCAAGGCCAGTACAGCCTGTCTTTGACAGAAACTCTGAGCTCGGGGGTTTCAGTCAAGTCATTATTCATCCCGCGCTATTCATCCCGTCGTCCGTCCATTTAAACCCTCGGGAGTCCCGTTCTTTATCGTCCAATATCTCAGGAGATTGTTTCAACTGTGTAGACAATGAACTTTTTCAAGACCAAACCACGAACACCTCCTGATATCGTCCGTGGCTTGCGAGATGCGATACCCAAACTTGAATCTGGGCCTCCAGGCAGTGAGACGAGGAGAAAGGTGAGCTTGATGGATGAACTCGTGATTTCAGATGAAATTCACAACTGAACGGCATCGTGACCACCAGGCGGGTGAAGAAGTATCTAGAAATCTCCAGGCAATAAAAGGTATTCTATATGGTGATGGAGGAGGTGTGCTGATCCTTCGCGTTCATGTCATCCCTACTTAAAAGCTTCTTAGAGCCTTTGCCAGAACTCATTGCGCAACTCGCACAAGAAACGTATTCCACAGACCTACTCCTCCTGCTCGTGCAGAATATCGCAAAGTTCGACTTTGAGGCTCGAAAGGACGTCGTCCAGATATTCAACAATCTTCTCCGGCGTCAAATCGGGGCACGGTTACCAACGGTGGAATACATATGCGCTAGGCATGAAGACGTTATCTTTGCAGCTCTGGAAGGATATAGTAATGAAGAGGTTGCATTGAACACGGGAATGGTCTTAAGGGAGATGTTGCGACACGAACAGTTGGCGAAGATTTTGCTCTATTCTGAACAGTGAGTGCTCTATCGTGCATTCAAAACATGTCATCAAATGACACACAGGTTCTACATGTTTCCTCATCATATAGAGACGACATCGTTTGGAGTTTCATGCGACGCATTTGCAAATCTCAAAGAGACATTAACACGGCACAAACCTATGGTCGCGGAATACTTGGACAAGAACTATGATCGTGTGGGTATCAAATTCTCATAGTGGTGTTCATTTCTTATCGAACATTCTATATAGTTTTTCGCCTCTTTTACAACTCTTTTACTTTCCAACAATTATGTTACCAAGCGCCAGTCTCTCAAGCTCCTCGGCGAAATCCTCCTTGATCGTGCCAATTTCAGCGTCATGACCAGATACATCGCTCAAGAATCCAACCTGAAGATGATGATGAACATGCTTCGGGACAAGAGCAAGAATATCCAGTTCGAAGCTTTCCACGTTTTTAAAGTGGGAATCCGTGAATTTGTTCGCTGCCCATATTCACTGATTGTAACTTATTGCTAGGTATTTGTTGCCAATCCAAAGAAACCACCTCAGATTGAAACGATACTAAGGCGCAACAAGGAGAAATTGCTGACTTTCTTGAGGACCTTCCACAACGATAAGGAGGACGAACAGTTCAGCGTGAGTATTCATCGACCGCTTAAAGTACTTTCACTTCCTACTGATATCCTACGACTTATCAGGACGAGAAGCAATTCCTTATCGTGCAGATACAGAACCTGTGACGCTGGACGTCCTTATATTGTCTCTTTTTCCCCTTTGGAGAGCATCACCTTGTGATGCACATACCGTGGTCCCTGTCATTTCCGGTTGAATATTTGTAGCACTCCGCAACTTCCAGTCCCTACCAATAATCCTCTGAGCGATATTGGCCTCTCATGGAGGTTCATAATCTCGCCACCTACTGCTGCATTATAATGCACGTATCGCTGCAATTCTGTACATAACTGATCTACAAGCCAGTTGTACTTCTACATTCAATGTTATCCAACGTGGGTTGTTGTTGGAGGTGCTTGACACCGATGAAGGACTCGGTGTTTGTTCAGTCACTATATCCAGTAAGTACTATGACGAAGCTAATTTTGGTCCTGACAGGCTCTGGTTGGGGCACTATGATATATCCCGATATAATGAGGTTATCGTAGTGCATGTTTGCGACTTATCCCGGAGATTATATTATCAGCAAACTTTTAGGTTGCAGAGGTACTTGGAACTACCACAATAATTCCTCATCGCGTTACAGTACACATCCTAAGACCTACAGTATCTTATCACTTATCCACCGCTTCCCTTCGGCTTGAGGACAGTACGTTAGGGTCGTCACAGGTCGAATTCTGTCTTTCACTTCAAGTTCACTACTGAGTCGATGACTTTGCTTGCTAGAGCCGAATGGCCTTGCTGAGTACTAACTGGCTTATGCCGCCGGTTCTGCACATTGCACCCTTGCTCGCTGGAGTCGGTATGCAGAAATCAGAGTGACTTTGGCGGGTAAGAAGGGTTATATCTATGCTTGTGCCGTCTATCCCGCACCGAATGATAATCAGCTTATTGACAAAGTTCCTTGGTTACTCGCGCATCTCGTTTTTAAATAGCATGATAGTCCACCTATGTAGACACCGGTACGAGCTCGGAGACGAAAAAGATACAGTATGTAGAAGTCTGGGTATCATATAATGATATGGAGAGTACAAGAAGGGATCGCATTATGACTCATATCGATGGCGATGACAATAGCAGACCATAATGACGCAGAAAAAGGATGAGGAAGCGCACGAGAGCAATTCTATGAGAGCATCCAAGACAGAAAACCAGCAGCTAGCTTAAATATGAGACAGTATTTACCAATGCATGCATAACACGCCAAAGAAAGAAAAATCCAGGATTTATTCCTCTTCTCCCTCGTCTTCTTCTTGTATCGCTTGTCTGAATGCAGGGCCTGAGCGGCTTGTGGGTAGTTGACGACGCCCTGCTCTCACATCTGAAGCCTCGAACACATTCTCCGTCGGGACAGGTGACGACCTAGCGGGCGAATGGCCTTGTTTGGCCCTGCTATTGCTATTCGGCGGAGCCAGTGAAGTAGCACGACCCTTCCCCGAACGTGAGTTATGATTCCGTGCAGGAGGCGACATGGGGATCGGCGACTCGACGGGGATAAACGACGAGCTCGTACTCGAGCTCGACGGCATCTGACCCAACCCACCCGCAAACTCAGGTATGTCATCATCCTCATCCACCCAATCGCTCTCATCGCCCAAATTGAGACTCTGCCTCCCGGTAAACACATCCCGAATGCTCGCGGGCCCATCTGGTCCTGGAGATATCGAAAGCACTTCGATAGGGAGATGCGTAGAACGGGACTGCCAGCCAGGAGGCTCGTGGCCCCAGGATTTTTTCCAGCCTGTTCGTCCGACGGTTCCTGAGGGACTCATGAAAGGCGTGATCCGTTTCTGGGCCACGAATGTCGCACCGCCTGTTGTCCCACGCCGCGGGGTGTCGTCAAGCGAGCGGCGGGACGGGTAGCTCTTGTACGGAGAACTCGTGCGGGTGCCTTCTCCTTCCGAGACTTCATAACATGAAGTTGGCCGGGAGGACGCTAGTGAATGGACGGACGACGTAGCAGAACTAGTCCTATGGTGTACAGGTCGAGGTCCTGCCTGATGACGTATGACACGAGTTGACGAAGAAGACCCGGCTCGTCTGTGGTGATATTTATGCATCGGTGAATTGGTGCGATAGTGCGCTGACCCATTAGACCCTGCAGATGGCGATTTGCGATGCTTCCCAAGTGTAACACTATGAATGGAGGAGGGGCGCGATGAATATTCTCCCCTGTCAGATCCCGGCGTATGAGCACCGCCATACGATCGCACGCTGGGAATTTGCTCCAGTATGTGAGGTGGCTCCAGAACTAGCATTTGCCCAGAGTTTCCTGACGACCGACGGGAATTCACACTGCTTGAGCGACGCGACGAGGTTGAGTGACGTTTCACACGCCGTCCACGCCCAATTCCACTGCCTCTTTTCTTCACATTTCCATGACCACCAGGTGACATGGAAGCAGTAGGAGGGATGGCAAGAGAACGGCTATATGAGAGTCCGCGTCCACTGCCTTGAGCTTGAGGCGCCTCCTTCCGCTTTCCTTTCTTATCTTCCTGGAACCACAATCTGAACGTAGACAATAAACTGGCACGATTCCGGTTAGGTGGCACAACCTTTCCCTCGTCTGAGAAGTTCGGTAGGCTCGTCAGCGTATCACCTGGCGAGTTTGCAGGTGTCGGCGCGTGTGATTGTGGAGGAGACGTTCGGCCACCAGTGACCACCCACGGCGAACCAGGCAAAGGGGACAGAACACTTGACTCTGCAACAGACGGGATAGTAGGGACAATAGGTTGGTCCTTAGGTTTCAAAGGCGGGGACTTGGTCAACTTGGAGGAGTTCCCAGAATTTCGGGGCTCTTCCCCGCCTCCACTTCGCTTCTCGTGCTCTCTGGATCTTTCCCGCTCGCGGTCCTTGTCCTCCCCTTTTACTACTTCGCTTGATTTCTTGCGCACGAGACCTGCGATTTCAAGGGCATTCGTGGCGCGCTGCATAATGCTCACACTGCCAGAGCGTGCCTTGCTATCCCTCCTCCCTTTACTGTCCTTGTCCTTATCTTTGAAGCTTCCATTAGGCGTCGATGGATTGGACCTGCCGGAGGATTCAGCAGTAGTCGGTGACGGTGACAGAAACGGCGATTTCGCACGTGGTGGCGTCATAGGCCGTGTGGATGATGGGACGGTGGGCGTCGGAGGCAGCAAGGCAAATTCAGGAGCACGGTGTATTAGACCCAATGATGAGGTAATTGTGGCATCGTCAGTCTGCACACCGATGCCACGCTTGGTTCGTCTCCGAGAATCAGGGCGGTCCTCTTTCTCTCCGTCTTTCTCTCGCTGTTTGCTGTCTTCGCGCTCGGAAAACTCGGGAGGGGCCGGTATCTCTCCAGCCGAAACGCGTTTTTCCCGCTTACGCTTTAGCATCCACCAAATAGCACCTGCAGCGTCGCATGCATCGCTGAGAACAGAATGCACGATCTGACTAGTGTCAAATCCGAGTAGACTGAGGCTATTGAGAAGGTCGCGTTCTGCGGGCGTGGAGAAAATTATGGGAGCTGGAGTGCTGAGCAATGATGCAAAATCTTGGGGTGGTAGAGGGGCCAATGGCTTGTCCAGTGTTGGTGAGTCGGGGTCAGAAAGGGTAGAAGACACAGAGCGGCGCTTTGTACGTGCGGGTGTACGTGTTGGATACGGGGGTGCCTTAGGGGTCTGATCGAGGTTTGTAACTGACCCTGTGGCGGATGGTACGACGTTCTCTGCTTCAGATTCCTCTTCAATGACGGTTTCAGGTGGTCGAGTCATGCTATCTTTACTGAAACATTGAGAGCGCTGAGCAGCCTTAGTAATTGTGGCTTGGCTCTCGTTACTCTGAGTTGTGTCGAAAGGATCCTTAGGAGTGTCACCAGGAGTTGTAGGAGGAGATGGAGATAAATGAGATGATGCAGAAACAAAGGATTCAGATGTAGTCGACGTCGCCGAAGAAATAGAAAGTTCGTTCACCTGTATTTGAGTGTTCACGACGGGTTTTACAAGGAGGATAAAGGTATCGCGGGCAAGTGACGGGGATGGAGGAACGCAATTGACACCAAGTAGTACTTGGTCGGAAACAGGGGCGGAAGGAGTGGATGTAAACCAGGGAGAGGCTAGAATTTGTGGGATTGTCAGACGCTTGGCAGGATCAACCTCGAGAATGTTGCGGATAAGGTCGCGGGCGTCTATGTCCGCCGCTGGTAAATCACATCCGAAGAGCATAAAATGAATAGATACCTGTAGAGAGCCACTCGGGGTCTTCATATTGGCCTTTAATGACCTTTTCTTTCATGACTGCTTCGTCATCATCATCAAACGGAAGTGTGCCAGTTAGAAGACAGTAGAGAATCACACCCATGGACCAAACGTCGACCTCTGATACATCATCGAAATTAAAAGGTTCCAATAGAAGAAAGTAAGGCAGGCGAGCTCACCTGGACCGAGGTAACGCTTGCCTTGGAGCATCTCAGGGGCCGCGTAACCGGTAGTGCCACAAAAAGTCTCCATATAGACGCCGCGGTCATATTCGCGAGTAAAGCCAAAGTCGCCAAGTTTGACGCGACAGCGTTCATCAAGTAGGACATTTTCAAGCTTCAGATCTCGGTGGACGATGCCCTTCTCGTGTAGATATGCGACTGCAAGTGCAAGTTGACCAAAAATGATACTGGATTCGCTGTTCGGACAAGCGACCTTTCTCAGCAAGATAATCAAACAGCTCGCCACCACAACAGAGTTCTGTGACGATCCAGATGTGAGATTCAGTGGCAATGACTTCATACATCTGAGTGACATGGGGGTGGTGGAGCTGGCGGTGGTGGTGTATTTCGCGGGTGAGGGAGGCAGACATTGCCTTCGGAATTTGCTTTATGGCAACTCTGGTAGAGGTGATACGGTGAGTGCCCAGGCGAACCTTGCCGTACGCGCCTGGTGTGTGTCAGGGATAGGAAAGCAAGAATAAGATAGTCAGAAACCATACCTTCACCGATGACCTTTCCAAGGGTGTAGTTTCCGACAACCCTTATCTTGCTCGATGAGAGTTCCTTCCCGAGTTCGTTATAGGCATTAGCAAGTTGAGCTTTGTGGTTCTGGGTCACGGAACCCGTATGTTTGTGGCCGTGTGCAGACATATACAAGTTGAAATTTAACGTAGAACAGAAATGAGAGGCGCGGGCACAGGGGCCACAGAAGTAGTTCACAGATTGGCAAGAAATTCAGTTAAAGCAGAAGCTTGGCAGATGCCCAGCCGTTTGGTAGGACAAGTTGCTCGATCCAAACTGCTTTCAAGTGACAACTGTTGGACACAGCCAAGATTTCCCACGCCGTCCATTTGGGAACTTCAAAATCACAGCCGAAATAGAGCTCAGTTCTTCCATTCATATATCGCGACAACAACAATTTTCAAGTGGTTCAAATCCGAAGGTCGGACAGCGTACGTCATGGAGACGAATGTCATGGAGCCATGAGATACTCATAGAAAACTTCGTCGCGCTCAGATACCATGCGAAATGCCTGTCAAACTTGCAAAGCAAGAATGGTGAAGAACTTCTTCAAAAAATGATTGCCGATTTGCATATTCTATCTGATCTCGAGCACTACCTTAGTAGCTTCCACCTCGAATCACGATCAAGCGAAGAACTGCTTCCTTATGAAGTATTAGAAGACGAGGACTATCCCCGCGCATATTGTCCTTAGGCCCGGCAGGCAGCTTCCCTGGTTCGCTCCACATATAGGTGCTCAGCGCCTCAATCCTCGCCGCGCTATCAACCTGCGCCTGGATCTCAAAGATTATATAAAACTGGGTTCATTCAAGAGCTTCTTGCCTAATGCGACACCGGCACCGACAACTGCAATTCACACCAGAAGATATCCCTGACCGCGTGCGCGCAAACTGCAATTCCGCGACGGTGACTTCAAGTTACACCTTACATCCTAGAGGCTCTGACAGGGGTGAACAACAGTAAATCCCAACGCTGTTGCAACCTCAAACGTTGTGAATTTCTTTTTATTAGTCAACGTGAGGGAATAAGGCTCTTTGACTCCTGTATGTGCTCCAAGTCTTCGATTCAAACTGCTTGCCGCCGCTAAACACTGGACAGCCGATGTGACTGCCTCTAGTGATACTCACGATCTTGCCAATCGACGGCGTTGCTAATCTCAATGGATACGCACAGTCATGTAGGATCGTTTAACCTAGACGGAACTAGTGACGACTCTATGACTCAACAGCCACCTAGCAAGACGACGGGAAAAACCCAGAAATCACACTCCTTGATCGGCTACACTCGAACTCAGGAAATGGGAAGTCTGAAATGAAATTATACAGGCCGCCACGTGACTGTAAGCTTGTATGAATCCGGACGCACCAGTATCACTACAACGTGGTGCTGCTCATATGCATAAATGTTTTGGCAAGACATGGACGAGGGACAGGTTTAATATGAAGCACTTGCATGACGATATGACCATGTCGAGTCACAACCGAACAAACATTACAAATAGAACATCACTCAAGTACTCACTAGCACTCGGTAGCTGAGATACCAGAACTTCTAAGCCAATGTTAAATAATGCATTACATTTTTAATACGATATTTGAGTGAGGACATCCGGAAAATGGACACTGAGGAAACTTAAGCAGTTTGATTACTCGTGCAAAGCGGCTGACGTGTACGAGTCAATGACTTCAGCCCGCCCCTCGATACAGCAAACTAGGGTTAGGGTCAGGACGGCCAAACAGCAAAAAGAAAGGCCCACCCAGCCAGAGTGGCCGTGGTGGGACGGGAAAATATTGAGACGGTGCATGAGCCGAAGCCCATACAAACCGCAAACACCCTCTGAGGACAAGGTCGCCGTGCTATGAAAGGTCTCCACGGCCCACGAACCTGAGACGTGAAGAGGCCTGTGCCATCAAGGTAAGTATGAAGAATTCAATTCCTATCTGGTCGGATTTTATATTGGGCTGAGCGTGCACGGACCATCGATTTGCGTGAGAGCGACAACCCATCCTCCATTTACTTTCGTTCTTAAAGCTTCCAGTTACAAGGAACCGTGGTACATCTCTCTTCATCGTGTCAATATGTTTGACTGGACTGGAGATCAATCTGTCGCGAATGTGCATATCGCCTCGTAGGCAGGTTGATCACTAAGACCTACTAAGACTCTAATATCGTTTGTCACGGCTACTTTGACTGTGGGCTAGCTATAGGAAATCTCGGGCGACAACCTATGGTGGATTGTTTCCTCACAGACAAGAGTATTTTGTGGTGCGTATCTTGTTATAAGTCATTTGCCATAATTCAGCTTTCATTGGTTACATAGTGCAACAAAATACGTTGCAGTTGCGTTGATCCTTGTCGATGCTGGCGGATCGAGTCGACCTTTGACTTGGGGGTGGCGGTTCACAGTACCGCAAGAATCTCACCACGAGGTAGCCGGGAGCCATTTCCAGCACGCTTTCGTAATTATTCATCAGTGGAACGTGTTCATTCAAACCAGCGCTATCCAGCCTGTAAGCTCGCACGGAACTTGAGCCGTTGTTTGGCGTCCCGTCGGACTCAGAAGCCAGTGCTATGCTGACTACAAGCTCGCGTCGAGTTTTAATGTTATCGTGGAAAGCATGGCTGTATCACATCGCGGGGTGCCTTGAGGTATCTCAAGCCGAGCGCCATTTCGTGGCATCAATGACCCATGGAATTGTGCATCGTGACGTTCGTGACTTCTCGAGCAACTGCTTAACCGATGACTTCCCGTAGTACAACTGCATCAGTCCTCGATATCTGCAGTCTTCGAGTGTACTACACTGGTGATCTTTCAAGCTCTGCAGAGTATGGGCGATCTTCTCCTGATAGTGAGTGCGATCTGCAATTTGATGCCACCAATCATTGACCAATTATAGCCACAGGGTAGCAATTAATGTGAGCATATTGCGGGTCAGATGCTACGTAGTGAGCGCTCTAATCTTTCGCTTATCTACCGGGTAGCACGTATTGCCCATATAAAGTGATTTTCTCGAACACTGTCAAATCTGGGGCTATCTCTGGCTATGACGGCTCAGGGGCATTCCGAGAGTTAAGAGCGCCACTTCTCACGAACGGATAGCCGCAACTTCTGTATAGAACTCTTTCAAGTCGGCGTCGTATATTTCCCTACCAAAAAAAGATTAGATTTCACAGCCTTGACTCAGGGACCAGTGATTCACATCCCGTCTGGTGTCTCGAAATCCAGCAACTTTTGGAAGCAGTCTTTGAGTTCTTGTAAACTCCCGGCATGACTTTTGCCATGCCGGTTCGTGCTTCGTTCAAGCACAAATTCAAGGTATAAAGGCCTGAACCCGGCACACAACCTGGGCATTCAAAAAACTCGCCATGTTCTCTCAAGCTCTCACTGCTCGCGCTGATAGCATCGCTCGTCATCTCGAGACGATCTTTCTTTTCACACAAAATGATATCAGAACCACTCTGATACCTGTCGTATGTAACAACTAATACGTGTCTCGCCCCCTCGTTCAATTACACTTTTCAGACCATATTTGCATTATCTGCGGCTCCAAGATATGATCCCATCCACGCTTGGAATGCTCCTTTGTGGATATGGTTCCACTTATTGCAGTTCGATATTGCCAACCAGATCCAGGATCCGGAGGAGGACCGCAAGAACAAACCCTCCCGTCCGATACCTGCTGGTCGCATTTCTGTCGACAGCGCAGCTGATATACGCTGGGTGATGGTCCCAGTCTGCTTGATGCTGTCGTTGTGGTATGGCACTCAGGCTCTGCTGGCCAGCACCGTTTTTGCGGTGTTCACGATCTGGTACAACGAACTTCACGGTGATAAAATGGGATTACCGAAGAATGTACTCACAGCCATCCTCGGTGGGTGTCTGGAGGTTGGAGGAACCGTTGCTGCTGGTAAATCTATCCAGTTGCAGACAATCTATCAGTTTGCTGATCAAGCGTACAGGTTCTTGCAACTCACGCATGGACAAAGTCGGTGCTTTGGCGGTTGCACTTAGCTCGACAGTCTTTGCGACTACGCTTCATGCGCAAGACTTCAAGGATGAAGAGGGCGATCGCCTCACTGGCAGGTGCACCCTGCCCACAATCTTCCCTAAAGCCGCACGCTTTTCAATGATGCTCGGCATTCCCCTCTGGTCATTTGTCTTGAGCCATATCTGGAAGCTAGATGCGCTCTCTACCACTGCATTTGTAGCTTACGGTGCATATGTGGGGACCCGATTTGTGATGTACGACACAGTGGGCGCCGACAAGCAGTCCTGCAAATTTTATAGCGTGAGTCGAAATATTACTTGGGAGCACAGCGAAGTGAAGCTGACAATGGACTCATAACAGTTGTGGTACGCGCTCAGCCATCTACTTCCAGGTTACTGGCGTTTCTTCTATGGTGTTTGAGTATCCGGAGCTGAAAGTCGTATTTATCCTGTTCTAATGATATACTATCTAATAGCTTATTCTTCTTGTTGTACCACACGAAACAAATTCAAACTAGTCAATAATTGACCTTGGTTACCTGATACTTTGATGGCCAGTCAATATTCAATCGTAAGTCTATGCATCACCTTTGGACTCAGCGGCCAGATCTTGTACTTACATAATGACCTGACTTAAAATCGTGCATTGTAAGCCAATCAACTTTTTTCGTACACTAACTTGAACCATCAACATAAGTTGACGCTTGAGACTACCATCCAGGTCTCTTTTGATTTACTGCAGGCATGGGTACTAACGGGTACCACGCGGTCCGCTATCGGAATATGTATTTCAAATCACACCACAATTCTGATGGTTATCCAGAATGGCTCGGCCTAAAAGTGCTTCAACTTATATTATTGGTGCTACGCTCGATGACGACGCAATGAGCGGAGTCACTGTTTGGAATTCAAACCTCCATGTATATATATATCCCGCTTCTCTTTCTCACCTTCCCTCAGTTTGTTCCATCACACTGAGGGTAAGCCTTTTTATTATTCGGTCTGCTGCAGGACCCATGAGAACCCCCATGGAACCCAGGCTGGCGTCCGGACAAAAATTGACCCAAATGACCGTTTCACCCAGGTTACAGTCCGGACACAAAACGTCTAATTTGGGTGTCAACCCAGGTGAGCGTCCGGACATCTGCGAGGGGGGTGGTGGTATGCCAGGTCGAAGTCCGGACAAATATGGTAGAGTAGTGTAGCGGAACGACACAGTCGATAATGTTGAACGCGAGAGTTCAAATCTTGCTTTTTACAGCTTCCATTGGACGCTTGAAGTTCGAATGAGCAAGTCGACTACTATATGTGATGCCCACAAAAGTGCAACTGGCGCAAACCAACATCTTTTTTCTTTCATTGGTACAGTTCTCCTGTCTCACGTCTAGTTATGAACGAGCTCGATCTCGTTTGTCCCCCTCCGTCCCCTCAAAGTCGATGACTTTGCGATTGTATACACGGAGTGGGGCCTTCGCATCAGCCGAGGTGAGTTTGTGCTATCATGTCATTGTAATCGCTGACACAGTCTCAGTGATTGCAATATACTCGAAAGGTGGCGGTAAAAACGGCAAACACGCTGCTGTTGACAAAGCAGACGCTATCGCTGGTGTCTCGTACCTTGGCGTCCATATCTACCAGCAACATTTTCATCGTCATTTTCGTTCCATTCCTGATGCAACCGCCATGTTCCAATGCAACCACTTTGCCTTCCTTCCTTCTACTGCCTTTCTCTGTCTACTTTCATCTAAGCCCAACCTAACGCGCTCGGGACTCGAACTTGCACCTGCAGACCTCACAGACTTCGATATCCTATCAACTGCTTTGCCTCAGTTGGCGGAAGCGGCCAAATCGTTCCGCAAGAGGACTTCGAGGAACGGGGCCACACAGAGGGATGAAGAAGGCGATTTTTGATTGTTTTTTGCTTCTCGTGGCTATTCTAAACACACCTAGCTACTTAGAATAAGAAAAAACGCATTTTTGAGATTTTTGGTAACCTGGGTCAGAGTCCGGACAAAATTCAGCCCTCAGGTGAACCCAGGACGGCATCCGGACAAAAATCCCCAAAACGTGTCCGGACAAGTTTGGGCCTCAGCCGACCTGGGTTCTAAAGGGGTTCTCATGGGTCCTTCTGCTGCATCAGTAAATTAGCATATTTCTTGACCTGCCTTTTTGGTAACTTGCCGCCGGTTAAGTTCCCAAAAAGGTGTGGATAAGCCACGTGCAAGAACGGCGACACCCACTTGCCACAAGCAATTTTAAGTTGAAAAAGCAGATGCCTCCTCTTGACTGGACCTTTTTCCACACTTATTTTGGCTTTTTTTCGATGATTTTGCCTTTGTAAGTAGTGCAAGTGCTAGCAAATAGTAGCAAGTAATAGTTCTTATTTCACTTATTTTTGACTTGTTCATGACTTATTCACACTTTTTGAGAGAAACATGACCACAAAACATTGCATTTTCAAGCAACAAGTAGATTAAGTACAGAAAAGACATTAAAAAGGAGCTTCAGAAGCAATAGCACTGGCAGCAGCAGAATAATGAAGCAGCAAAGAGTAGTAGCAGTATGAAGCAGCGGCAAAGAGTAGCAGGACGAGGCAGTGGCGAAGAGTAGTAGTCAACTTGAAAATATTAGTTAGTGAGATGCATGCAGGCAATGAGAAAGACTGTACTGGCAACTAGTAGTACTACTAGAAGATGAGTGCATGCTCATCCTCAGAGTGTTCATCTAGTACAGCGGAGGGTGCACCATGCCTCTTCAAGGCGATCTCCTTTGCCCATCCCCAGATATCCTGGAGGACCGAATCTTGCAGGCAATTAATAGATTTCATGTAACACCTAGTCATTTCACCAAAGTTGGTGTCCGAGAAGGCCTTTTGAGAGCTGCTGATCTTGCCTGAGGACTTGTTCATAGAGTGAGGGACCTTGATGGCCTTGCCTTTACTGTTCACCTCTAATTTGCTGACAAGTGTCTCGGAAGCGATAAGGTGTATGGCGCATTCCATCTGAAACACAGGAAATAATTAGCTGTGCTGTGAAGAGAGGGGAGAAATACATGCCGCTGCAGTACAAAGACTGAGAGCGCCTTTCGCATGCATTCTTTTGTGATGGCTGTCAATAGTGCCCCAAGTGGCGCATGTGTGCTGTACAAGAACCTGAATAATGAGGTCAGACTGAAAAGGTCTCTCACATTTCCCATCCTCCATGATGTTCCCATACAGGAACGCTAGGTCGATGAGTAAGCTCTCTGCAAATCCTTTGCGATCTTCATTGGTCTTGACATCATCTTGCAATGACATGAAGTTGGTGAATACTGTGACAGCCGTGGAGCCAATCCCATTGCACCACTCTGATAGCTGTTGGAGAGCCTAAAAAGAAGAAATGTCAGACATGAATAGCATCAAAAATTACTCACTATAGCCATAACAGGTCCATCATTTGTGATGGTGTGGGGGGTATCTTCATAGACCACATCCCAGGTGTCCTGTAAAGTAGTGTGGAGTAAGGCTTCCAACTTGATACGACCCCAGACTTCATCCTGATCTCTGATAGCAGAAATGAGAGTAGGGATGAAAACGGAACTCCACCTAGCCACTGCCTGAGGTCCTCCAGGAAGGTGCTTGATCCTATACAAAGAATGGGGGAGGATCTCCACTGTCACCTCTAAGGGATTTGTGGGACCAGCCTCAAGTTTTATGGTACTTGGGATGCTGAACACACTGCAAGAAGACTTCAGCTGCTTTGCTGTGGGGGCATTGCATTTGACGCCAATGCTGGTCTATAAATTTTGTAGTCAGTAGAATCAAAATATTTGAAACCAGAGCACACTACCGTAGAAGTCAACCACAAGGACACTGGTTTGTACTCAGTCTTGACCACATGCTTGGGCTTGACCACACACTTGATGTGACCCACAAATTCAATATCGGAGGAGGGTAAGTCTTCCTCAACCTGCTGATCTGTGATCATGAGGTCATTGTCCTCGATCACAAAGTCATCCGTAATCATGAGGTTGTCCTCAAATAGATTGTCCTCAAATAGATTGTCCTCAAATAGATTGTCCTCAAGTAGATTGTCCTTGATCAAGTCATCTTCAGTTAAGGCATCCTCAGCATCTATGAGTTTGTGCTTGACACCAGTAGAGCAGGATGAGTAAGATGGAGTGATATGTGGAGGCCGGAGGTCAGCATTGTAGTATCCTTTGGGAACCTGCTCAGAAGGAGGAGGTTCAAGATCAGATTCCCTATCGCTGTTGGAATCATAGTCAACAAGGGAAGTTACTACAGGTGCAGTCTTCACATTCGTTTCAAGGTTGTCATCCATGATATTGAAGGCACTATCATCAGCAGTGATATCAGGCTCAATCTGGTTGAGCTGCTTGGGTGTTGGATTGGCATTGTGATGGGCTAAGTTCATCTGAGGTATAGAATCCTTCTGAGAAATTTTGACACCCTGGAAATGCAGTAAGCACATGGAATTAAACCAGATGGTCGGACTCACCTGAGCAGCCTTTAATTTTGACATATGAGCAAGCGCTTGAGAGCGTTTGGCTGAATCGGTTAATTCATCATCTGCAAAAAGGGTTGTAAAAAGGTCTGACATGTTGTTGGGCCCAACATTGGGGGTATGGATAGGTGTGAGTGAAGCACCACCACTACTCATAGTGCTCCCCCTAGTAAGCTTAGAGGAGGGAGTGGTACTAGAGATAGTAGAAAGTGCTCCAGAAGATCTGTGCTTCAAGTTGGAGGATGGCTTTGAACCACCAATGGGAATACTCAACATCCAATTTGGAATACGACCAGCAAGACCAAATTTTTTAGGAGCTGGTGGAGAGCTAGCATTGTTATCATAGACCATGAGATTGAAAAAAAAAGAGATGTTTCGGTCAGATGGAACTTCATGGTTAAAACAATAAAATGCCTTACACATCTGAGTCAGATGACTTATCATCATCATGTGCCTGTGTTGATTCACTGGCGATAAGGGCACCTGCCACATCAATTGCATCTCTCATAGGTGTTTTCACTGGTATCACTGTCCTCTTTCCCTTCTTCTTTGTGTGTCCTCCTGGCATCTGCACCTCCAACTCCTCATCTTCTTCACTCCCAGGATGCTCAATATTGGCACTGGCAGCTGATTTATCAGCCCTGCCACCCTTACCTTTGGCGCCAATAGCCTTATTGGCAGCTGTAGTCAAGTTGGTGGTTTCTGGAGCTTTTGCAGCCTTTTTCACCGGATGAGGACAAGGATGACTAGGCTTAGGTGCATCAGCACATGCAGCAGCTTGGTCTGTCTGCAACTGTTTCTGAAATGCTGCAACACACTTATGAGTTTCCTGTATAGCTGCTTGACTTGCCTCCTTCTCCTCTTCTTCGCATTGATTGTCAGTGGCCTTTTGAGCTTTGGTACATCTTTTTATGCAGTTGTCACCTCCAGTAAGAATATGTCCTGGATGCTGAGTTGCATTCTTAGGTTGAGTCATCATGCGTTGTGGAACTGTGCTGGCAGGCATGATAGTATCAATGGAGGGTTTGGGAGGCTAAAGAAATTTGAGGGCGATGGTAGCTCACAACAAGGTATGTTTTGTCACGATTCTTCAAAAATTGTAGTCTAAGCTGACTCTGAATAAATATCTACATTGACCCTGATGTACCTACTAGATTTGCGCGATTCTTTTGCACTTGCCACTCCAAAATGCTGGTCTAGTGAACCCAGAGTTCACTGTATCAGACACCTTTAAATTTCCAGTGTTCGTCAATGAGCCTGTGTGATTTGGGCATTTCTTCAAAGAACCCCAAAATCTAGCCTTCATTGGTGCATTAAGCCTGGTTTAGTCACATTGGTGCTGGTCCGAATTGGTCGCTTGCCTTCAGAAATCCTCTTCGACTACTACCAACTTGGCTGACAGCACATATGCCTCCCTGCCATGCTCACCACCTACTTCAGCTTCCATGCCCAGCTCCGGGCTGCGCATGCTGGTTTCGAAATCAATCAGGTCTCACCCAACACAGGCATTCACTCCACTCAAATATACCTACTCCAGGACCTCCTCAAGATCTCCTACCACCACCGCTACCCCCTTGCCACCATCCTCAACCATCCTGGTCACCATCCCACCCTTGAGATTTCACACCACCACCTCCAGATTTCACACCACCACCTCAGGATTTCTCACAACATCCCCAGCCATCACCTCCTGCGCCCTCTGAACCAACTCACAAGGATTCAGACAATGCTGATGCAGAATTTACTGATTCAAGCAAGCAGTGTTATCATACATACCATTCAATGGTAAATGGTGTGTTCTTTTACATCTGTTTTTGATTTGATTTTGACTTAGATTCACACTTAGGATGACCATGCACGGCTGATGGAGAATTTCTGCCACATGGCACCCCTCCAACTCCTATGCCACTAAAGGCTCCTGATGATTGGAGCCCATATTGCAATAGAATAGAATTTGAGATGGCCGAGTTCGCATTCAAAAAATGCCACATGTCTGCCAAGAACCTGGATTTCCTATGCAATTTAATGGCCGCAACTCTCATGAAACACCATGATGTCCCTCCATTCACCAATCATAAAGACCTCCACAATGTCATAGATGCAACACAGCTTGGTGATGTCCCTTGGCAATCTTTCTCAGTTCAATACACAGGAGAATGCCCTGAGGTTGTCCCACCATGGATGGATGATGAATTTGAGGTGTGGTATAGGGACCCCTGCACGATGGCACACAACATATTAGCCAACCCTACCTTCAAAGACGAAATCAACTATATGCCATTTCGTGAATACGATGCAGTGGATGACACATGTCATTGGAAAGACTTCATGTCCAGGGACTTGGCATGGCAACAAGCAGTATGTTTCCAGCTATTACTGCTCCAAGTTGGGACATAGCTAACACTTCACCAAGGACACCATATCAAAAGATCCAGAGGCACATGGATCTGTGTTAGTCCCAATCATTCTCAGTAGTGATAAAACTACCATTTCTGTGGGCACCGGTAACAATGAGTACTATCACCTTTATGCCTTGATCAGCAATGTATGCAACAACGTACAGTGTGCTCACCATGATGCTCTTGTCATAATCGGTTTCCTCATCATACCCAAAAGTACATGTTTTTTCTAAATTTTATTGTGCATCATTTAACTTACTATACTACAGCTGACAGGAAGCATTCAAAAGATGACATGTTTCGGATATTTCATTGCCAGCTATTCCACAGCTTGCTATCTGCTATTCTCTCCAGCTTGAAATCCGCAATGACCAAATATGAAGTTGTGTGCTGTGGAGATGGTCATTTTTGGCGCATTATCTACATAGCAGATTACAAGGAACAATTAGTGCTATCTTGTATCATTAAGCATTGGTGCCCAAAGTGAGTATTGGAGCTTGTAATCAGTATCCATCTGTACTAATGATACACATAGATGTATTGCAGTTCAAACAAACCTTGATGGTGGTGGTGTGTATCACTGTCATGGGCATACTGATTTCCTAATCGATGAGCTATGCAGGGATGTATTATGGGATGAATTCGGTATCATTGGCGATCTCGTTGTGAGTGGAATTGGTCACTTTGCAATACCGAGCTAATATCTATTGTGCAGCCCTTTACAAACAACTTCCCCTGAGCAGATATCCATGAGTTACTGTCATTTGACCTCCTCCATCAGCTCATTAAAGGTGCATTCACAGACCATCTCGTCAACTGGGTAGTGAAGTACCTCAAGGCTGCACATGGGACCAGGCAGGTGGAGGAGATTATGAGTGACATAGATTGCAGGTATGTTACTTTATTTATTATCTTGATACTATTGTCTAATTTAAGTTAGAGTCACTGCTGTACCATCATTTGCTGGTCTATGATGATTTCCTCAAGGCCACGACTTCAAACAGTGGACAGGTGATGATTCGAAAGTGCTCATGAAGGTCTTTCTTCCAGCTATTGAAGGCCACGTACCTGGAGATATGGTTCGTGCATTTCGTGCATTGTTAGAATTTTGTTATCTTGTGCAGTGTGATGTTGTCACCGAAGATACCTTAAATCAGATTCAAGATGCACTTCACCATTTCCATCACTATTGCAAGATATTTGATCTTGTCGTTCCTACCTTCTCACTCCCTCGCCAGCGCTCAATGATTCATTATGCAGACATGATTCGACTCTTTGGTGCCCTGAACGGACTATGCTCCTCAATTACAGAATCAAAACACATCAAGGCTGTAAAGGAGCCCTGGCATTGGTCAAGCAAGCACAATGCCCTTGGTCAGATGCTTGTAACCAATCAATGCCTTGACAAGCTTGCAGCATCCCATGTAGACTTTGATGTACAAGGGATGCTCACTGGCACTATTTTGTTAAGTGCTTTAGCCGCTCTCGGTAAGTCTGTTCAACATTTCTTTCTCTGATTGTCTTCTCGCATACTCAAACAGCAACATATAGCACTAGATGAAGATGAACAAGCTGTCCCTCCTATTCCACCACAGCCAGATGCCCATGACGTTGAACCACAACCAGTCATTGATATTGATGATGGTGAGATAGTGGATGGTCCAACAGTCCTTGCTTATGTATGGCTTGCCAAAACTCCTCGTAAGTGATACCAAGCAGTGTCTACCCTCGATGCTAACTATTGTATCATACAGAACAAAAATGGGCATGAACAGTAGTGGCATTAGCATGTGAAGTTGCTGTTCCAGACCTGTGATGCCTCATTTGACACTTCTTGTTCACTCAACTCAACTGAGATGATCCCCGCAATCCTGCAGATGTCCCAACTGGTAGCTTGCCTCGGCACAAAGGCAAGCTCCAGGTCTTCAATTCTGCTGCCACAACTTTCTTTGCTCCCAGCGATCTGAGTGGTACTGGTGGCATGCGATGGGAACATATCCATGCATGTCCACTCTGGAGAAATGAGTACCTGCGCAACGACTGTGTGTTCGTCAACACTGATTCAGATGCTCAAGGCATGCGAGGACTCGAAGTTGCGAGAATCATATGCTTCTTTTCTTTCAATCACAACTGGGAAGTATATCCATGTGCTCTCATTCAATGGTTTGAGAAGATTAATGATTGTGCTGATGAAGACACTGGCATGTGGATGGTCCTTCCCAGTTTCCATGAGGATGGTTCTCAGCACCTTGCTGTGATTCATATCAAGATGGTGTTCTGTGCAGCACACCTGCTACCTATATACGGTTCCAACTACATCCCTCATGGCCTCATGTTTTACCATTCTATTGATTCTTTCTGCTCATTTTATGTCAACAAGTTCACTGATCACCATGCCTTTGAAATAACCTCCTGACCGCCATGTATGGCATAGGTAAGTCTTCAATTCATATTTTGGTCTGTTTTTAACGGTCAGATCCCAATAGAATATCTTACTCCTTGATGTGTCTCCCCTCTTGACAAGCCTCACCTCAAGGCTATGTACATGAAGAGCCATCATGTGGGGCATGCAGTACTACCATTCCCACTACCACCTTATCCTAACCAGCACCCCCTGGGCTTCGCAGACATGTCGGGGAATGCCACCATTGTGCAGACACTGGTCTTTAATGCCTTTGTCTTTGCTCAGATATCCAACTCGGTAAACTCACGAAGGCTGGATCAGAAGCTCAACATTTTTGAAGGCATGCTTAACAACTGGTACTTCATGGCCATCCTTCAGAACAACCTTCCAGATATGTCATGAAGAGCCATCATGTGGAGCATGCAGTACCTACCATTCCCACTTCCACCTCATTCTCACCAGCACCCCCCTTCAGAACAACCTTCCCAAATGTGAATGAAGAAGAGAAACTCAAGCTCTTGTTGCACATCCTTTTGAAGTTCTTTGCAGCAGGTCACAGGGTGTGTCACACCTATAATTGCCTGAGTTGTACTGATCATTGTGTCTATCAGATCCCCATTTTCTTCCAAATGATGAAGGTCATGGACATCATGGAAGATTTCTTGAAGATGATGGGCTGGAAGTACCTCTGTTTTGATGGTGGTATGAAAACAGAAGAGCATGCCTTACACATACAGCAGTTCAATGCGAAGGATTCGGTCTCCATCCTGTCGACATGAGCTGGTGGTTTGGGGCTCAACTTGCAGACTGCAGACACGGTCATCATGTGCGCTCATCAATGATCCTCCAGAGCTCAGATCCCCTCATCTCTCCCTTTCAGGTCTTCCCAAGCTAGAGCATGAAAACGCACCACCTCATATTCCACCATCATCTCCCAGCAGGTGGTCCTGCTCCTCTCTGCCCAATGACACAGATAACCTACCATCTTCTCCATCCTCTCCTGGCACATTCATGCACATTACAAGCTCAATATCAATAACAAAATGGTCATTCAATCCAATCCTCAGTCTGTTGCTAATGGTCAGGTCCCAGGGCATCAGTTGAAACTTTTGGTGATGTGCACAATACAGGCGGGGTGCATTCTTCTATATAGTACATGTGCTACAACGCTAACAGCTCATGTTTACAGGTCTGAATGAGTGAGACAATACTATCAATAGCATGACTGGTAAGTGTTCCAATACCACAAGATATTTTGGTACTCACTTTGGTATACAGTCACCTTACACTTGAGCAACACAGACTTGGATGCAATCCTTCTTGGTCCAGAACCTCCTCACCCTCTCCCAGAGCCCCAATGATGCTTCCATCCCTTCTCCATTCACCTCCACTCCCTCTGCAACCACCTCAGTGCAAATCATCAAATCAGCCCTTATCTCAACATCATCCCATTGGTGTTTGCTGCCTTGGCCTCGAACAATGTTTTTTGAAGCCATCAACTGTCCAGATCATCAATCAGCAGTAACGGGTACATAAGTAGATGTAGACTTACTATACTTTTTGTGCTTGAAATATATGAAGTCACTTCTGTACACTTGCAGTGCTTATCAGTGCTTTGTTTGCATCATGCTTCTTTTCGACTTGTCAACAAATGTGCCAAGTAAATAATTGTAAATAAGATGTAAATAAGATTTAACCTTTTGCACAAAGTGGCACCAAGAAATGTGCTAATTTACTGATGCTGCTAGATACTGACTACAGCTTAGGCTTATGTAGTATCTAGGTATTCAATATAGTTTGTTCCATCACACTGAGGGCTTATGCAGTATCTAGCATTAAAAGGTTATGAGCCCTGCTCACTTGTAAATTGAGGAGCAGAATTACCAGCTAGGTACTTAACAAGCCTCCAGAACAAACCTGCCAGGTTATTAAACCCTTGGGGATCTTATCAATGTCTATTGATGTCATCTCAATGTTTAATCTTGCCTTCTTAGGTCAAGGCAAATCACTTGCAGTCGCCCACAAGTATATATACCTGTGTGTCGCTTGTTTTTGATCTCCCACCTCCTGTCCTTATGCCTTCAACTACAACCCATACTAGCTCTAAGAGCTCTGGCACTAAAGGCGCATCTCTCAGTCCACCATCTGTCATCCCACCCTCAGTCTCCATGTCTACACTTCAAGCTATGATCATGGCCATTATGCTGAGCCAGACTGATCTGGACAAGATCAAAGTTCTCGATTGAAGCAAGAACAATTGGGGCATATGGTCCAACCATATGCAGAATTACCTCTTACTCAAACATGGAGGGGGGTATATTCTCAGACTAGTTGCTTGCCCTGACCCTTCACTGGATCCCTCCAGTGCGGGGCATTGGGATCTCAACAACTTGTGTATCATGGCTGCCTTACACACCCATTCCAGTTCTGAAGAACAAGAATTCCTTTGTGGATACACCAATGCTCACCTAGCATGGGATGCCCTCAAATCATGTCATGAGAAGGTTGGACCCATTGCCCAGATTCTCCTTATTCAACAAGCATTGGTGATCAAGTATGTTCATTCAGAAAGGCTTTCTACCACTAGCACTACTCTCCACAACTTAGTATGTTGCATCTATGCCATCAGTATTCCCAAGGAAGAAGACTTCCTCACCATTATGATGCTCAATGCTATGGCTGAGGATCTTCCACACATCCAGAATCATATCACTGATGCTCTCACCACCAGCACTATCACTAACCCTTATGGTCCTTCCCACATCCACTCTCGCCTTGATGTTGAGCAACAGTTGCTTGACACTGCGAAATCCAAGAGTGGTGATGTGGCCTTAGCTGCCACCAGTAAGGGGGGTAGTCATTATGAACACAGTTCTTGTGGTACCTGTGGCAACTCCAGTCACTCAATGAGAGACTGCTTCAGCAAAGGAGGTGCTATGAAGGGGAAACAAGAGGAAGTGTTGGCACATAGATGTGCAGCTTGTGAGGCTAAGGGACAGCCTGCAGGTAAAACCACTGTACCTAAGCCTACTGCAGCCACTGGAAAGCCAGGTGGTCTGCGTTATGACATGAATGGTCGTGCTTACCTACTCGACAGCAAGAGTCATGAGGCCATATATGTTGCCACTCCATCTGCTGCTGAAACTTCCGATATGCCCACCTCCACTGAGTTTGCCGGACTGGCCAGTGATGTCATGACTCCAGCATTCATCCACAAGTTATCTGACACTGGGGAAGATGATTATACCACTCTCCTCATGTCACTTGATAACCTTACCACCAGCCTGGACTGGTGCCACAACACTTGTCCTGTGGACTTTGCCAGTCTCACATATAAGGCTCTCAATCAGCGTAAGCGCACTATCATTGACCCTTCTGTGGTCCTGCTCTTCCTTGATAGTGGCACCTCGGTGCACATCAGCAACAAGGAGGATGACTTCTTCTCCCTTCATCCAATCCCACCTTGCTCCATTAACAGGGTTGGTGTATCTTCTATCCAGGCTATTGGCATTGGTACTATATGCCTGGTTGTTGCCAGAGGCATCCACATCTCACTCAACAATGTCTTGTTCATTCCTGCAGCTATGGTGCTTTTGATCTCTGTGTCTGCTCTCTGTGAAGCACATCACTGTATCACCTCTTTCAATGCTACCAACTGCTGGGTCCAGTCACGCAATGGCACTCGCATGCTATCTGGGACTCTCACCTCACACCATCTTTATGCACTATCTGGTGGACAGCTGTCTGCAGATCACACCTTCTTAGCCCACCAGAAGCCAACCCTTGAGTGCTGGCACCGCTGCCTCAGGCATGCTAACTACCGTGCTGTATATGACCTCGCATGTTCCAGTAACGCAACCAGTATGCCTATTGATCTTTCTCCCGTCCCACCTAAGTGTGATGCTTGCATCCTTGGCAAACAGACACATTCTAGCATTCCCAAGTCGCATCAGGGTGTCAGAGCAGGCAGAAAGTTGGGTGTCATACATGTGGACTTGATGGAGAATCCAGATACTGTGTCTGCAGCTGGTAATAAATACATCATGGATATTATTGATGATCACTCTTCTTACGCTTGGTCTATCCCGCTCACTTCAAAATCTGACGCATTTCCCACACTTCAAGCTTGGGCACTCGCTCATGAAGTCGAAACTGGTACCAAAGTCAGGACTTGTCACTCCAACAACAGAGAACTCAAGTCAGCATCCATGCAAGAGTGGCTCCTCTCACATGGTACTGAACATCAGTTCACAGCCCCATATACTTCAGCACACAATGGTTGAGTAGAACGTCTGCACAGAACCTTAATGGGTAAAGCTTGTGCGATGAGATTGGCTTGTGATGTCCCAGTGAACAGATGGGACGAATTCGTCCTAATGGCATGTTACTTATCCAACCATATGCCTTCAACGTCTCAAGATGGTCACACCCCATTCAAACATTGGTATGACTGCCCACCAGACCTTTCTCACCTGCATGAAATTGGATGTAGGACTTTCATCCTGATTCAAAATCACCACCATCCTAAAGTTTACAGCCACTCCGTTGAATGCACTCTTATCAGCTATTCACTCAATTTGAAGGCTTACCGGTGCTATCATGATGCCTCTCATCAAGCATTTGTTTCTTATCATGTGTCTTTTATTGAGTCACATCAACAAGGGGCTACTTTACCTTCGCCTATGACAACACCCATCGCACAAGCATCTCATTCTGTTTCCATTGAGGAAATACTGGACATTGATTCCCCCTCATCAAACACTCCTCATTGTGCTCCATCTATTTCAGCTTCACCTCCATGACACTCAACCCGTGCTCCCATGCTGTCTGAACAACAATGTGCTTTGGACGGTAAGCCATATATCTCAGCAACACAATGTGCTGTCTTAGATTCACTCTTGGCTGCGGAACACCTTAAGGTGACATCCCCTGAGGCTATGGCTACCGTTTTCACTGAGGAGGAGCTCTTGTCCTTGGCTGATCTTTTTGCAGCTATGCCTGATAACCTGCAACACAAATACCCTGATGACCCATCCACATATGCTGAAGCAATGGCTTCAGCACACTCAACTCAATGGCAGGCAGCCCTCAAAGACAAGTTTGATTCTTTATGAGACCTTGGCATTTACAAGCTTGTACCATGATTGACTATACCCCTGGGTCATAAAATTATGCGAGGTCACCCTATCTTCAAGCTTAAATGCGACCAGCACGGACAACCTGCCCATTTTAAGGCCCATTATGTCTGTCATGGGTACTCTGCCATTTGGGGACAGGATTATACCAAGACCTCTGCGCCAACAGCACACCTCAAATCCTTCCATGTTCTCACCCACCTTGGAGCCACCTTAGACTGGGAAATCGATCAAATCAACATCAAAATGGCCTTTCTTCATGGGTTACTAGAGTCTGACAAGGTTTGCTACATATACCAGCCTGAAGGCTTCCTTGAACCGGGAAAAGAGGACTGGGTCTGGGAGCTTCAAAAGGGCCTCTATGGAATGAAACAGGGTGGTCTTGTATGGAACTGCACCATGAATGAAGCAATGATCACCTGGGGATTCACATGTCTTAAATGCAAACACTGCATTTACTATCACAAAACTGACACAGGTATCCTCCTCGTTGCAGTGCATGTCAATGACTTTCTCACTGTGGGCAGCAACAAAACCATCATCTCTGATTTCAAATCACAGCTATGTACTAAATGGCAAATTTCTGACCTAGGTGATGCATGTTTCTGTCTCAGCATTGCTATCAACTGTGACCAACTCAATTGTACCATCAGCCTCTCACAGACTGTGCTCATTGATTGAATTGTCACACAATTTGGCTTGTCTGGCGCCTCACCTGTCTCTACCCCAATGGAAACTGGCCTGCATCTCTCACACTGTTCACATGCTCCCACTACCAATGCTCAATGCAACCTCATGATGCAGACACCTTACCAATCACTTGTGGGTTCTTTAATGTATCTTGCCATAGGTACACAACCCGACATCGTGCACGCCATACAGCAATTGTGTCAACACCTTGATTGCTACAGTCCTGTACACTGGGATGCAGCAAAACACATCGCCCATTATCTCAAAGGGACTCATACTCTTAAGCTTGTCCTAGGCAGAGAACACCCTGCCCATCTACTGGGATTCACTGATAGCAACTACACCAACTGTCCAGACACCCATCGATCCGTTAGTGGCTACTGCTTCACCATGGGCACAGGCATGATTACCTGGAGCACAAAGCAACAGAAAACCATTTCTTTATCAACCTGTGAGGCAGAGTATGTCACTGTGTCTGATGCAGCCAAAGAGCTTACATGGCTGTGCACCTTGCTTCTCAAACTCAAATTCGTGCAATCATCCCCAACTCCTTTACTTTGCAATAACACTGGCAGAATCATGCTTTCCAAAGATGCATCATACCACTCAAAAGTTAAACACATCAACATCGCATTGCATTCCCTACGCGAACAAGTCACTTGTGGCCAGTTCAAACTCTCCTATGTCAAATCCATGCATAATGCCACTGATATATTTACTAAGGCCCTCATGTGAAAGGATTTTGAATGTCTTCGTGCCTGCTTGGGTTTACAGTGAGAAGTCAAGGAGGAGTATTGGTGCTACACTCAATGATGATGCAATGAGTGGAGTCACTGTTTGGAATTCAAACCTCCATGTATATATATATATATCCCACTTCTCTTTCTCACCTTCCCTCAGTTTGTTCCATCACACTGAGGGCTTATGCAGTATCTAGCATTAAAATATATGACAACCCAATGCCATCGCAACCTATTGACAAGTGTTTGGAGAGATGTTGGACAGGTTGAAGAGCCCTTCACATTCCCCATTACTGATAGAAAATGGGGATGATTTCAACCCCCCCTCCTGGTCCCCACCAGAAACTTGCATCTGGACCTATGAGATTGACCTTGATTGCAATATCTTTTGCCTGGATGGCATGCCTTTCTTCTCCTTGGAATGCCTTCCAGATGATAACACTTTTATCCAATACATCACCAATGATCACATGTCCAAAGATGACACTGCCAAAGATCATATCTCCAAAGATCATTATGGCCACACAGCTTGCATATTGAGATGCCCCCCTGAGCACAAGTACAAGAAGCCTGCTGAAGGTTCAACAACTCTGCTGGAGTTGCAGAGCTAAAGAAAGAAAGAAAGGCTCTACCTCTGGGGTGAGAGAAAGCCTACTAACTCTTTGTGTTGGTCAAAGTGTGCCGAGTGATGTGTTTGACCCTTAAGGGAAGCAAGGAAAGCAAGATCCACAAAGTGACACCAGGTCAACTCTGGTGAAGTGCGCTGGGAGCACACACATGGGAATGTCAAGCGTGCAGGAGCGCAAAGCGTGGGAATAAGGCACATGCAGTGCACAAATGTGTAAAAGATGATGATAGGTGTGAACTAAGACTGCTGAGTGGAGACTGATGATAGTAGACTGGGCTGAGGACTAGGGCAACAACTCTGATGGATGCTAACTCATGATAATTCTGACTGCTAGACACTACTGGATGGTGGTGGTTGTTGTATGAAAACTTTCTAGGCAACAGGTAAGCTGTGCCTAGGCACACTCCCAGGGCTTGGAAGCAAATAGGGAGCGCTCTAAGTATGTAAATGATGTAAGGACAGGGTCCATGATGAAATAAAATATTGTATGATGCTAAATATGGTCTGATATGAGAATAAACAAGAAAGGACTCACTAGGGAACTGGTTGGACAATGGATGGATGCTCTGGGATGCTGCGCGACAAAGGGCGACCAAGCATGGGAAGAGCATGCTAAGTGTGTGCACAGGAATGCGTCGCATAGTGCAGGAAAGCATTGCACCTCTGGCGCATTTTGTGGGAAAGTTATAGATAGTGAGTTGTGCACTATACCAATCATTGTGAGTCAAAATATGGGTGATATACACCTAGAGCAATCTCATTCTCTACACCACACCACCAGTCATCAACAATTCTGAACTCATGACATACCAGTCTTTGATGTGCACTGGATCACAAGTGGCTTTGAGTGATCTGCTTGCCAAAAGCGACATCCTGTCTGAAGATGAGCATGTTCGAGTCACATTGCTAGAGGTCATGGTTGGGCAGTGCATGATTAACCCAGCCATTGGCAAGGAAATTTATGAAATAGAGCTTTTAAATGACCACAATCAGGTCACGGACAGTCAATGGTCAATTGCATGCTTCATGGCCAATGTTGCACTTGTTCCTCAGATGTTCAACAACATTTGGCATGTTTACCATCCTGAGCTGAAAAGACAGGAGTTCACATGGGTTCATGAAGATATTGTTGTCTGTATTGCAACACATCTATATGATGAGCGATGCCTACAGGCTTCTGTATCACGCCTGATCAATGCAATCATGGAGCAGAAGGATAATCCTGGTCATTGCTTTGGAATCACATTTTCTGTCTTCCATTGCATAATTGTCAAAGTCATCAAAGACACATACACAGTGATATTTAGCCACATGAGCACTCTCCAATTTTTACCATCATTCTTTGCACATTCACCTTCTATGCCAGGCATCACTGCTCTCACCCATCTTGGCTATCACATCAACCATGCACTCTTCAAGCGTGCTGTGGAGGTTTGCCATTATGCATGGTACATCAACATTAAAGTGGAGAAATTGCTCACTCAGAGAGCTGACAGGAGTGACGATGTATCACACAGCACCATTTGCCCAACGCTGCCTCTTGAGCTTTGGCGAGACATCACCCGGTATCTCTCCCCTTTTGACCTCATCATCCTTGGATTGGTCTCAAGACTATGTCATGAAGCAGCCTTGATGGTACTCCACTATCCCCACCTCTGTGGCTATTGCCTTGTTGCCATTCCCCAAGAGAAATCAAAGTACCTGCAGAGGACACACACCTCTCTGCAGGCTGCATCTTTTTGCACTGTACAAGCCAGCATTCCTACTATTGTGGATGTTTGGGGTGGAGTTTCAGAATAGGCAATCAAAGAGCATGGTCACTCCCCTCAGATTTAATGGTTCCTCTCTTTATGTGGCATTTTTGGCCCATCCCTGATGCTAGGGATGAAAAGCTTCTTCAAATAGAAAACCCAAGTTCTCGTATAGCACAACTAGAGACTCTGATGTCAACGATCCAAGAGCACACATGGGTTCCCTGACTGCTTCATAGACTATGGCCAATATTGTAACTTGTATCATAGGCACAACCAATTGGTGGTGCGAAGCTCCTTGAATCACAGCAAAGACGTGTGCTGCAGTTGGTGCATGCAACATGATCTCCAAGTTCTCTGGGGCACAGCTGCTCAGTGGCTCACTGCCAAATGACTGGCTCCTCCGACTCATTGACCACTGTGGGAAGCTGAGTTAGCCTTTTTATTTGTGCTGTACCTTAGAATAACAAACACAACACAATTGAACTACTGTTACATATCCTTCTCCAATCTTCCCCTCGTTTCCTTACACCTATTTGCAAATTGACAGCTGCACCATTGCAGGTATGAGGTATATGAGTTTGTCCTCCCAGGCAGTTTGGGCAAGCCAAGTTCAGAGTGTGCCGTCAAGACATGGCATCCACCAACAAGTGTTCTGGCAACACCACGATGTACCCAGGCGAACAGGGAGGAAGAACTTGCTGTTATGTCTCAGATGAGCTGAAAGGGGAGATATCACGAGGGAGAAACCCTAACTTTTCTATGACTAGGCAAATGCAACCACAACTAATTCAAAGCCTGCATGAACTGAGAAGGTAATGTGATCTTCTCTGGTACATGAGCCATGGGGAAGGGAGAGTGCAAAGGCAAGAACCACATGAGGAGCTGTTGCATGCAGGTGCTGCGGCGGTATTTGATAATTATAGGATGATCGGGGCATGCTTTTAAAATATCATTGACTCAGAGGGCATGCAAAGAATGTGCCCTTCACAGAGCCAGTGATACCACAGTATGTTGAGACGAAGAGTTTGAGAGGCGGTGAGTCGAGACAGTTTTTAATCACGTGCAGCTGATCTCATTGCTGAACGTGAACAGCACTATCAATTTCGAAAGCTCAGTGCGAGCGCAATAATCAACTAGAGAGTTGGTTGATAGGCTTCCTCTAAGAGGGAAGCAGACAATGATATCGGGCGCCAGTACATTATGCTGTGCATTTTCTCACCATCAACACACCGAGTAGTTTGGGTCCAAGGTGACTCAAGGCAGGCAGAGACGCTCACTCAATATTTGACTTAAATCCACTGGAATACCGACCAGGGTCTGCCACACGACCTTAGGCTGAGGCGATGCTATTCAAAAGCCCAAAGTCGAAAAGATCCAAAAAATCAAAGGCAAGAAGGAACATATCTAGGCGTCATTATTGTATATCTGATCTAAAATAGGACAGCCCAAATGCTAAACAACGCTCCTCTGAAACCAAGGAGTCCCAGGACAACAATATCAGCCAACTGCTGGGTATCACTATAGCAGCCATCAAAGTCACACAAGACTTCGTACCTATCAACTTGGCGAAAGGTATACTCGGAACAGTCGCCAATATCCTGATGATCGTGCAGGTGCGTCAGTATAACTCTCGAAAATGAACGTAAAAGATTCTCAGGTCTGTATAGTCGGTGATCAAGAACAAGTCCGATTTCCTGGCGATAGTTAAAAAATGCAAGATCATCAGAGAAATCCTCGAAAGAGTGACCAAAGACATTACCAGTGACAATCTACCAGGATACTTGGCCCATGCTTTATTGGAGCTTAACTTGTAGGCAAAACTAATTTCACTGTGCCGGGAACTGATAGCGCCAAGCAGATCAGTTAACAATATCAATAATGAGGTAGTTTCAAGGAAGGAAAAAGGATTGTTGAAGAGGTTCTTCTCTGCTACAATTGATCGCGACCAGATCGCTAGTTGGGAAAAGGATATAGACCATGTCCTCGTGCTCTTTAATGTGCGTCTCGTCTCTGTAGCTCAACCTGAACTTCTGCTGCTGAATGTCATCTCAAGACTGAAGCGATCGCTGGCATTGCCATGAGGGTGGAAAGATTCGCTTTAGGACTCGACGGTAATACAATTGGTGTCAATGTTCTAAAGTAAGTTATTGCTTTCTGCCGGTTGTGGGTGTCCTCTAAATGCAATCAGGTATCACCCAACTGAGCCTCCATCACGACCTTCCATGTTTTATGGCCGCGATGATCTCGTGGCAGAGTTGACGACCCTCGTTGTCAGTGATGAACATATCGCATTGATCGGCCCAGGGGGCATGGGAAAGAGTTCTCTTGCCAAAGCCATCCTTCACGAACCACTTACCATCGAAAAATTTGCTGATCGGTGCTTCTTCGTGACTTACGATGGCCTGGATCCTTCGACTATCACATTCGAAACTTTTATGGCTCGTTTCGCAGGAGCCCTGGGCATAGAGATCGCCGGCATTGATACTTTGCGCCCGATATCTACCTTTCTTCATTCCTCTAGTGCACTTGTTGTCCTCGATAATGCTGAGACCTTTGAAGAGGCCAGTGCATCATCGGCGCTTGGGAAAATACCATCAGTCATTGCTGAAATCGCATGCATCCCTGGTACCGTCCTGATTCTCACATCGCGTAGTAGAAGGAGTGCACCGAATGTACCATGGATTACCAAGGATATTCCACCTTTGGATTCGAGCTCTGCTCAGGAGGCATTCTTTCGAATTTACTGCCAGGCTGATCATGAAAATGCGGAGGGAGGAATAACAAACCTACTTCAGGACTTGGAACTCCACCCGCTTTCTATCAATCTACTTGCAAATGCTGCGCAGCAAAACGGTTGGTCACCGGTCATGCTGCTGGAGAGATGGAAGGACCGGCACAGTGCCGTACTAGACCATGGCGAGGGAAAGCTGCAAAGCTTGTCATACACCATGCAGCTGTCACTCAACTCACCGTCAATCCAGAAACTCGGAGAGGAGGTTCGGCATACTTTGGCTGTCATCGCCTTCTTACCCCAGGGTCTCAATGAGGCCCTGTCGAAATATATCTTGCCATCTACCCTGCAAATCGACACTATGTGATATTTTATGGAGGCATTCTCTCGTTTATCGTCAAGACGGCTTCGTCAAAATGCTAGCACCCATTCAACATTATGTGCGAGATTCGTTGCCACCACCTGACTCCACATGTTTGCGAGGGATACACACCTTCTACTATTGCACCGTCCAACGGTGTTCGGAAGAACGAGATGGTCATGCTGATATCATTACCTCAGATCACCTCAACATCGAGCATGTTATTGCTTTCGGCCTCGCCCACATCCCTGAAGTGACTTATCCCGCTTGCTGGACATTTTTGCAGTGCTTGAAGTGCCATTTTCCTCGCTCAACTTCCCTTACTCCTGCAATTTTCAACATTGTCGAGAACTCCTCCGCGCGAACGTCCAAAGCACACTGCCTGTGGAATCTCGGCTGGCTCTACATGACTCTTTCTCAGCACACAGAATCCATGAAGGCCTTCAAAGCTGCTGGGGCACTCTGTATTGCCACCGGCAAGCACGAAATGGCGGCCCAATGTGTTATCGCATGTGCATGTGCAGACATATACAGATGTCAAGGCCGCGTCCTTCAATCCCAACAGGTTTTGGAGGGCTTTCAACCCTCCGAGTCGTGGGAGTATCTCAGTGAACCAACGAAAGCCAAGGTTTGGTTTTTTTTAGATACAGCCCGGATGTACACATCCGCATCTGCAGACGAATTATTTGTGAAGTCTTCGGAAGATCATATGTGGGGCTTGCGGTTCAAGTTGTGGCACTGGCGGGCCAAATTTTACTACGGGGAAGACATTGCCCAGGTGAACACACACTTAGAAGACCTTCTCCTGCAATGCACAAGTACTGGAGATTTTGTCCGCAGAGACGCACTCGAGGGACTTGCAGAGGTAGCATTTTGCGAAGGCAGGTTATCCAAAGCCATGGATATCTTGCAGACAATCGTAGAGAGCGAGGGTCAACTCCCACATGATATCCCCGCCATCTTAAAGGCCCTTGTTGCAAGCAAGCAGGGGGATCATGCCCTTGCAAGGGAGCTCATCAACCCAGCCCCGGGACTACTCCAATTCTTTGTGCTGCGCACTGCATTTGTATTTCTCGTCAGATCTTATGGCTCGGCTTGCATCGAGCTCACTGCAGGTGCATACGACAGGGCCGAATATCATTTCATTGCCACCATTGAAGGTTGCGATATCCAAGGTCATCTCAATTTCAAGGCATACAGTAAACGGGGACTAGGGGAGATTGCCTTTGTGCATGGTGACTTCGCCTTGGCTTTGCGATGCTTCATGGAAACATGGTCTTTGTGCACGGAGATGGGAGTGTCTACGCGACATTTGTACAATTACGAGCCACTCTATGTTTTGCCAGACAGATTTAGAGGATGGACATTATTTTTGGAGGGTCGGTCGCCATTTGCGAACATCATATAGATCGTATACATGTAACAACTTGCCATTGTATCTCCGACGATTATACGAGTAGTTTCATCACGATATAGGACAAGACAGCTATGAGACAAACACGGGAGATAAGTGAAGCAAAACGCATGAAACTTCAAGTGTGTGGTGAGATTGTTTATGGCATGGGAAGGTCATAATACAGATATTCCACCTAGAGAACGCGTTTGATCCCTCGAGGTTATTCTCTTCATCACACATCTCATACCCACTTTTCGATGGTAGTGCGCGAGCTAAATCTGCGACATCTCCTCGGATTGAGGGTCGGATTGAAGGTTCATGAAAAAGGATGACAGAGACTCACAGTGGGCGATCGCTAGTCTCCCGTAGATAGATCAATAGAGGAAGACAGTTGGAAGGCGATAACTACGCACAAGTCATTCATCGACAATCCTCCAGCCCAGACCGGTCGAATGGGCACGCAGTTCTTCGTAAATTGTATTGTCGAGGTTCATCTTTCCAGTGCTAGTTCACTGCTGCAAGGATTTTGAAAAGGCTCAGAAAGCCAGCCTTGCGATGAGGAATCGAGTCAGTCGGTGCAACGTTTGAGTGAGATGTAATGATTCACGTTCGTTGGAACTCGGATCTCTGCAACTCTGGCAGCGGTAGCAGGGAAAGGACAATAGGCAAAGCACATGGCTACAAAATTTCCCGTTGGAAAGATGGACTCAGTTAATGATCCAATGGTTAAGAATATGAATGGATCCTCGGCGTTCAAGTTGAGATTGTGCTACCGGCAGGTGAAGATCGTAGCGAGGAACATGTTGGAAGGGCAAGTTGAATGCCTACTATACAGTAATACTCAGCCGGAGTCATGGGGTGACATCGAATGTGGGATTATAAGTTCTGCGCAAAGATTAATAATAATGATCAACTTGAGTAGAGACTTCGTTACTGACAATGAATACCTCCCCGGCGGGCCGAATCACTGGCAGATATTTGGTGCATTAGCTAGCACTCCCTTCACAAAGCTAACATGTAAGTTGCATTAGTGGATTGAACGAAGCCAGATTTCTACAAGGCAGACTAGGGAGACTAGTACTGCCACAACGACGACGACGACGTTAGAGACGGTGAAGAGTTGGTGACGAGAACCAAAAGATCCTGATCACGTGCGGATAATTTCAACCGTTCTCCATGATGGGCCATGGCAAATCGGGGGTCGCAAAACGGTTAAACCACACCATAGGTATCGGTGATTCAAGTTGTACACTAGCAAGTCATGGTCCTTGGATGCGAAAACTTCAACGTCTCAAAGTGACGTTAAAATTCACGCGCTTTCAAAGTTTCGGTCAAAGCGGTGAAAAAACGGTTGACCGTTTGCAAGCCAGCCCTCGCGATGGTGCAGGTGCCCTCTATCCAATTTGGCATTTTTGAGGGCCGATTTTGGGATCCTGGACAGACAGGGGCACCTCATTATAAGGGAGCTTCAGGGGGCTTGCTATAGGAAATCTCGGGCAACAACCTATGGTGGAGTGTTTCCTCGCAGACAAGAGTATTCTGTGGTGCGTATCTTATAAGTCATTTGCCATAATTCGGTTTTCATTAATTACATGGTGCAACAAAATACAATGCAGTTGCGCTGATATTTGTCGACATTGTCCAATCTCCATCTTTGACTGGGAGGTAGCGGTTCACAGTACTGCAAGAATCTCACCACGAGGTAGCCGGGAGCCATTTCCAACATACTGTCGTTCTGTTCTGTAATTATTTACCGGTAGGTCATGTTCATTCAAGCCGGCGCTATGCGGCCTCATGGCTCACAATTAGGTTGCGGTAAACACGCGCCTGGAGGTAGTTCAAGTCAATTGTCATTTCTTTATTACTGACCGTGGAATCGGTCAACGTGACTTCTCGAGCGCCTGCTTAACCAATGATTTCCTACAACACAACTACGTCAGTCCTTGATATCTGCAGTCTTCGAGTGTACTACACGAGGATCTTTCAAGCTCTGCAGAGTATGGGCGATCGTTCTTTTCTGGATAGTGGGTGCACTGGTACTACAATATGATGTTACTAATCGTTGACCAACTATCGCCATAGGATAGCAATATGAGCGCATCACGAGTCAAATGCTACGCAGCGAGCGCTTTAATTTTTCGCTTATCTACCGGGTGGCACATATTACCCATCTAAGATGATCTTTTTGAGTCCTTGTCGACTCTGGGGCTGTCTCTAGCTGTGACGGTTCAGGGGTTCTCCGAGGCTTATGAGCGCTGCTTCTCACGAATGCATAGCCGCAGCATTGGGTTTGCCTTCTGTATAGAATTCTTCCAAGTCGGCGTCGCACATCTTCCCTACCGAAAGACGAGGCAGTTGCGAGTTCACAGCATTGAGCGACTCAGGGACTATTGATTCACAACCGTTTGGTGTCCCGACTTTTGGAAGCAGTCTTCGAGTTCCTGTATACTCCCGGCATGACTTTTGCCATACCGGTTCGCGCTTCTTTCGAGCGCACTTTCGAGGTATAAAGGCCTGGCCCCGGCGCATAACCTGGGCACTCAAAGAAACTCGCCATGTTCTCTCAAACTCTCACTGCTCGCACTGATAGCATCGCTCGTCATCTCGAGACGATCTTTCTTTTCACACAAAATGATATCAGAACCACTCTGATACCTGTCGTATGTAACAACTAATACGTGTCTCGCCCCCTCGTTCAATTACACTTTTCAGACCATATTCGCATTGTCTGCGGCTCCCAGATATGATCCCATCCACGCTTTGAATGCTCCTTTGTGGATATGGCTCCACTTGTTGCAGTTCAATCTTGCCAACCAGATCCAGGATCCGGAGGAGGACCGCAAGAACAAACCCTCCCGTCCGATACCTGCTGGTCGCATTTCTGTCGATAGCGCAGCTGATATGCGCTGGGTGATGGTCCCAGTCTGCTTGATGCTGTCGTTGTGGTACGGCACTCAGGCTCTGCTGGCCAGCACCGTTTTTGCAGTGTTCAATATCTGGTACAACGAACTTCACGGTGATAAAATGGGATTGTCGAAGAATGTACTCACAGCCATCATCTACGGGTGTGCGGAGGTTGGAGGAACCGTTGCTGCCGGTAAATCTATCCAGTTGCAGACAATCTATCAGTTTGCTGATCAAGCGTACAGGTTCTTGCAACTCACGCATGGACAAAGTCGGTGCTTTGGCGGTCGCACTCAGCTCGGCAGTCTTTGCGACTACGCTTCATGCGCAAGACTTCAAGGATGAAGAGGGCGATCGCCTCACTGGCAGGTGCACCCTGCCCACAATCTTCCCTAAAGCCGCACGCTTTTCAATGATGCTCGGCATTCCCCTCTGGTCATTTGTCTTGAGCCATATCTGGAAGCTAGATGCGCTCTCTACCACTGCATTTGTAGCTTACGGTGCATATGTGGGGACCCGATTTGTGATGTATGACACAGTAGGCGCCGACAAGCAGTCCTGCAAATTTTATAGCGTGAGTCGAAATATTACTTGGGAGCACACCGAGGTGAAGCTGACAATGGACTTATAACAGATGTGGTTCGCGCTCAGCCATCTACTTCCAGGTTACTGGCGCTTCTTCTATGGTGTTTGAGTATCCGGAGCTGAAAGTCGTATTTATCCTGTCCTAGTGATATACTATTCAATAGCTTATTGTTGTACCACACGAAACAAATTGAAAACTAGTCAAAATTTTGACCTTGGTTAGCTGGTACTTTGAGGGTTGGTTAATCGTAAGTCCACACATTACCTTTGGACTCAGCGATCAGAACCTGTACTTACACAATGACTTGACTTAAAATCGTTCATTGTAAGCCAATCATTTTTCCCGTACACTGATCACCAACATAAGTTGACGCTTGAGACTATCGTCCAAGTCCCTTTTGATTTACTGCAGGCATGGGTACTAACGGGTACTAGGCAATCCGCTATCAGCAGATGTATTTCGGATCACACCTGGTTGTCCAGAATGGCTTGGATCAAAGGTACTTCAGTTTATACGACAGCCCAATGCTATCACGACCTATCGACAGGTGTTTGGATAAATGTTGGACGGGTTGAAGAGCACAATACGAGTGTATGTAAATAATTTTCCATTAGCCTAACCTATGCTCATAATGTCTGGACAAAGTAACAAGAACAAGAACGAACGTCCGAGTGGAGAAGTACCAGACCGACTACGCTCGTGCGACAAGAACTTCGCCAGGTCAATCACTTTGCCTTGACGGAGCTGCGGGGAATAAGTACTAGTGAAAAGAAAGGAGAACGTGTCATATCAAAAGAAAAATCGTTGTAGAGCGTTACAAAGATCATCATTGTCATAAATGCGCGGGGAACATGTGCCGTGATGGAAGTCGCCCGCGACTTCGGGAGATGTTGAAAGGAAATTGCATGTGAGTGATGATAGAAGATGATAGCCGATGCGAAATATGTGATAGGAAGCGATCAAAGTACATGTGAGCCTCCCGCCACAGGGAGAGGCACGTTCTGGTTCAGCCCAGGAATCATGAGCTCGGCGGCCACCTCCTTCACTCTGTTGGCGCTCAGAGGAGTCGATGGTCTTGCTGACGGTGGACTCGGCACTGCAGCAGCAGTTGTACGTGCCCTCGTTCGGAAAAATGTCCTGCAAATCAGGATATAGTTAGGTACAAGGACAAGGCCGACGAATGGAGTAACGCTCACGTTCCAATCTTGATCAGTTCGCTCAAGTGTGCATGTTTCCTGGCTCCCATCATGTACATAGTCGTATGCAAAATCCCGTCTGCGCCTTCTACATACAATGCGACTTGTTCGAGAATCGGGTTTGTGGAGATAGTGAGGAACAATTCATTCCAAATCTCCGGGAGTTGTGCTTTAAGACTGCGTAGTTTTGGGGCATGGCTCAGAGCCTCAGCCAAAGGCCTGGTGGCTGGTGTTGAACTGATTTTAAACGCGAAGTGAACGGACTCCTGAGAACATCACGAATCAGTAAGTTTTGACCGATACGGAAAATAGAAGATCATACAAGGTTAAACCAGCGGGGTACAACCTTTGTAATGCGCTCAAGAAGGTACTTCGGGCGCGTAAGTGTGAGGTATGCATCTGGAATTCTGCGAATAGTAAGATGCTTCAAGTCTATTCGATCTAGTGCATCACATAGGGCTTGAGCATCCTGATCTTCTGCTGCATCTCCCCGAGGATTAGCTTCATAAACATCCATACAGATATCCACATCTTCGATCCTCTCACACGCCCGAAGTACACGAGCGCCCTCCAGCGACACGCAGCCTAGCACGACGCGACGTACCGCACCAGCAATGACCGGCTGGGCGATAAGCGTCTCGAGTACGCGGGCAGCATGGGTAGCCGTCGGAAGGTAGAGAGTCTGATAGTATATGGGAGTACCGATGCGCAGGAACTGCCGCGAAACAAGCAAGGGCGATAGTGGGGCACGTGTGCTGGTGTGTGGAGCCGAGCGGGCTAAGAGTGAGGGACATGGAAAGAATATTGGTTGGGTGTACCAAGGTGGACGAACTGGTAATAGTTGGGGAGGAGTCACACAATCTGCAAGTATACGAGCAAGGAGCTCTTCTGGGAATGAAGATAACGAAGTTGGAACCTGTACAGATGCCATTTATTGAAGCTTCGAAGTTTAAAGGTTTAAGACCTGCTCGCAAGCTTTTTGCTGAGTAGCAGAGTACTTCAGTGACTCAGTCCAAGACTGCAAAATGTTGGTGGTCGTCGTCAACTGATTGGAAAACAGGCTGGGCGTCCGCAGAATTGTGACAGGAAAAATGGCGTTGTTCGGACATCAATCCTGTCACAGGTTACGTCTAATAGGCTTCTACATACAAATCTGTTTCCTCAAGGCTCAAGCGCTCAAGCTTCAGACCATAGCCGCTGAAGCTGAAGCGCCGACTCAAGCGAAGATAGTAAGTAATTAATCATTCCTACACTGGTGAATCTGCCATAGTACTAACACTTTACCTTAAGTCAACACCTCGCCCGCATTGCTTACTTGGAACCCCAATTCACATTCAACCCTTAAAGCTAGGGGCAGGTTGGCGCGAGGCTGCGCTACACATGTGCATTGCACAGCATGTCAATCAAACTCCGCAATGCCTTATAGCCAGTGCACTGGTAACCAATATCAATGTCCATGTCAACCTTCGCGGAAGCAAATTCGCGTCGTTGCTCTTGGCAGCTTTGTGTAACGCATCGATACAACAAAGGTGTTGAGATTATGAATACACTGTCTTCCTCGACTTGGGGCTTCAGATTGACAAATTCCGCATTGCCGTCAAAGGTCAGATTTGCACCCAGGCCTACAGCCGGTAACTGGGCTAGCGTGCCCTTCGGTAGGTGTATAGATGTCAGGTACACTATTCACTCGCTAGAATATTAATATGTAACGCAAGGCTTTATTCGTCAAGCTGTCAGGAACATGCTTCAGTTGGCGTAATAGAAGTATGCGCAGTCCACCTAAAGGTGCGTCGAAATGGCTCGGCTTGTATTTTCAGATTGAGATAATGCATCAGGTTCTCCACGCTTACAGCCGAAAAATGGGCCATCGTTCTTGGCGGTAGAGGGGCAAGCATTACAAGACTCACCATTCGCCGCTGAAACAATTTCCTTCTTCGTCAACTTGTCAGGAAAATGCTCCACGATGCCGGAATACCGTATGGGATAGCAACTCGGTGCGCATGAGACAAAGATAACGCCAAGGTATTTTCTGATTTCATGCTACCCGTACATCACAACCGACTCGCTAATCATACAAGTATTCTCCGATGTGACGAGTTACAGTAACAGCAACCTGACCTCCTTGCATTCCACAACAGCTTAAAATATCCTCACGAACAGCCAGTACTTCTTCTCGTAGTCCCGAGCGCTTGGGGGAGGAGCCGGAGCAGTAACGATCTGGAGTGACGGTTATAAAGCCCCCAAAAGAAGATCACAACAAACAAACCGGGGTGAAGTCTTCGTCTTCATTGAGGACCCACACTTCGTTGATGTCCATTTTATGGATTCTGCAGATGAAGGGGACAAATGAATTCTCGTTACCGGAAATAATGACCATACCCACACATATTTTCCGTCGCCTTCGGTGGAGAACTGGAGCACCTGGGGTTCGACGCTGCCTACGACGTCGCCTGTCTGTAATTTCACGTTGTTAGCAATCTCTCATATATCAACACCAGATAGACCAACCTCTCTATTGATGGTAATATACTTGTCCCTCAATCTATCAAAGAGAGTTGCAAGACCCAGAACTTCGTCCTTAACAAGGAGCTGGACCTATGAGCATTAATGAGTATAGGATCATCAACGTCAATGATGCAACACGTACAACATCACCATCCCTGAAGCCAACAACCGCGCCCACAGCTTCCATGTGGACAAACCTGTTGTTATGCAAAAAATTCTGGATCTTGTAGTCACCGGAAGGTAGCATAATGTGAGGTGTGTTGATAGTTGACTCTGCCAAGTACTGAGTGAGATATAGTTGCTGATAAAAATCAATGGCAGGATACGCTGCAACGTTTATACGTGCCTGAAGGTTCCATCACGTTCTAGATACTGATGCTCAGCATCACCGTTCGTCTGAGTCTCGGTCTTGAGTGACAACTCACTTGGCTCTTCTGGAATATCGTGCGCCCATTGGAACCTGTCATTGAAGCGCAAGCATCATTAGGGATATATTGATCTATGTAGTCTTTCCATGGGTCGCCCACAACCCATGATTATTGATCGCCTTTCTTACCCCATAATCTCCATAAGGCTACGGCACAGATTGTAGCCTATCAGAGGTGATCACATGTTCCATCTGGGCTGTCATGACGAACACTGTGCAGCGGTTGCTCGAGATGAAAAGGAGCCTTGGCCGCATGACGCCGTTCAGCGACGCGTTTTACGTGATCAGAACTTGAATTTCAGAGATGGTACCGATTGTAACCCGAGGCGTCATTATACAAGGTTGGCGAGTACGGTTCGAACAATCTTTTCATGGAGGACCTTGGATCAACGACAGCTAGCATGGAAGATGGAAGATGGGCCCGCAAAGTTACGGAGCGTCCGAGTGGTATTCTGAAGAGAAATCCAGGCATTGGCGGGGCCAAGGCGTCCTCCATGTTTCCATGTTGGAGCTCCATCTTTAAAAATAGATCCGACGCGACCGGAATACTAGTGTACGGCACATTAATATTGCGCGAGCCTGTTCGGAAGCACGATGACAGCTGAGTAAAAGTTTTGGATCCAAACAACTGGATGTCAGTAAGGCACTTGTTTCAAATTTAATAGCAGACGTCACATACATTCGATGATTTTGCTCATGAGGCTCTAGATCTCTGCAAACCGAACAGGCGTATCATATCAAATTGGTTTAATATATTTATTGTGTTTGGCAGCATCATGCACCCTACCACGACCTGCGGGAAAGTTCAAGCCACTGATAGAGATGTCTCCGATACAGATGCCATCTTGGGAAATGTAGCCCTTCACGGAGCCACTCTGGTAGTCGATAGAGAATTTAGAGCCATCCGCGTTGTAGGCAGGGGAAGTATTTGTCTTACCCAGTGTCGAGGATAACCTTGAATGATTGACGTGGGCCCTGGAGAATTGAGCATGAGGTGCTGAGCTCGATCTCAGCAGCGGCGTAATACTGAAACATAGTGAAGTCGAAGTGTGAACACGACGGCAAGTGAGGTAGGACAGGAATACCGAATGAGACATCATACCATGGTTGACGAACTCCTGGTTCCAGACGATGCTATCTTTCTCGGGTGTTGAGTAAATGTTATGCTACGCCCAGCGCCACCAACACTCATCAAAGGGAGTTGTTAGTAAAGAGTCTGTGCGCAGTATTTCTCCTAGTGATTGATCAAGCGACGGTGACATCATCTTGCTGGTCGTACAGCGCAGTATTTCACAACGAGGAATGGGCTCTCGAGCGCATGATCAAGGGAGACTTGTGGGACCTCAGTTGTTACCCGCTAGCGCTGAGGTAAGTGGGAGGAAGACATGGCTGATGGCAAACGCAGAGAGCAGATGACAATAACACCCGCGTAAATTGGTAGAGGTGACACACCTGCCAGGTGAACACTCGAACATCTCGCACTGTCCAGTCATGGAAAGTCACAAACATGCGTCACGATCACGAGCTAATCATACAAGCATTCTCTGGCAACCACTTAGGCCTCCTTGCATTTTTGGAACACCTATTCCGGGGTCCCCATCACGAACCTCCAGTACTCCCCGTCCGAGCCAGCAGTTGCCTGAACAGTGATCTGGAGTGACATTGGTCATAAATAAAGCCAAAAAAGGTCAGCGATGAAAACAAACCGGGGTCCAGTCTCCGCCGTCTTCGAGAACCCACATCTTGTCTCCATTCGGTACACGGATCCTGCGGATAAAGGTATTGAATGAATTCTTGATACAACTAGGACTAAAGATTGCACTCACTCAAAACTGCCGTCCCTGGCATTGTACAATTGGAACACCTGGGGATCGGTGTAGCCTTTGACTTTGGCATCCTACGATTTCACACTGTTAGCAGTCTCGTATCTGTTAACACTAGACAGACCAACCGTCTGGTCGACCCCAAGGTACAACTCTGTCGCAGTATCATAGAAAGTCGCAAGACACTGATTTTCGTCCTTGATATCGACTTTGATCTATGGGCATCGATGAGCACATGAAGCATGTCGCTGTAGTGATGCACACGTACGGTTTGACCGACGTCATGACCAGCGAAGTCCTTATTTTCTGACATGCAGACATATCGGTTTGGATACCCGACATTGACAATCATGTAATCTCCGGAAGGGATCGTGTTGCTCATGGTTGGTTGAACTTGATTCTCTTGAATACTGATTGAGAGGTTGTTGATGAAAACTGCTGAGTGCAGCCTGAGGACCTTTATACCTGGTTGAAAGCTCCATTGCTAGTTCCAGATAGGCCAAAGTAACCCTGAGTTTGGTCTACTCGCTTGGCTTCGGGCACTGATCAAATACCGGATTCCGTTGAAGGCAAATTCTTCATGGAGGTGCGTCAGATGCCCTTCTTCCGAATCACTGTAAGACCGCTGCACGTGCCAGCACTAACCTATATCGTTGTAATTATTCCTCGGGTCGCCTCCAGTTCATTGTTCTCGTAGAGTGATGAGTGCCTTGTTACTGTTCGGAAATACTTCGGTTCGCAAAGCTCCCGAAAACAAGGTGCGTGCAGCGTAACATGGGATAAGACCTCGAAAACCTTTTCAGCTATAAATTTGCCTCTGATTACCCGAGTAGTAGGAACAGCGGTGGCGAAAACCTCTTGACCACGAACAGGACAAGTTGACTTTCTGGCCCTCGCCAATGCCAATGACGATTCGTCTACACAGAAGGCGCCACCTAAACTTCAATCAACTCAACCTACAACTCAGGTTGTTCATCACCTATCTTTTTGCTCATCCAGAACACCCGCCATCTGTGCTCATCTAGCTTCCAAGTCAAGTTTCATCAGTGCATGGGGTGGGGTGCACCCTCCACTGCACCAAACTCCACTTGTCCATTACCTTTGCTGGTGATTGAAGGTGTGCTTTTGGCATCCACACCCTCATATGGTCACCATCTTTGTTCTCCACCAAACTCATCCCACCAACAATGCCAGACATGCCATTGCCAAGTTATTTAGCATCAATGTCACCAGCCTCAAGCACATCTCCCCCAGGTATGGAGAATTGTACTGCTCACCAGGTATTCCAAAACAAGAGCCTGTGCTGGTGCCACTGCCACCTCTGCCACACCCACAAGCTTGCTTTCCAGATAAAAATGAGGATTCCCCTTGCAACTATTACAGGATGACCTGGACCCTCTCACACTCATGAACAGCAACTTGAATGGCAATGATGTCTTCAACATTGACATCCATTTTGGGACCCTTCATCAAAGTTGTATGAGCTTAGGACATAGAGACATGTCTCCACAATGTTCAATGTTTGTTGTGATCAATTTTTTCTTGAATCACCCAGTCCATCTTGTGTGGTTTACCAAGTAGAATAAGGCTAAATAAATGCTTGGTCATTTTCCTGGTGACTGTGCAAAAGCAGGAGGTGGTGGGAGGACCTCTGGAGGTAATGCTCTGGTGTGATGGGAGCTGGTGAGGTTTTGAGGCATGGAGGCAGCGCCAGGTTTTGTGTGGTTGTGGTTAGGCTGAGTACATAGGTTGGAGGTTTGGTGTGGTAGGCCAAGCTGCGCTGAGCTGCCAAGTTTTAATTCTGCTCAGCTACCTTCAACAATAGTTGAAGAAGACTTAAGTGTACTGCACATTGAGTCTCAAATGTTACCAACCAGCACTTTCAGTGAGTAGGTGATAGGATGGGTAAAATGTAGCGTAGGACTGCTGCAGATGCATTGTGTTGTCAAAAGATAAATGGACTTACTTAGGAATACTAGAGAACACCAGTCATGAGGAGTTGTGGTGTCTAGGGCTAGCCCTCAAGCCATGGCTTTCAGTGAGTGGTAAGTGCTTGATGCAGGTACTGCTCTAGTCGATGTTTGAATGTTTGGGTTTGGTGTTTTTACTTAATCATCAAAATCATTTATTCATACATACCTTTGGTTCCTCACCTCGAGCATAAGATTCTCCCCTTACCCTCTCATGACCGTTTGGCTATGCTGTTTCCCCCCAAAACACCCCCAGCAACTTTAACACCTGCCTTTCGTGATCGGCCCTCAACAACAACTCGCCTACAAGCGAAACAGAAATCGCACAGCCAATGCAGATTCTGAATTTTGTGTCTTTACATCAGTGCCTGCTGCTCAAGACCAGCTTTCATCTGACTTTTTGGTGGTTGAGTCTGTTGCCTGTTACACGATCACTGTCTCCAATACTATGAACTGGGAACTCAATTGACGCAGATATGAAGACTCTCTCCCACACAAGTTGCCTGTGCTCATTACGAGCGTAAGTTCTTAGTCTCCCGTAAGTATACGTGCACCTTTTCCTCCCCGTTTCAGCGTGGTGGCCTCTCTTCCATCAGCACACATTCCTTCTATATAATCAACCTTGTTACTGGTCCCCTCTTCCACATGCACAGCCACACCTCCAACACATCACGTTATCCTGCCTTTCCTCCAGCTGGGTCTCAGCGTTCCTGTCATCTGTCCGATCTAGAAAATCAACGCGATCTTTTATGTCAACCTTGGTAAATTCAGCGCTGATTCATCTACCTTCCAGTGCTCACTCGTCTTCCACGTAGATGGACTATGATGTACTCGCTCGACCACCACGAGTGTCGTCGAGTGTGTCATATGCAGGTGCCAGCTGAGTATAGTTACCCTGTCTCGGATACACGCTTGTTAGCCACCCTTGCTCGATTGTTCATCTATTACTAATACTATCAGTTCTCACTTCATGCGTTGCGCAGATCCCTGACGCCGTCATCCCGCACAGGCTTGTTGTCTCCTAGACTCGTACTCTCCATCTATCTGATACGTGTGATTATTTATTGATCATGTCAGTTCTTCCCTCCCCCACTGCTAATATGTACAACCTGTCGGTTTATGTCATTGGCGCATATTTTCTTAGGTGAAGCTACGGCCTGAACCGGAGCTGTCGACAAGGGCCTGGTCTATGATCCGAGGAAGCCTGAGCCCTATCAAACAGAGCCGGGCTGTGCACATCGCCGGTTGGCAGACGTCACATATGTTTGATGATTTTGCTGATGTCAGGCTCTAGATCTCTGCAGACAGAACATGCGTATGATATCAAATCATTTCAATATATCCATTGTGTTGGCACCATATGCACTCTACCACGGCCCGCAGGAAAGTCCTGGTCACTGATAGAGATGTCTCCGGTACAGAGACCATCTTGGGAAACAGCCTTTCACGGAATTATTCTGGTAATTGGTGGAGAACTTGGAGCCATCCGGCGCGTTGTATGCGGGGGAAGTAATTTCATTTCCCAGTGTCGAGGATAGCCTCGAATAATTAACGTGGGTCTCGAGAACTGAGGTGCCAAGCTCGATCCCGGCCGAGGCATAATTCTGACACATAGTGAAGTCGAAGTGTGAACTCGACGGCAAAAGAGGATGGCGCGGAAATACTGAAGGAGACACCGTGTCATGGCTGACGAACTCTTGTTTCCAGACGAGGCTGTCTTCTTCTTGTGTTGAACAGATGCTACATCTAGCGTCATCAGCACGTGTTAAAGGGAGTTGTTGGTAAGGAGTCCGTGCAGTATTTTCCCCAGTGACTAATTAAGCGACGTTAACATTTTGCCAATTGCACAGCGCAATATTTCTCAGCGAGGAATGGGATGTCATGCGCATGATCAAGTGAGACTCCTTGCGGGAGCTCACTTGTTACCTGCTGAGGTAAGTGAGCAGAGGACATGGGTGATGGCGAACGTGGAGGGCAGATAACAATAACACCAGGTAGAGGTGGCACATCTCTGACAGGTGAGCACTCAGACATCCCTCTGTCCAGGCACGGAAAATCACAAACATGTCTTGCATACATCACGATTACGAGCTAATCATACAAGCATTCTCCAACAAACGGATCACAGCAACAGCAGCTGACAGCTACTACTTAGGTCTTCTTGCATTTCAAAACACCTATTCCACATTTTCGAACGTCCAGTACTTATTATCCGAGTCAGGAGCTGGCTCAACAGTGATCTGGAGTGAGGTTGGTCATGAATAAAGCCAAAAAAAGATCAGCAATGAAAACAAACAAAGGTCCAGTTTCCGTCATCTTTGAGAACCCACACTTGGTTGACGTCCTGTGGATGGATCCTGCGGATGAAGGCGATGAATGAATTCTCGATACAACTGGGACCGAAGACTGCACTCACACAAATCTGACGCCGTCGTCACCCGACAACTGGAGCACCTGTGGATCGTCGTAGCCTTTGACTTTACCATCCTATGATTTCACGCCGTCAGCGATTTTGCACCTGTCAACACCAGACAGACTAACATCCAAGTCGCACCCAAGGTACTTGTTTGTTGCAGTATCAAAGAGAGTCGCAAGATGCTGAACCACGTCTATGACATCGACTTGGATCTATGGGCATTGATGAGCATGGGAAGCACATTTCCGTAACGATGCGTGCGTACGATCTGAGCAACGTCATGGCCGACGAACTCATTGTTTCCTGACATGTAGACGTATCGGTTTGGATACATGTAATTGGCGATCTTGTACTTTCCGGATTCAATCATGCCGCTCATGGTTGATTGAAGATTCTGTTGAGTACTGATTGAGAGGGGCTGTTGATAGAAACTGAGGACAGCCTGAGGAAATGCTGCGACCTTTATACCTGGCTAAAAGCTCCATCACTAGTTCCAGATAGGCCAAAGTCAGTATCACCCCTCTATCATCCGAGTCTTGGTCTTGGGATCACAGGTGCGTTAAGTGCTTCCTGAATTGAGACTTACCTACATTATCAATGACCTAATCATTCCTCGGGTCGCCTCCGGTTCAATGTTAATATTGATCTCGTACATTCCTAGATGCACTCGAACACCTCCTTCTTACGCCGCCGCGTCCCCATTTCAAATGAGGGTTGTAACAACTTGAAGCAGAGTGACCAGTTCGCCGCTACTCGTCTTGGTTCCCAGAAGTTGGTACAAGCATTGCCTATGGAAGACCCCGAGGAGCCCACGTTCGTTAGCTCCAACAGTTGTTCTTTCGCTGATGGGCCGCGTCTCTTGCTTCCCAACACTAGTGCTGCACCCGCTGGTACGCTGCTCACTGCTCTGAATATCCACGTACATTCCGAGTCAGTTCAACGCCTTCGTTCGACAAAAATCATCTCACTTTGTGTAGTCCAATGTCTCAATTATCCAAGCGCCCACTGTTCACACTGCTCAAACACACCATCGGCCCATCACCATCACGCCCTTGTCTCCACTCATTCACCCCTTCGACATCAATTATGCGAACGCTTCGATGCCGCCGCCCGTGAAGGACCGTCGATCTTTATCAAAATACTCGTATTATCACGTCATATCACATGTGTGGTCTTCACGTTCGTTAATAGAAATTCCCCCAACCGGGCATTGTATCGTCCATGACCCACTACTCTACAGCTCCATGCAAGGCACTGAAATTGTTCAGTTGATCTTGAATGGGAGAGATATACAGATGGATTCTCTACCTTGATTTGTACTTACACGTCTGCTACTACTTATTTACCTCATCACTAGGATTGTAGTATGTACATCCATCTAAAAGGCGCAGACCGGCCATACAGCTGTTTTTAGTTGTAAACGAAGGTATGAAAACATTTTTTTCCATTATGTGCAAGGTGCCGGTTCCTGAACGCTCGGAACCAGCCGTTTGCCTGACCTCAATGATTATGCGGTATACAAAGCTGGATTGTCTGATCCCCGTGCATCATAAACACTTGGTGTTACTCGGATCCGACCTCGGTGAGTCTTCATCACGTCAACGACAGTTTGAATGGAAGATTCACTGCACCCCTGAATAGCCAACTTCTGGGAATCAAGAATTTTCGGCCGAGTAGCGGGGAACTGGTCACTCTGCTGCAAGTTGTTACAACCCTCGTTTGAAATGGGGATGCAGCGGGGTAAGAAGGAAATGTTCGACATCTGGGAATGTAAGAGATCAATACTAATAAACCGGAGGCGACCTGAGGAATGATTAGGTTGATCATTGATAATGTAGGTAAGTCTCATTTCGGGAAGCACTTGACGCACCTGTTATTCCAAGAGACTCAGATGATGGAGGGTGATACTGACTTTGGCCTATCTGGAACTAGTGATGGAGCTTTCAGCCAGGTATAAAGGTCGCAGCATATCCTCAGGCTGCGGTCAGCAGTTTCTATCAACAACCTCTCTTAATCAGTACTTAACAGAATCTTCAATCAACCATGAACAACATGATCAATCCCGGAAAGTACAAGATCGCCAATTTCAAGTATCCAAACCTATACGTCTACATGACAGGAGACGGGGACTTAGTTATGCACACCGTTGCTCAAATAGTACGCATGCATCGTTACAACAACGTGCCTCCCACGCTTATCAATGCCCATAGATCCAAGTCGATGTCATAGACAAGGTTCAGCATTTTGCGACTATCTTTGATACTGCAACAAACAAGTACCTTGGGTGTGACTTGGATGTTGGTCTGTCTGGTGTTGACAGATGCGAAATTGCTAACAGCGCGAAATCGTAGGATGGCAAAGCCAAAGGCTTCACCGATTCCCAGGTGCTCCAGTTGTCGAGTGATGACGGCGTCAAATTTGTGAGTGCAGTCTTCGGTCCCAGTTGTATCGAGAATTCATTCATCCCCTTTATCTGCAGGATCCACCAACAGGACGTTAATCACGTGTGGTTCCTCAAAGAAGGCAAAGACTGGACCCCTGTTTGTTTTCATTGCTGATCTGTTTTGGCTTTATTCATGACCAACCTCACTCCAGATCACTGTTCAGCCAGCTCCCGACTCGGACGCGAAGTACTGGAAGTTCGAAAAGGTGGAATAGGTGTTTTAAAATGCAAGGAGACCCAGGTGGCAGCTACCAGCTGTTGTTGCTCTGACCCGTCTGTTGGAGAATGCTTACATGATTAGCTCGTGATCGTGATGTATGCGAGACATGTTTGTGACTTTCTGTGCCTGGACAGTAGGACAGTGGGATGTCCAAGTGTTCGTCTGTCAGAGATGTACCATCTCTACCAACTTACGCCGATGTTATTGTTACCTGCTCTCCACGTTCGCCATCACCTACGTCCTCTTCCCACTCGCCTCAGCAGGTAACAACTGAGCTCCCGCGAGGAGTTTCGTTTGAGGGTGTGCATGAGACCCCCTTCCTCGCTGTGAAATATTGCACCGTGCGATCGGCAAGATGATATCAACATCGCTCGATCGACCACTGGTCGTTCTCACTGGGAGCGTAATCTATGCTCAGTTGGATGTCACCATGTCACCCGCTTCGGCGAGGCGGGGTATAAAATAATGTACGACGCACGACAGTACGGGTATTAGCGCCGCTAATTTTATTCGGGGGGGTCCTTTCGTTCGGATGCAGCACGTGTCGTCCACACCGTCTAAATACAAAGATGCATGATAGACCACCAGTGGCGCTGAAAGCGTTTTGCGTCACTGAGCGGAATACCATGCGTGCAAAAGTGATAACAAAGAACGCCATACTGGAGGTAATCGGTCGGGTTTGCCTAAAGTCAATCATCAACTATAGCTGAACTCCACATGAGAAGCGCATAGACCTGGGGAAGACTGTATATGATGGCTAGCGACTCCGTTCCAAACACCGGGTGTGACATTCTTGTCGGAAGTACGTTCTGAGAGAGATCATCAAGTCTGTTAGCAGTAGAATGATGAGAGCTAAATCATCATACTACCCAAATTCTGATCCTTCCTCTGACTGTGGTGGACCAGTATGAATCCTAGGATCACCACTTCAACCCTGGTCATTGCCGAGATATGACTAAATGATCTTCATTGTCTGTGTGTCATCAGTGACAACTCGAAGCGCAAGAAAAGTAAAATTTATGTTGAGCACTACGGTCGCCTGGTCAAAGTTTAGACAATGGTACAGAAGATAAAACATGCACGCACAGTTAGTGCCAGACTAGACCAATCATCATTCAGCTTAGCTATAAACCGCTTCAAGAGGATGTAATTGATTATTTTGTCTGCCCGGGTGCCATCAGGCTCCTTCGTGTAGTTACACGGCGCATAGAAAAAGCATAGGGATACAATTTGGATGGACACGGAATGTCGTGACTTTTTTCTTGTTAAAGATTGCCTGGTCAGAGTTTAGGCGCGCACCAGGCAGGCAGCCCGCAAAAATTGAAGAACTTAGGCCCATGCTGTCAAAATGGTCTGAAATAAAGCGAGAAGAATATATAGCACGTAGCGTAGCGAAATTCCTATGAAGCACGCTGCAGTCTGATGTGAGTAATCATGGAGTGAAACAAAGTAAAGTTCACTTACCTATGATGCACTTTGCACGCAGGAACGGCTCGTCGAGTCCACCTGATTGCGCCATCAGGATCACCTGCAAACTATACAACACGGCTTGATACAAACTGCCAACCTTTGAGGCGATCCATGAGATCGAGCGTTTTTGCGAGTTCTTCCTGCTCGAATGGAATGAGTGAAGTAGTTGAGGTGATGCTATCTGCACCAGACCCATGAGAGTTACTGACAGCAAAGCACGCTCGCAACCTACTACCTACGGCATGGAGGATCATTGTTTCGAGTTTTATGGTGACCAAGGACCAATTGTTGAGGGAAAGATGCAGTTCGTCCTAAGTTACATCAGAGGCTGATCAACGAAAAACTCAAAGTCATACAAAATACATTACATCGGACTCGGAGGGTCCATGAACTCGCCTGTTACTCCCACCTTTCTAATTTAGTAAAGCAATACCTAAGACGCCTGCTCACCCTGGTTTTAAGCTGAAAAGCGTTATTTGTGAGGACCAGCGAATTAAGGTGACTTAGAACGTCAACTTAAATATCATATTACCCTTGGGTAGCACGCGGGAAAGCTGGCACAAGACTTTGACAAAATAAACAAGTCACATGACAGCCTGAAGGTGAAATCAACACTTTGAAAGACGTTTTATAATTATAATTTTCAGAATGAGCGAGTTTCACGTTCTATCATGATCCGTCTCGTCTGACCAGGTTTCGCATTATCCTCATTTCTGACCGCCGTCGGCCACACTCCAAGCTCCATTACTTGTAGGTTTTCACTGGGATTCAACGTTTCGCATGGCCAGTGTAGATTCCGAATTCGGTACCTTCGTATCGGTGCCTGCTGCTCAGGACTAGCTGTCATTTGACTTTCCGGTGGTCGAACCTGTCACTCGTTACACAATCACCATCCCCAATACCATGAACTGGGAACTCAGTTGACGCAGATATGAAGACTCTTTCTCCTCCCCCACACAAGTTGCCTGTGCTCATTACGAGCATAAGCTCTTAGTCTCCCGTAAGCATACGTGCACCTCTTCCTCCCCATCTCAGCGTAGCGGCCTGCCCTCCATCAGCACACATTCCTTCTATGTCAACCTCATTGTTAGTCCCCTCTTCCACATGTACAGCCACGCCTCTACATATGCCACGTTATCCTGCCTTTCCTCCAGCTGAGTCTCAGCGTTCCTGTCATCTGTCCGATCTAGAAAATCAACGCGATCTTTTATGTCAACCTTGGTAAATTCAGCGCTGATTCATCTACCTTCCAGTGCTCACTCGTCTTCCACGTAGATGGACTATGATGTACTCGCTCGACCACCACGAGTGTCGTCGAGTGTGTCATATGCAGGTGCCAGCTGAGTATAGTTACCCTGTCTCGGATACACGCTTGTTAGCCACCCTTGCTCGATTGTTCATCTATTACTAATACTATCAAGTTCTCACTTCATGCGTTGCGCAGATTCCTGACGCCGTCATTCCGCACAGGCTTGTTGTCTCCTAGACTCGTACTCTCCATCTATCTGACACGTGTGATCATTTGTTGACTATGTCAGTTCTTCCCTCCCCCAGTTGCTAATATGTACAACACGTTGGTTTGTGTCATTGGCACATATTTTCGTAGGTGAAGCCGCCTGAGCCGTCAAGAAGGGCCCGGTCTACGATCTGAGGATGCCTGAGCACTATCAAGCCGAGCTGGACCCTACCACAACCCGCAGGAAAGTCCTGGTAACTGGTAGAGATGTCTCCGGTACAGAGGCCATCTTGGGAAATAGCCTTGGAGTCACTCTGGTAGTTGATGGAGAACTTAGAGCTATCTGGCGCGTTGTATGCGGGGGAAGTGATTTCATTTCCCAGTGTCAGGGATAACCTTGAATAATTGACGTGAGCCACTAGAACTGAGATGCCGAACTCGATATCAGCTGAGGCATAATGCGGGAACCTAAGGAAATCGAAATGCAAATACGACGGCAAAAGAGGATGGGGCGGAAATACCGAAGGGGACACCGTGTCATGGCTGACCGACTCTTGGTTCCAGATGAGGCTATCTTCCTCTAGTGTTGAACAACTGCTACGTCCAGCGCCACCCGCACACATCAAAGAGAGTTGTTGGTAAGGAGTCTGCAGTATCTCTCCCAGTGACTGATTAAGCGATATTAACATCATCTTGCCGGTCGCACAGCACAAGCGAGACTCCTTGCATAAGTTCGGTTGTCATGCGCTGAGGCGAATGAGAGGAGGACATTTGTGATGGCGGACACGGAGAGCAGAGAACAATAACAACAGTAGAGGTGGCACATCTCCGACAGGCGAGAACTCAGACAGCCTGAGTCACGGAAAGTCACATATGTCTTGCATACATCACGATCACGAGCTAAACATACAAGCATTCTTCGACAGACGGGACAGAGCAACAGCAGCCCGCTGGCAGCTGCTACTTGGATATCCAGCTCCTTGCATTTCGAAACACCTATTACGCCTGTTCGAATTCCCAGTACTTCGCGTCCGAGGGGGGAGCTGCCTGAGCAGTGATCTGGAGTGAAGTTGGTCATAAATCGAGCCAAGAAAGATCAGCGACGGAAACAAACAGTAGTCCAGTTTCCACCGTCTGCGAGAAACCACACGTCGTTGAAGTCCTTTGGATGGATCCTGCAGATAAAGGTGCGAATGAATTCTTGATACAACTGGAACCGAAGACTGCGCTCACTCAAATTTGACGCCGTCGTCGCTGGACAACTGGAGCACCTGGGCGTCTTTCTGGCCTTTGACTTTGCCGCCCTGCGATTTCATGCCGTCAGCAATCTCGCATCCGTCAACACCAGACAGACTTACCATCTGGTCGATTGCAAGGTACAATTTTGTCGCAGTATCATAGAGAGTCGCAAGATGCTGAGCCTTGTCCTTGACATCGACTTTGATCTATGGGGATTGATGAGCACAGGAAGGACGTCGCTGTAACGATGGACGCGTACGACTTGACCGACGTCGTGGCCGACGACCTCCCCGCTTTCTGACATGTAGACGTACCGGTCTGCATACAAGACATTCTTGATCTTGTATTGTCCGGAGGGGATCATGTGGCTCATGGTTAATTGAATATTCTGTTGAGTGCTGAGTGACAGAGGGTTGTTGATAGAAACTGACGACAGCTTGAGGGTGCACTGCGACCTTTATACCTGACCGAAAGTTCCAGTACTAGTTCCGGATAGGCCAGAATCAGCACGACCCTCCATCCAAGTCTTGGTCTTGGGGATCACGAGTCACTTGTGTTCGGGCACTGATCAAACACCGGATTCCGTTGGAGGCAAGTTCTTGATGGAGGTAGGTGCAATGCTTCCAAATCACTGCATCGGACTGACCTCCAAACATTATTGACCTAATCATTCCTCGGGTCGCGTCCGGTTCATTATTCTCGTACATCCCCAGATCGAGTCGAACAGCTCCTTGTCACCCCGCAGCATCGCCATTTCAAACAAGGGTACAAGCATGACCAGTTCCCTGGAGCTTATTACTCGTCCGAATTGCTCGTACTTGAAGCGATGCAATTCCAGGGGGCCTGAACCAGCGAGGACGAGTGACGGGATGGTAGACTCGTACAAGCAGGGCAATTGAGTTGGTCCCGTGAGTAGCATTCAGGGGTGCAGTGAATCTTCCATTCAAACTGTCGTTGACCTAATTGACACTTGCCGAAGTTGGGACCGAACAACACCAAGTATTTACGGTAGAGTGTCAAGCACGCTGTTATGTATTATGAGAGAGATGCTCAATTCTAAAAGTTCGAGTTCACCTGAGGCTGGGATCCGAGCATCGCTAAGCGTCGCTAAACCTGTCCTAAACGGGACTCGTACCTAAACCTTACGGCGCCAACACTTGGTCTAGCAAATTATCTACAGCCTGAGGCAGTCTTAAAGCGTATCCCAAACCTCACTAAACCTTGACATCCACGTTCCTAACTCTCAGCAGGCCTGACCCCTCATTAAGTAGCAATATATAATCATTGATTCCATTCTTAAGTGAGAGATGATTAGATTAGATTCACGAACATACTACATATATTATACTCTATATGTTCAGAGAAATGAGCAGCAGAGCGCCGTTGGGAGGTAAGAGGCTCGGCGGACGTCGGCGAAAGAATGACTGTCGGAACTAACGAACATGGGATCCTCGAGGTCTTGCATAGGCTCCAGGGAGCAATATTCGTACCTTGAAGTGACGCAACTTCTGGGAATCGAGAATTTTCGGACGAGTAACAAGCTCCAGGGAACTGGTCATGCTTGTACCCTTGTTTGAAATGGCGATGCTGCGGGGTGACAAGGAGCTGTTCGACTCGATCTGGGGATGTACGAGAATAATGAACCGGACGCGACCCGAGGAATGATTAGGTCAATAATGTTTGTGGGTCAGTCCGATGCAGTGATTTGGAAGCATTGCACCTACCTCCATCAAGAACTTGCCTCCAACGGAATCCGGTGTTTGATCAGTGCCCGAACACAAGCGACTCGTGATCCTCAAGACCAAGACTTGGACGGAGGGTCGTGCTGATTCTGGCCTATCCGGAACTAGTACTGGAACTTTCGGCCAGGTATAAATGTCGCAGTGCACCCTCGAGCTGTCGTCAGTTTCTATCAACAACCCTCTCTCACTCAGCGCTCAACAGAATATTCAATTAACCATGAGCCACATGATCCCCTCCGGACAATACAAGATCAAGAATGTCTTGTATGCAGACCGGTACGTCTACATGTCAGAAAGCGGGGAGGTCGTCGGCCACGACGTCGGTCAAGTCGTACGCGTCCATCGTTACAGCGACGTCCTTCCCGTGCTCATCAATCCCCATAGATCAAAGTCGATGTCAAGGACAAGGCTCAGCATCTTGCGACTCTCTATGATACTGCGACAAAATTGTACCTTGCAATCGACCAGATGGTAAGTCTGTCTGGTGTTGACGGATGCGAGATTGCTGACGGCATGAAATCGCAGGGCGGCAAAGTCAAAGGCCAGAAAGATGCGCAGGTGCTCCAGTTGTCCAGCGACGACGGCGTCAAATTTGAGTGAGCGCAGTCTTCGGTTCCAGTTGTATCAAGAATTCATTCGCACCTTTATCTGCAGGATCCATCCAAAGGACTTCAACGACGTGTGGTTTCTCGCAGACGGTGGAAACTGGACTACTGTTTGTTTCCGTCGCTGATCTTTCTTGGCTCGATTTATGACCAACTTCACTCCAGATCACTGCTCAGGCAGCTCCCCCCTCGGACGCGAAGTACTGGGAATTCGAACAGGCGTAATAGGTGTTTCGAAATGCAAGGAGCTGGATATCCAAGTAGCAGCTGCCAGCGGGCTGCTGTTGCTCTGTCCCGTCTGTCGAAGAATGCTTGTATGTTTAGCTCGTGATCGTGATGTATGCAAGACATGTGTGACTTTCCGTGACTAGCTGAGTTCTCGCCTGTCGGAGATGTGCCACCTCTACTGTTGTTATTATTCTCTGCTCTCCGTGTCCGCCGTCACAAATGTCCTCCTCTCATTCGCCTCAGCGCATAACAACCGAACTTATGCAAGGAGTCTCGTTTGATCGTGCGCTGCGCGATGTGATATTGAAAAAGCCTGTGTGGACATTGCACGCAACGAGCAACACGAACCCACCTATGACGAGCTACCCGCTTGCGCTACATCGATCGAATAGTTGAGCAATGCTCATCGCAACGGGGCATCTTGTCTTGTGCTTGTGCGTCTGTAGTTGAACCAATCTGACTCTTGAAGTCGAGATAAATATCAATGATGCCATTCGAGTGCGAACTCCATGTAGTAGGCAACGACTCGAGAGAAGAACGCATTTCAATGACATGTCTGTCAGTAGAGCGCTTAGTCACAGACCGACTCAGATGATCGAAGAGCTGTCGCTGGTTTTTCCTGCCCAGAGTTCCGATGCGTGAACAGGATGGGTAGAAGCGAAGCAAATACTTCCAGACGTTCGATCGCCCGGGCCTGCTATGAGACTGCGGTAGTTTGGGCATAACTCCCGCCAACAGTTGAGTCGCGAGTCCAGTTAGAAGTTGCAAGTGTTCAGCGCACAATGATAGCACAACATCAAGAACACTTGAGCAAACCCTGGACAAATGAATTGGGGTTGAAAGGTACCTTGACATCATATCATGTCCATGCAGAACCATCGCGCATGAGTAATTGATGGAAATCCCGCCAGAGGAAAGACTCTGCTGAGTGCATACAAATCGCGCAACAGCTAAAACATTTTATTCGTCTGTTCTCTGGAACACATACGGATAGAATATAGGCAGCTTCTTGCAGTCCCGACTAGAGTCGCCCTGCAATATGCAATACCTGCATAATGTAGATATCACATACACACAACAAAACCTAGGGTAACCAAAACCAACGTACGCATACATAAAATGGTAACGGAGTTAAACTAAACAAAAGAGGTGCTAGCACCGTTGACGTATAACGTTTCCATCCAACAAGAGAGTGTATGGCGATGGTCTAGAAGGTTGGAGATGAAAGTCGTTGGGACAGGTTAAAAGTAAGGGTGAAGGATGACAACGAAATTACGAACAATACGGCGAGGGGACGAGATCGATATTCGGGGAGGAAAGACAAGGATACAAATCGGTGATAGCAGATAATGATAGGGAAAAGATACATTTGTCTGCGGCGGATATAGCGGGAAACATCCATGATGATGGATGATTACAGAACAGGGTAATTAAGCCTAAAAACATGTTGATATTCTGGACGCCAACGAGCAAAAAAAACTTACGTCGGTTTCCATAACTGGGGCTTCAGCAGAAGCAGCAGCTTCTTCCTCTGGCTCTTCTACAATAGTCTTGTCAGCGGGGCCTGGGGCCTCGTTCTCATTTGTTGGGGCTTCAGCCTGAAAGTCAAGATAAGCATGGTTTTAAATCAAACGAGGTATGTCCTACCCTAGATGCAGGCTTCTTGGAAGCTGCTCTCGAAGCAGGTTTCTTGGCAGTTGTTGAAAGAGGTTTGGCGGATGCTCGAGACGCAGGTTTCGTGGCCTTAGAGGCTGGTTTTGTGGGGGCTGCCGGAGAGGCTGGCTTTGAAGTAGCCTTGGATGCAGGCTTCGACGCAGCCTTGGACTCGGGTTTAGCCTGACGACCGGTTCAGTATACTGAGATATGTGGTAGAAAAGTAGAGGCAAAACGACCTTTTTGGCAGCGGGGGCCTCTTCGCTCTCTGGTTGAGCGCCCTCTTCTGCAGCTTTCTCAGCAACAGTACGCTTCTTTCCCCTAGCAGACTTGGGTTTAGCTTCAGCTTCAACCTCTTGGTTGTCACTGTCTGCGGTAGGTTTAGGTTTCCTCCCCCGCGGCTTCGCGGGAGCTTTCTTGGGCGCTGGCTTGTCCCGACCGGCAAGGCGGGATGAACGGCGAGCAGGATTGGCGTCACCATCGACGGCTGCTGTAGTGGTACCGGTGGGCACGGAATCGTCTGCAGGCGCGGCGGTCGCAGCAGCTTTGCGGGGCATCGCGATTGATGGATTGTGGGTGAAGAAAAGTGAGGGTGGACGCGCTCGACACCCTATTACTTTTGAACTTTATCTAGGACATCAACAAACAATACTCGATCACCTGACCAAAAGCGCGTATACAGCTCCAAACAACTACCTATTAATCTGCGCACGGTCCCGAACCTGGCCGAGGCGGTTTACAACATCCCGTCAAACAGCAATCGGCTTCCCCTATAGAGTCCAAGTTACTTGGAAGTTATTGAGATACTGTTCGATTGAGAAAATCCTCAGCAGACGGGTAAACATATTCTTTTTCACTCTATTGATTTACACACAATGCTAGCAAGCGCCTACTTAGAGGTATCTGCTCATTCCAATGAGATAGCCTCACAAATGCATGCGTTAGATACGCGAACAAGAACAATACCTTCAATCACAGCTTGGCCAATACGGCATCGGCACCAGAAACAGTCACTCCGGGGCCAGGCTCGAGCTACGTAGACCAGTCATCAGGATCCCCATTATTATTGTATTCACAAGAAATACACGAACCTCGACGTATTTGATAACCAAGTCGTCTATGATCATGGCGTATCGTGCAGTACGGACTCCAAATCCGCGCTCGGAGAGGTCGATACTTAATCCCAGGCTCCCTGACCACACAGCATTGGGGTCAGAGAGGGTGATTATCTACGCGCGCAAACTCTTCCGTTTGCTCCTGGAATGACTTGATAGTATGGACGATTTACCTTGTCTGTCAGTCCCTCGACACGTCCCCATCCGCTCATGACGAACGGGTCGTTGGCGGCGATGACAGCGATGACATCGACATTCTTGGCTTTGAACTCGTTATACTTGGCGAGGTAGGGCGGAAGGTGGTTGATGTGACAAGTTGGCTAATAGGATGGGGTAAATTCAATGATCAGAATGCACTTGAAAATACATACGGTGAAAGCACCAGGCACTGAGAAGAGCACGACCTTCTTACCCTTCCAACTGTCAGTAGAGAGGTCGGTGGCTTGTGATCATTCTGATAAGCCTTATTCTATGGGCACTGGCAGGAGACAGGACATACGAATACCACACGCCGACTATGCGTAACCAGGCATATTAGCAACAACAATGTTAGGATTCAGAGCAATGTCTCACATGATCAGCTAACTCTTCAGTGAAAGGGATGGTTTTGAAGGTGCCGCTGGGAATAGTGTCACCGACGGAGATCTTCAGGGATGCCATAAGTGAGCTGACTTGGATGTAACACTTGAAAGCGACGTGGTGGCAATTGCGATCGCTATAGGCCTTATCTAGTGTGCAATTTCGCGGAGTTCAGAACGATCAAGGTGCCTACTTGTGTACCTCGACACAAGACTGGCAAGAAAACGTTGAAGTTTACACTGCAGTCATGCCATTTGCCAGGTTCTCTTTCGTTATGTTAATATTGGCAGCGAGCCGCCCGCCGACTCTGCTAGATCATCCCTGAATTCTACTTAGATCAATGGTTTTTATATCCCAATCTTTAATCATCTCTGTCTTCCATACCTCCAATTCGCAATGTCACTCTCGCTGCACGCAGTTGCCCCTTCCCCAGGATATTGTCTTTGTGTTTTTTTTTTGAATTTTCTGCCCGGTATCTTCCTCTAGAGAACAAAGACACATGCACCACAAATAATCAAGGGGTAGAAGTACATGCAAGAAAGGAAAGGTTTCCCCGCGGTGCGAATATGCGGCATTCCGGACCTGTATCAAAGTCCTCAAGTCTCTACTTCATAGATCTAGAGTCGGGACACTGTTTGGTACTGATTAATTCGTGGTCAATCCGTATGTTACTAAGTAGGTTAATAGCTACTTTGTGACGCTCATGTCATCCCCATTATGACTAGTGACTTTTCAATATCCAAAGTACTTGTGGAGTCAGAATCACCTGTCACTCATTGGCATTACTAGGAGAAAGAACGTACCAGTTATTCGGTGAAGCCATTATTTTATCAACAAGAATTGCCCCGTCTCACACGGTTGTATGATACAAATCCAAAATAGATCAAAGGTAGGTGGATCGCTGTTATTCTACTTCAAAATGCCAGGTGATCCTTTTTGGCACAGGCCGGGTGCCGAATAGTAACGCCAGTGTCTTCGGAACTTCTTGACCGACCACGATGTTTAGAAATGCAACTGCGAAGATGGCCCATAGCTCGACGATCCCTGTTCCTGCGTTGATAGGAAATGAGGAGCTTAGGCCTCTGCAAGATTTGATTGCAGCAGAGAAGACGGTGCTGGCTTCGTGAGTCCACCTAGCGTTTGACACAGCTATCAATGAAACCTCGAGGTAGACTACAAAGGCTGAGCTCGGATTTTTCGAAAGCTGCTGATGCCATGAGGACATGGGCAATTTCTGAAGGAGATGATCTTTCTGTACGTCTTGGCCTTGTCTCGAGATAAACTCAACATCGAACGGGGTTTTAGGATATACTGAATTCTTCCAGAACACTCCTGGCGCACTTCTCTGGCGCGCTCAGCCGCTACAGCTCTATTCAAAACATCGTTCGAGACAACATGAAGGCCGTGCGCACGCGTGAAGAATCCCTTGATGAGCTTCAAAGGCGCCGGCGGCGTACTGCAGCCTCCGTAGAGAGCATCAAGAAAAAGCTCACTCGGATGAACCAGGAGACCAAGGCATTCGGTGCACAGATGGACGCACTGAATACTTCATGCGAAGACATGCGAAATTTGGATGTAAAAATCGCGCACGAACGATCGATGATCGTCGTTTTCAAACGTAAATGCACAAAAAATTGGCTGACACTAAAGTTTGGAGGTCTTGCAGAGTGCTGTGAGAAGGGCATGGTATGTTCTGCATGCCATTCAGGTCACGATTTTCTGATATATGTCTGAACAGATTGTAGGGGAGATCGGGAAGCGAATGGTAGTCGTGGGTAATGCTCTATTACTTACCAGTGCTCAGTTTCCTAAGAGCCGGGACTCGTCAGGAACTTTCGGAGTCACCCAAACATCCATATGTAGGGCACAAGCACATGACCTCGTTACTATCTGAAGCCCAGCATCACATTATGCAAGTCGTATTTTCTGGAACGCCATCCAGTTACGAGACGCACGAAACTCCGCTCCCACCGACTTCCCGAAGTCGTCCGAATTGCTTCAAAGATCTTCCAGAGATTCGTGACGAGCCCTTTGCCATCGATTATCTCCCGTCTAACAGCAACCGATCCTCGGTTGACAATGATATGATGTCAGCTCCTGTGCATATCGTATGTCCTTATGATCAATCTTATCAGGAGCTAATGGAAACTTTGAGAATAGCTTTCTGTAATTGGCCCGTCAACGACTTCCACACCAGATTACGGCTGTCAGGCAGAGTTATCTCCGCTATGTTCTGAGCTATGTTCAGCTTCGTCTAGCCGTAGAAGGGTAAGAGGGAATTCTGGCAATAGAAGCTACTCCACTTTGGCGCGGAGTAGATCTGCTACCTTTAGACTCGAAAGCATCGCGGAAGGTGATGAGCCTTTACCCTCGCCATCTATATCCAGTATTATCAGAGACGCACGGTCTTATCTGAACCTGATCAGCCCGCATACATCAAGTCTAGAAACCACTTCATCGTCGAGCGGTGGTAATTACGAAGAGATATTACCTGGGCAGTGCCCGCCTTGAGTCCATGAGTTTGAGGTACGTCACATACGGCATCATTGTTTAGGTAGAACGTTGACCGTTCGTGCCGGTAGTGAAATGATCGTATTCATAATACGTATCATGCCAGTGTGGAATTTCATGAGTTACTGAGTTAGATACCTCCACAAATCTTTGCGTCAGTCTTCACGTTACATAACTATGGTTAACGTTGACATCTCTAGTCTTACTCCTTCTGTACATGGCAGATCTTTCGTTGGCGAAAGTAAAATTTTAGTGTTTAACGAGCACGAGGTCGTCACGCATGCGGTGCTGGGCACATGACCGGGGTCCGGGACGTTGCTGCCGATCGTGCAGGATCTACTCCCTTGTCATTTGAACTTTGAAAGCTAATGTGGTGCATTGCTTTGTTTCTCGTGCTTTCATGCCGGTTATTTAGCATTGGCCTTCGATTGGTGGGTTATGTTGGGACTCCGAGAAGCGGGACTGTTATTGAACCACAGAAGTGTCACCGACCACTGGCAAACTGTAACAGGATATTAGTAGATGTTCGTCCTCGGGCCTCAACCATCTACTGGGAAATAGGTAGGCATTCCTGATCCGCAAGCTTCGCATCGCTACAATTCTCGTACTAATCGAAAGAGGCTAGCGCAACCACGTTTGATGAGCAGGATTTCACAATACCTGACAAACAGGAAGTGGCCGATCGATACGATCCTCTAGGACTTTGGAGCTCACAGGATGTCTTTCAATTGTCCTTTCAATTGTCCTTTCGATTGTCTACTTTGTATTCCAATCAGGTTGATGGTTCCTATCAAGTAGGAGAATGCCAAGTCCTCGGAACTCGAGTCGTAGCTCGGCGCCCCGTCGGATTCGGAAATCAGCACTATGCTAACTGCAATCTCATGTTAAACGTTAACTTCGATGTTATCGTGGCTGTAATTATATCACGGCGCCTGGCGGTAATTCGAGTCGAGCGTCATTTCGTAGCGTCAATGACCTATGGAATTGTTCATCGTGACGCTCGTGACTTCTCGAGCGCCTGTTCAACCGATGTGATCCCCCACAGTACAATTGCATCAATACTTGATATCTGGAATCTTCGAGTGTTTTCTGAGCTCTGTAGATTGTGGGTTCCCTAGATAGTGAGTGCATTAGTACCATGAGAGGCTTTCGTCATTGATTCACTATAGCCATAGCATAGCAGTGTGGGCACGCCATGGGTCGAAGGGTAAGCGGCTTACGCTCTATATTTTGGCCATACTTACCAGGTGGTGCCTAGGGGGCTGTATAATTTCATTCTTTCGAAACCCTGTCGGCTGTGGGTTTCGATGTGCGTCCGGCTATGACGGTTCGAGGGGACTCCGATAGCTTTTTCTCACGAATGCACATCGGATCGGATGTCTAGTCTGATAAGCCTGAATTATTAAACAACAGCATAGCATCCTCCGGGACTTTTGGGAGTAGTCTTTATACTTCCGGTATGAGTTTCGCTATCGGCCGGTCGTTCACGTTTCCCGTAAGCGCGCATTCAGGATATAAAGACCTGGACCTGGCACACAACCTGGGCATTCAAACAACTTACTATGTTTTCTCAAGCTCTCACTATTCGCGCTGATAGCATCGCTCGTCATATCGAGACGGTCTTCCTTTTTACAAAGAATGATGTCAGAACCACTCTGATACCTGTCGTGTGTGACAACTATTCCGCGTCTCACCCCTTTATTCAATTACACTTTTCAGACCATATTCGCATTATCCGCGGCTCACAAATATGACCCCATCCATGCTTGGAATGCTCCTTTGTGGATATGGCTCCACTTATTGCAGTTCAACATTGCAAACCAGATCCAGGATCCGGAGGAGGACCGCAAGAACAAGCCCTCCCGTCCGATACCTGCTGGTCGCATTTCTGTCGACAGCGCAGCTGATATGCGCTGGGTAATGGTCCCGGTCTGCCTGATGCTGTCATTGTGGTACGGCACTCAGGCTCTGCTGGCCAGCACCGTTTTTGCAGTGTTGACGATATGGTATAACGAACTTCACGGCGATAAAATGGGATTGTCGAAGAATGTACTCACAGCCATCCTCTATGGGTGCCTGGAAGTCGGAGGAACCGTTGCTGCCGGTAAATCTATTCGGTTGCAGAAATCCATCATTTTGCTCATCAAGTGTACAGGTTCTCGCAACTCATGCATCGATAAGGCTGGTGCTTTGGCGGTCGCACTTAGCTCGACAGCCTTTGCGACTACACTTCATGCACAAGACTTCAAAGATGAAGAGGGTGACCGCCTCACTGGCAGGCGCACGCTACCCACAATATTCCCTAAAGCAGTGCGCTTTTCAATGATGCTCGGCATTCCCCTCTGGTCATTTGGCCTGAGCCATATCTGGAAGCTAGATTCGCTCTCTACCACCGCATTTGTAGCTTACGGCGCATATGTGGGGGCCCGATTCGTGATGTACGACTCGGTAGCCGCCGATAAGCAGTCCTGCAAATTTTATAGCGTAAGTCGAAATATTATTTGGGAGCACACCGAGGTGAAGCTGACAGTGAACTCATACCAGTTGTGGTACTCGCTTGGCCATCTACTTCCGGGTTACTGGCGTTTCTTTTATGGTGCTTGAGTATCCAGAGTTGAAAGCTGCATCTGTCCCGTTCTGATGATGCACTAAATTAATGGATGAGCATTGATGGCTGTCCGTAGGCAAAACAATACAGAATACTATTACCTACCACCAGTTCGTGCATCCTGAATAGCCACACTTTGTCTGGCACAAATCTTGAAGCTAATTAAATCATAATTTTCCTGCACGCACTACGGGCTTGAATGAATGCTATTTGACAAGAAATCAATGAGATAGTTTTGAGGCCGTGGCAAAGGTTTTTGGTCACGCTCGCGGCTTCGGAGCCACAGCCGTGCGGCTATTATCCCTGGCTTCTCATTGGTTGGACTACCGGTCCGTATCACTCCCGAACTGGTCTTCGCATTGCGAGGTAAATGAGGTATACTTCGTTTGAACTCGTTAGTGCCGAACTGTGTCGATTAAATAGAATATTCCACTTCGATTCGCCTCTGCGGCAACACTAACTGTCCGTGCATAAATTGGTAGATGATTACGGACTTTGAAAAATATTTGCAAAAGATAATCTCTGGCGTTAGTAGGATACAAACCGTCAATTCTAATTGCCCTACAACTACGCTTGCGACAAGAAGCCAGAACGATCACTTTGCCTTGACGGGGCCCCTAGAAATTAGCCTGTCGTGAAAAGAAAGGAGAACGTTCCCACATCAAGAGAAATTTCGATGTAGGCCAAATATAGGCGTGAGAGCGTTACAAAAGTCATCGTCATTCGTCGATCTTTAAATTCTGAACATGAAGCCTGAGGCTGCCAAGCATTGTAGGTGTCGAAAGGCTCGCTGAGACCACGATTCAAGTACGTATTGGTCCCCTTTTCTCTTTTTCGTGTCGTCCTTTTTCATTTCAGCAATATTAATAAGGAAGACCGAGATGACGACGAGAGACTCGGGCGTTTGGCTGAAGCCGACCCACTGAGCCTCTAACGGGCGTGTTAAAACTTCGAGCCGAGCGGCTGGCAAACTCGGACTGGACCTGGATATAATCCCCGGAGCTCTATCGTAGTCTCTGCCCTATATTTTCCATAGTAAGTACTGACTTTCACAAGAAACTAGAATCCGAATGACGTCGGTCGTCCCCACGACGTGAATTATGATCGCCTCCTGAATGTGTTTTTGACTCAAATTTCATGTCCTATGGAGAGTTATTCTCTAAGGAGGACAGTACTATCTAGTCAAGGGGACCCCTAGTATCCCTGTCACATCTCTGGGCCCGCGAATGCCTTGGTGTGGGGCGTACCACCGCCAATCCGCCGTTCCCGCCAGCCGTTTTAGACGCGCCGCCCTTCGAAGATGAGATGACTTAAAAATACTAACTATGTGTGACGAGCTAACGGGTGAGAAGACGATACGTGTACTCGACCGCTTCAATGCGCGGACAGGTACAGGAGTCATAGTGGATGTAGTAGGAAAATACCCATGGTTGACAGATGGTTGTTCAGAACGTTCAAGTTCTTCTTCCGGCTGACTGCCTCCTGAACTTGAGTCGCACCATCCCAATTATTTTTATTGCAACGATCACGCTAAGTCTTATTTGCACAACGTTCGTTTTGTCTTGCAGCTTGGTTTCGTTCTCGGAACGTGATGCAGCTTCTAGGAGACTGGACTAAGGTACGTCACATAGTCTTAGGTCGTGCGCCACTTCCTGATAAGGGTTCGATTTTATATCCAGATAATGGATACATCCAGTCCGTTTATCGGCATTCGAATCAAGCAACAACGCTGACTGAGCCACATAGCGCCTGACAAGATCTTGATTATGACACGTACGGACAACAATGTCCGGTAAGTGCTTGTTTGCACGAGTCAGATTGTATGACCGTCTTCTACGTTCCTCGAGTGGCACCACACCTGTGAAGAGTTCAACGTAGTTGAACTGTCATCTGAAGTTCAATTTCGCCCCCTTGGAATGATGTGCGGGTAGGTGGCAGGCTCAACGGCATGAAAAATCTGACCATACCGTTTTTATTCGCTGCTCTATGCGACATTACTCGGAAAGGAGGTCGCCATCATGTCATTATTTTTGGAAGATCTACGATAGGAAAAATCGAGTGCCTCCTGCATCTGTCCCGTACCGTAATGGTGATGCTTGGATTTTGATTCGCTCATTCTAAGAAAGCATCGTGGACAGTAGGTGGCTAGTACTGAGGTGAAATACCTTGGTCGCCCTCCCCGGCATTCCGTTCTATCACCGGAAAGCCTTCACACCCGATTGCACCAACAAAGCCCACGTACGCGTTCGATCGTTACCCACCTTTCAGTCATAGCTTGAGCTTGTATGCAGAGTAGTTCCCGTGGAGATCCTTTTATCCTGTGGTAACGTAATGCAAGGGAGGAGGACTGCTCCCTCCGTGGAAACAGTTTCCCACTTTGAATCATTCCTTTGTTTACGCTTTAAGTCAAGTTGGTGCAGGACACGCTTGCACTAGGACTAAATCCAGGTAAATCGCATCGCATTATTCAATGTCATCTGTCAGATTTAGAGTCCCCGTACCAGACGGTCAATCGTTGTCACCGTTGCATATTTCAACGGGATTCTGGCTGTGCTCAGCCAAACCGACATGCTATGTTTTGTCCCCTTTCTGATCTGATCTCCCCTAATGAGCAGCCCTTTTGGGACGACGGAAAGCTTCTATTAGCTTGAGATCATGTCTGAAGATTCTACTCACGACGGCATCCAATCGAGCTGTCAAGTTCGCCGGTGTACCTTGTTTTACTATTCGTTTCATAAGTTACTGACACCATAGATGTTCCAGTGATGCACGTCTGAATAGCCATTTTGATATGGAAAGGTCGATCTCAGGCTATTTAACTGGCTCAAAATGAGCAAACAATCAGACCATGTTGTCCCAAGCCTTAGATAGTGGTCGCCGTATCAGCGGGCATATCATGACACTGTTGTTGTTCACGAAGTCTGATGTCTTAACCACTCTGTTACCTGTCGTAAGTGCCCCCAAAATTGGACGTGTGTTCTTTGACATGACCTTGTGCATCAGACTTTGTTTGCCTTGGCGAATGCTCCCCATCCCCACACAACTCGCATTCTGGACATCATAATTTGGATATGGATCCACCTCCTGAAATTTGACATATCTAATCAGATTCAGGATCCAGAGGAGGACAAAAGAAACAAGCCTGATCGCCCTCTCCCCGCCGGTCGTATAACTGCCCAGAATGCGGCGGACGTGCGCTGGCTGCTACTTCCTATCTGTCTGATGTTTTCCGCGATGTATGGCAGACAGACTCTCGCCTCTAGCGCTTGTTTTGAAGCCCTCAGTATCTGGTATAATGAATTTGGAGGCCACAAAGCTGGGCTTTCAAAGAATCTATTGACAGCCGTTGGATATACGTGCCTGGAAGCAGGTGCAACGATTGTTGCAGGTACGTAGGTTGTTCCATCTATAGCACGCTTTGCCGTTGACTGACATCCATATCTTGATAACCAGGGTCCGGCCCGTGCCTCGATAGTATCAGTGCGCGCGCAGTTGCTTTGAGCTGTGCAGTGTTCGCAACGACACTTCATGCACAAGATTTCAAAGACGAAGAGGGGGATCGCTTTATAGGAAGACGCACTCTCGTCACTCTGTTCCCTACCTTTGCACGTATTTCAATGATGCTGGGCGTCCCCCTTTGGTCGTTCTTCCTCAGCAGACTCTGGAATGTGGATTTTGTCTGTTCTGTTGCCTTTATAGCGTATGGAACAGTTGTAGGGGGGAGATTCATGGTGTATAGGACTGCGAGCGCTGATAAACAATCCTGCAAATTGTACAGTGTCAGTGATCTCAGAGCCAAAAGTTTCTCCTTGCTAATTCATTACTTTAGCTCTGGTTTGCCCTTGCGCACTTACTCCCTGGCTATTGGCGATTTTTCTACAGCACTTGAAGCTCACCAGCACCATTAAATTGTGCAAATGAATTACTTAGTTAATATTTCAAGATTCTTACATAATGAATTTTGATGCCGCTCACTGCGCCGCGGCAGTCAACTTGTTGTCATCGTTCAACGACGCTCGTCAATAATTTGCTGCATGCTGCAGGTAATATGGGACTTCTCCCAGAATTGAACCATGGGCGTGGTGCGGGCTCTGGCTTGCCACTTCCTGTTCTTCTTCTTGCCGGAATATCGACCTTAGTAGCAGTGACTGTCAGTGGATTGTCGATATGGCTGCAGCTAAGAAACTATAGGAAGCCCCTCCTGCAAAGGTAATTCCACTTAATTTCTGGCGACTGTTTGCTGACCCGCGATATTCTCAGGATGGTCATCCGAATTATGCTCATGGTCCCAATCTACGCCTTGTCATCCCTGATTTCCCTTTTCTCGCTGGACGCAGCATTCTTCATTGATGTGATACGAGATGTATACGAGGTATGTACTATCTATGCACGAGTATCTTTCTTGTAAACTTTGAACATCGATTTAGGCTTTCGTCATTTATTGCTTCTTCGTTCTTCTGCTTGATTATTTGGGCGGCGAGCGTTCGCTTCTCATTCAACTCCACGGACGACCACCTATCCCAGCCATATTTCCTGTCAGTCTTTGGCGACACGAAGTAGATGTTAGCGATCCATACACGTTTCTCTTCATTAAACGAGGCATTCTGCGTCAGTAGTCGCTGTCTTTTTAATGGTCACGCTGACACGTTTCCACTGATAGAGTATGTGCAAGTCAAACCTGTGTTAGCAGTTGCCAGTCTCATCATGAAAGCAACCGGAACATACCACGAGGGTGATTTCCGGGCCCGGTCCGGGTACCTGTATGTTTCAATCGTGTACAACGTGTCCATTTGCCTTGCATTATATTGCCTTGCAGTCTTCTGGATGTGTGTAAGCGATGATTTGAAGCCATTTCGGTGGGTCAACAGGCGTTTGCTTAGCTATCTAAAATTCATTATTCCGGTTTTCAGCCCTGTACCAAAATTCCTTTGTGTTAAAGGAATCCTTTTCTTTTCATTCTGGCAATCCATTGCTGTATCAACTCTCGTCGCGGCCGACGTCATATCCAAACTTGGACCATACACGGACAGCGAACACATCTCCCTCGGACTCACCGACACTTTAATTTGCGTCGAGATGCCATTCTTCGCTATCGCGCATATGTATGCATTTTCCTATAGAGACTTTGTCAAATCATCACCTTCTGCCAAAGTTCACGTAGCACGGATGCGTATAGGGTATGCCGTTCGGGATGCATTTGGCCTGAAGGACCTTGCTGAGGATACCAAGGCAACTTTACGGGGAGAAGGCATCAATTATCGTGCAGTTCGAGCCAAGCGAAGGCGGAATGCACGTTGGGGCAGCAAGAGAGCGAAGGATACGTGCCGGCCTTGCGCTATTCCGCAGGCGGAAAGCGGAAATACTGGCTCCCGGAGGTGACGGGTCTAGGTGATGGAAATGCCGAAGGTGACCGCAGGGGCTGGTTTGGTCAAGTCACCAGGCAACGATGGAGACGTCACTGCTCCACTGCTCACGGAACATGAAGAGAACATTGTTCACTCTGCGCCCGACATGCAATATCAAGAACAACGGCAGACCATACGAATGCCCGGCGACGACGTGTACGTGGAAGACGACGATGAATATGCACTGCATTTCAATGACGGCTTGGCCACCGCGGATGATTCACTCTATGAGCACGCGAAAAATTATGTCTTCGGCGACTACGCGTACCCTGTTGTAGACGTCAGCTCTGAAGAAGCGCGTTATGCGATGTGGGCTGCGGAAGAGAGGATTGTTAGAGAAGGAATGCACGTCAACGTCCACGTTGGTACAAGCAGTAGCAGAGACTATGGTGCAACGGGCACTCGGGCAGGTCAAACACGCAAGTACGATGACGGTAAGGACGAAGTATTCGCTTCGGAAGAACGTGTGATGTCCCTTGAGGAAGGCAGTCAGAGGCACAGAAGTAAACGCACCGAGGAAGTTGAGGTGGTCAAATGCCAGAAGTAATGGAGCTCCATCACCACCGATCTCCGACTCGTTAAGCTCATCTGCAAGTGGATCGGGTTCAGGGAATCATCTGCGCTACTCAGGGTCTTCATCTCGACATAACTCACAGACATCTCATGCATCACGCCCGAGACTGCTCTCTGGAAGCAATGTAAACGTTCGCGCATCGTCCCCATACCTTCATTCTTCGCCTTCACACTCGCGATCGAACCTCGGTACTCCATCACCCCGCTTACTTCCCTCTGGATTACATTCCCACCCACCTTCTCCTCATCCTCCACTCGCGGAGCCAGACGCTGTAGACCTTGTTGTATCCACCGATACGCTCCCGGTGCCCTCAAGTTCGCATGCTGCTCATACTTCTCTGCGCGCCACAGGCTTGAAACGTGTCTGGGATCAGAAAGGGCACACCCATGTTGAATCTTCGGTTGGGTTAGAAGAAGAAACTGACAGGTGGTCTAATGACCGTCGCGTCGTCCCTGGTGAAGTCGACAAGGAGCCTGATATACGGAAGGAGGAACATAATGTTCTGGACGGACACGAGCCAGAGGAAGTAGTACGCTCTGAGACGCCGCCCCCATATGCTCGGGCTTGGACCTATGGAACCAAGAATCCAGAGGAGGACGAACAGAATCCGTGGACGTGAAATCATGACCAAAGGACTCAGATGCTCGACATGCCGAGATACCCCCTCATATACATAACTTATTCACGTTGTATAACATTCATGTAGCTGTCTATGGATTTCTTTCAAAAGTCAGTTGCTGATGCTTGGTTAGATTTGTCTCCTGAAGTTTTTGGCAACTACGGTCAAGCTGCGGTTGTGCTTACTCAGGTTGTACAGCCTTACCAATTGCCAAGAACCTGTTCGGTATTTAGATGCGTGACACTGTGGCTATGCGAATCGTGGCATTCCTGTGCACCACTTCACGCACAATTACCCCCCTCTCTTCCGCGAGGCCGCCAGGGTTTACTCACAACAACTACCTAACATAATTGCCACGACGAACCATGTTCAAGACGGCAGCAGCAAAAATTGCCCATAATTCAACGATTCCGGCGCTTGCAGGTAATAGCGATCTTAGACAGTTTCAGGATCTCATTAACGCGGAGAAGGTTGTTTTGGTCTCGTGAGTGTGCTTCAGACATTGCATATACGCCGTTAACGTTCTTCTCGCATCATTATACAGAATTCAGAGACTGGGCGTTGATATAACCAAGGCTGCGGAGTCCCTCAGGGCGTGGGGGGTTGGTGAAGGTGATGACCTCGTAGTGAGTGATGCTTTTGTCTGGGTGTACGTGGTGCAGTTGCACTTCATTGCATAACGTTCACGCAAAGCTTCATGGGATGCCACGCATGCTCTGTGACGCTCAATAACGCGTAGACAAGCTCCTCATCTTGCCATGTGGAGCTGAGTACAGTATATACCTGCGCGACTGGACGGAGCATTTCATCCAAGACCAATGGCTCTATGTGCACCCGCCATGTTTTATTATCCGCTTCTGACAAAGAAACTGTAGGATATCCTCAGTGCATCTACTACCCTGCTTGTTAACTTTGCTGCGGCGCTGAGTGCATACGCCAGCACACATCATGGAATCCGCGACACCATGAAGTCTGTACGAACGCGCGAGGAAGCCCTCGATGATCTACGGCGCCGACGACGGCGTGTTGGAGCCTCTGCAGACAGTGCCGAAAAGAAGCTCAGCAAGATGAGCCCCGAACACAAAAATCTCGCAGCGCAGAGTGACGCTCTCAATCGACTGCGTGAAGAGATGCGCGCAATAGATTGTGAGATTGTTCGTGAGGAAGCTGAGCTGGGCGACTTTAAGAGAAAATGTGCGAAGAGCTGGATGCAGGCCAAGTTCGGAGGTCTCGCAGAGTGCTGTGAGAAGGGTGTGGTAAGTCGTTCTATTTCGTTTCGCTCATTCTCCGCCTCATTTTGTACTCAGATTGTTGGCGATATAGGCAAAGCAATTGTTGCAGTATGTTCTGGTGTTTGCTCGCAGGTCTCATCATGACCTTCATTTGTAGGAGATTCCCGAAGACGTAACGCAACCGGGACTTCCTCGAGCGTATTATAGCGCTCATCCACGTGTCAGCGCCCTTGTATCTGAGGCACAGCGCAGTATCGCGCAGGTGGCCTTTACGGCTGTCGCGTCTGGCCGCGTCAGTCAAGGAGAGCATGAGCATACATCTTCGACTCAGGCCTCGCCACAGATGCAATCACAACAGACATTGTTGTCAAGTTCTCCCTATTTACCTGCTCCGCGAGTAGGAAGCGGGCTCCACCTAGGCGGCTTTGGGAGTGAATCTCTGGTGGGACTTAACGAGCTCAACATGCGTTAAAATATCTTATCATTTTTGACATTCACAGTCTCCTCCACATCCAAGCCAGCGCACGGCATCCGCGGACGAACTTGGCGTCTCCACACCGACCTCAACACATGCCAGTCATTTTTCCTCTTTTCCTACGAGGGGCCCAAGCTTAGGTATCCTGTCACACGACGGACCGACACCCTCAATTCCTCCCCTCTCGTACTTGCGGCAAGCAGATACAATGGCTGGTGGTTCCTCAGCCCTTCCCGCGCATGACACCTCGGGCTCTTTGACCAGCTCTATCGCCGACGCCCTGGCTCGCAGTGATTCCAACTCATTAAGCCTAAATCGTCCCTCAGTTGATGATCCTGCGCCAAAGTACGAGCCATTCGTGCCCGGATCAGGTGCTCCATACACTGGTGTTGGAGACACACGCAGAAGCAAGAGTCCAAGTTTGCCACCAGGCGCGGCTCCTGCTGCAATCCAGGCTTGGGACGGTGGTTTGGGCGCTGAAATTGAGGAACAGCGTACCGTGAGCGAAAGCAACGACAATGCGATGAGCGTCATGAGTGGAAATGAACAGGCGACTAGCATTACTGGGCTGAGCGACAGACGGACATCACAGGAGTCGGTGGGTGGTATGCCGTATGACCGTGATGAGGAGCCCGAAGATTACCAATCGAACGAAATTGCGCTGCAAAACATAGACCGAAGGGTGAGGTCTGGGACGGAGGAGGACGAAGCAGAGGTAGAACGTAGCAGACCTTCGCCTCAGACGACGGAAAGTCAGAGACGTATCCCGCGTGTGCCTCCGCCATCCGTAGATACTGAGGCACCAACTCCGCCAGAGCATACCAGGATCGTGTCTCCGCTTTCACAGCAGTCTACTTCCCCACTGCAGACTCAAGCGAAAGGTCATTCAGAAGAGGGCGACGGAGACGACGAGCAGGCACGCAACGCAGCAGCTGCACGTGAAGTCTCTCGTGAATTGGATGCGCTAGCATTCAGCACACCTGCACCAGTGATGTACTCTACTCATCCAACTCAATCCCAAGCCCCACCACAAGGTTCTTACATGTCGGGACAGGCTTACCCGCCTCAGCCACACCAACAACTGCAGATTCATGCACCTCAACATAATCAGACCTCTCAGCCCCCTTCACCCCTTGCACCACCTATTGCACCGTTCGCTCACCGTTCTACTTCACCTCATTCTCATATCGGCGCTGACCCAGGCGAATCGCGTCCTCTACCGAACATAGTTGCTTCGAGGAGTAGTTCGCCTCGTCCCACATCGCCTCGCCTCCCGCCATCTTCTTTGTCCTCTGTGCAATCACCTGCTTCCGTCCCCTACAGGTCACCACCTGAATACCCACGTCCGCCGCCGCCGTTCTCCTCTCCCCTCATGGCGAAGTCCACATCTTCACTGACCTCGGGTGCTCCCGGTGGTGCACCGCGAATGATCTCGGCTGCTGCGTTCCGCAGGCCCGGTCGCAACGGAAGCGAGTCTGGGTCATCGTTGAGTCCGGCAGGGTATAGTGGGCCGGCAGATACCTCACCTCTATCCCTCCTCCGCCCTTCTGCATCGCCTGCGCCTTCGATGTCACGAAAGTCCGGGGCAATGCGAAGGCTGTCTGTAGTCAACCCAGACCCAGTCCAACTCGATGAAGATGAGTTCGACTACATATCGGCATACACGGGAGGGGACGAGCCGCGGGGTGCGCAGGCCCAACAGAGTGGGGGATATGGGCAAGGGAAGTATGTTAGCGACCTTGAAGCTCGGTGATCAAGACGAAAGCTTGTCTATGTTTAAACTTGGGACTGTATTGCTCTGGATGTAAATGAACTATTGACTATGTATGTTCTTTTTCATTTTCATTTGTCCTGTTGTTATGTTAATTTTGCTTATTCACAATCAAATATGTTGGAATGTGGGATCCAACCCTTTTCACTCCAGTTGGGCGGTAATTTAGCCGACTGTGCAATCCTCTGACCTTGCTGGATTTTCTGCTCATCGATAGTCATGACGACAAAGATGGTATGTCCAATGATCTATAGTACTCGGCTTGAAGCATTCCAAACTCGGTAAGGGTAAACTCAACAGTCTTTAATAGAAGCTTTCAAAGACAACAGTGCCTCCTCGCCAGGTTCTGATCGGCTTTGGGTTTGCCTAATCTCCATTTAGGATTGCTCTGCCATCTTGCCCTTCAGTTTGTGATGCCACGAGTAGTGTTCCGCATGCTAGTAGAGGTGACATGTTCAACCCTTCACTTGAAGCTCAGTACCTAGAATTCAATGAGGGCAAGAAACCCCTTCACCCTGTCACAATCGATCCAACAGATGAATTTTCAGGTTCAAAGGCGATTCATCGATCATCGTTAGGTTGTATGAAACGGGAGATATTGTTTACAAAGGACGCTAGAGACTTGCAGTACTACTACGTCAACCTGATTTGCAAGAGCAAAAGAAAAGATAAATCATAGTTTCAAATTGAAGAAATAAGAAATCGTGTGTAGAGTCATAACTCCCATGCTGATCTCAACTATAAAAGTATATTTCGATTGATTCAGAGCGCACGTACCTTTCGGAATGAAAGCAGAACTCAGAGTTGGACATCGCCAATCCACACTTCCCCACTGCGCTCGTTCGAACTAAGGAGACCGCCCGAGAGAACTACTCGAGTATTACCTCCAGGGGCGGTATAAGATGTTGAAGGGATCCAGCCACGGCCCTCCGGAGTTGAATCACCTGTGAAATGAGATCAGCCGATGGATGTTACATGGTTGTAATGCAGGCACTAATGATGGATCGCGAACCAAGGTTAACTTACCTGCCAGAATTAACTTCTTCCACCTTAGCGCGCCCTCATGCCACACCAGCGCCCAAGCATCATCCCAGAAATTTCCAGCACCCGCATGGCCCAAGTTGGATGCCTCACACTCGCCGTGGTATAGCAATGCGACTCCAGTACCATCAGACGTGGAAAGAGGGACGAGACCGTGGACGGAGCGCGCTCCGGGATATCCCTGTTCCGGATCGCCAGACGGTACAACGGTTGTCCAGGAGTTGGTACTTGGTGTGTAAATATCCAAGGGTGGTGGTGTTGAGGTGGGGAGTTGGCACCCAGCGAAACCTGGAAAAAAATACATGAGATATTAGTTAATTTAGAGATGGGGAAGGCTGAAATGATAATGAATACCAAGCTGTTGACTATGATAAAAAAGGACAGAATAAACAGAAGTCGGGCGCATATGAAGGGCAAAACAAAAAGAGCGTGAATACTGTCAGACATTGTCTATTTGATAAAGTTACGAAGCGGGGATCACGAATGTCGTAGGTAGAGCGCACATCAGACATAGAAGAACAACATACCGCCGAATCGAATGATCACTTCCTCATCAGAGGAAGACGTTGGAAATTTTACAGAAGCGATAGCGGTCCCGCCACGGGCGGGATCAGGAGCATCTGCACAGAGAGACCACCGAGAGGATTGCAGATCATAAGAATGAAGAGTAGAGAGGCGACCAGAGGTAGGACAACCCGCATGGATGTACAACTTTCCCTACATACAAATCCCGATCAGTACGAGAACGAAAATCAGGAAGAGAATGAATTGTAAATTGATGGAACGCTCAGGATGTAGGGCGCATTTTCGGACGCTCACATTAGCCATGACGGAAGCGTGGAAGCTTCTCGTGACGGGCTCATCGCCCGTACCTTCCAGCTTCTCCCATACCACCTCATCCTGTGATATCTGCCCCTTCCATATACCTGATTGCTTGGGATCTAGAGGCGTCATATCAGCGCCCCCCCTTCCGCCCCACATGTACAAATTTCCGCCATCGAACACTGTTGTCGCGCCCACTCGGGGTTCCGGCTTCGACGATGCGGACAAGGTGCGCCACAGGCCAGCATTATCCGCTACGGAATGCTGGATGGCGTTGTTCAGATCAAATACGTGAACATCTCCATCCACAGGCTTGCGCGGCTGGAACTCGCCAGCATATAACAGCAGGGTGCCTTTGTTTGCGATAGAAGCACAGTGGGATGATCGTGCTATAGTTGAGAGAGACGATAGGCATGTCCAGCGGATCGACATCGTTTACGTTAGATCGGGAACTTCAGGGGAGCAGTTACAGAGTCCTGGCTGGTACTATGTACTCAGCGATTAGCAAAAAGATAACAAGATTTGTAACAATCGTCGCAATGAATGTGACAATCGATGAGCGCCGAAAACCCAGGCAGCTGACCTTTTCGACCAAGTTGTTCATCTTTACTGCGCGAATTCACAGCTGCGGCCATAATTAGCTGGTAACCTATATACTCTCCCACAGGACAAGGATCACAACCCCTCGAGCTTCATCACATACTTGCACTCGGCGATTAATTACTTGGTCGTCCAGTGCTTCGGGCGGGTCCATAATGCCTGCGATGAAATGACGGAGGTCGGATCTCAGTTATCCAAGGGTCGGATGTTCTGGTTCTCAAACTCATGTAGTACGACGTCGTTAAAACTTGCCTCTGAGTCAATTCTGAGTACCCATTAATGCTATCATCACCGTAACCGCGAGCCGACAATTACAAGGGACATTTATGAATGCAGCACAAGTGCAGATCCCTATCGAGACAAGAAGCTTGGCAGAAGCGGCTGCCCTTTGAACACTGCAGCGTGCCCTTAAAGACCCCATGTCCAAAATTAGACCTTCCTTTCATCCAATATTGGTTAGGTCTTTATTGTCTTGCATTCCCTGACTTGATCAGACGAGCTTCGGTGCTATACCAGAAATACAATAAACGTACTCCCGGATTCGCCATGTCGACCCGAGAAATGGGAGAGCATGTACGGCACTCAAGGACGGGGATCTCTCGCCCACATCGATAACCCTTTTTGTTTAAGAGTCGTATGAATAACTCCAGCCCACAGCGACTCCTCCCTCATCCGTTGGGTCCTGGAGTCCCTTTGTCAGACACTGAACTTACCTGTACCTATCTTTCTGTAGCGTCTGGCACCTACAAACCTCGCCCTACACCCGACTATCTGTAGCACATCGTACTTTAATACCCAAACCGTCAGTTAGCATCCATTATGGCATCACATACATACCCTCCCCCTGAACCCCGCACCATCGCACCCCCAACCAACAATACCCTTTCGTCGAAGGAGCGCTCTGCACTAGTGCGCTCGACCAAGAAGATAGGACGTATGCTCGGTGATATCCCGCGATTTGTCGATGATATTGAAGATCGTGAGTTTATCGTTCCTTTCACTCACCTGGATGATGCTGATCTGAGGAACAGAGTTCGTCATGGTAACGCCTCCAAGACCACCTACTCCAGTTGGACCCTCCAAAGAAGACACATGGAAGAGTCGTAAACCGACTCACCTTCCCCCGCTTATGAAACTCTCTGGTGGGATTGCCATGGACTCCAACTCCCCACCCATGCCCCCACGTACTGCACCTGCACGGCGCACTAGCATCGTATCAACTTCCTCCAGCAAATCTTCTATTCAAGAACAGCTTCTCACCCCATCCAAGGAGGTTGCGCACAGACGCAGCAAAATGGAAAGGCTACGAAGGAGGCTAGGTGAAGAGGTTCCAGTAGAAGCCGTTTTCCCATCCGCCCCTGCCAGCCCGAGGACACCCATCCCACATACCGCGATGCCCGAACGCTCGCATAATCATAACCGCTCGCGGTCTGTACACCCTTCACACGACGACACTGTCACATTCTCGATAGATCATCACACTGTCGTTCTGAAAACAACCACACGAGCTAACCAGCCTCACTCACCTCATCCTCATCGTTCCCACCATCCACACAAATCCGCACATCGCCCGCCGCCATTGCCTATGACCGGGCTACCACCGTTGCTCAAGCCTAAGCATCCTCGCATCTCGGATGAAGCAGGTCTATTGGGCGTGAGGGCCAAGACAGCAGCAGGTTCTAAGATCGGCGGTGCAGAATTCAAGGCCGCAAGACGCGCCAAACGGGAGGGTTTCGGTGAAGTAGAGATGGTTGGGTTCATGGGTGGTTTTTAGGCCTTCCTGTAAGCTCAAGAGCTTCTTCCATGTGCTCATGGTGGATATATGCATATACAGTGCTCTCGCGTGGAGCAATCATATGCTTCGGGGATCTCGAGGTTTTGGTATGTTTATCTATGCGAGTTTGGGTATGCCTTCATGTCGTCTCTCTATGCTGTCAATCGCTTTCTCTTGATGACACTACGCACTACATACCATTGGGCTGGACCCTGTACCAACTGATAACGTTGCCTCGATGATGTTTCTTCTACATTATGTTAGTAGTTTTAATATTTGCACCTAGTTTTCGAGCACCTTGCGAGTCGAATGTACCGTGCACATATACTCTTGGCCTACTAGGCATTCGATCGGAACCACTGGAGCAGTGGCAAGTGACGATGTAGCTGTTAGCGTCTGGCCGACTGAACTTGAAAGCTGGTGTAGCTATGAATGAATATTTTAGACCTTGATGAATTGATGTTTGCCATCTCAATTGAACAATCGGAACGATTTTCATTGGCCGACTACAATACCATTTTGAAAGGTACTGCTGACTAATGAGCTATTGTTGGATCGTGGTAGTGCCAACGCCTTGGCTCAACATTTTTCGAATCTCACAAGTATGTATCATGTAAATGGGTAAGGGGACGAGAATGACGCGGTTGCTGGTGTTCAGTACACGGTCTATCATGACCAGGTACTCATTCTAATAGCTGATGTTTGTCGTAGGCACCACACTGGTTGTTCCAAGTTGCAGTACGCCGTCTCCGCTTCCCTCTTGCTGTTTCCTCAGGTTCTGCCCGGAAAACAGTCTCCTCACCCACGTCAGCAGTTGTATCGACCAGAAGCGAACCATCTGTAGCAATATAGTAGCCTGCAGGAACATATCTCTCGCTAGATGAAACATACTCCAATACGAGCCTTATCACTTTCTCCATGCTCGTCACCTGGTGCTACAGCCTCAGGCACGATACTTGAGTCAGAAGCACCTCGATCTTTCCCAGTATCATTGTTACGCGGCTGAGTGCACTGCTACATTTCCAACAAGCGGACGGACGGTGCGACAATACTGGCAGTACAGAGAGTTAGAAGGAAGTCGGACGGGGACAATGTCAGCGACTGACACGGATGTCCAAACCGTACAGTGCGTGCTGCACAGTATGGTTGTCATCGATATAGTCTAAGCGAACTTGTTGCACATGTCAGAAGTACAGACATGGAACATGCAAACTTACATTACATCGTGACGAGTCACTCCGGATCCATAGATCTGGATGAAAATTTCCCAGACCCGGCGCGCCACTCACCCGCCTAAAGTACTCCGGCAATTTCAAATTCCTGTCGACGTTCTTATAGGTGAACGTTCGAACCCCCAGCCCTAGATGTTGCTGGGCATCCTCCAGAGAAGTCAGAGTGATTAGCAGAATGAACTATGACAGCTTCAAGCTGTATGTATAAATCGTATAACACATCTGACAACACGTGCCAGTAACGCTTAACTCGGGACCTCAAGGCTCAGCGTTCAGCGTTCAGCCCTCATCTCCATCGAGTATGTGATAGAAGCCTTATAATCGGCGCACAAGAGCTGCGTTATGCCAGGTCACGCCGAATTGCCACGTTCGTGTCTATCTCAAAAGGTATCGCATTGATAACTGGGTCTGCTCAGGGAATCGGTCGCGGCATCACTCTTCGGCTTGCATGGGATGGCTTTGACGTTGCTCTTAATGATTTACCCAATAAGGATGCCGAGCTGGAACTGGTAGCGACCGAAATCGAGTGCCTTGGGAGACAGGTCTGCATCGTTCCCGCCGACGTGTCCGTCAACAAACAAGTCAAAGAGATGGTCGATGGTTGCTAATGCTGGAATAGTAACACTTGCCTCACTTGTATTATGTACGATCTGGGTCAAAGTCTACGATTGACATTTTCTCATGTCCTCTACTAGCGACTGTAGAGTCATGGGATCATATCTTCTCAGTGAACGCCCGTGGAACTTATTTGTGTCATAAGTATGCTGCCATGCAGATGATTGAACAGGGACGCGGCAGTCAAATCATTGGTGCAAGGCTGCAAGCTCGCTCGCGGGCAAAATGGGTGCGTCGTATAGATATGAATTTGCTTGAGTATTTTTATCCAAATGACCAAACAGGTTTTCCCTACAGCTCCTCGTATGCAGCGAGCAAGTTTGCAATTCGAGGGCTAACTCAAGCTGCAGGTAATTACTGATATACTCGGATGGACAGCCTTTAATAAAGACCGCTTGACAGCTATTGAGCTCGGTCAATATGGCATTACTGTAAATGCATATGCTCCAGGCGCGATACAGATTCCTATATGTAAGGTCGAACCAATTTCCGATTTCCCAGTTAACTCCTGGTTAGCCAAGGCCATAATGGATGAGTCTGGGAACGTAGATTATGCACGATTTATCGACGATCCTTGTTCGAGGAAGTGGATGATGTCTGTGAGCAGAGCACGATAGCAAATCTTATTCAAATACTGAATACCTGCTTTCTTCACAACCTCGATAAGGTACTTGAGAATGTTCCTGTCAAGCACATTGGACAGCCTGAAGATATAGCTAGCATTGTAAGCTATCTCGCATCGAAGGAAGCGCACTTTATTACCGGTAAGTTCATGCCTTCATTGCGCCCGTCTTTTGTTTATGTAGCATGTTTTGTCTCCAGGTCAATGTGCAGGTCAATCTAGTTTGTCGTATACAGCCGGTTTGATCTTGTTCCCAGATCTCTGTCGATGGGGGGATCAGTATGGGCTAAGAAGGCCTTGTAAGCAGTTACGTTCTTACGCCTCGCAGATGCTATGGTGTGATTACAACATCAAATTGAGGATTTCTTCGCTGGAGTGGTCAGTGGCGGTGCTGATCGACTTGCCAGTAAGGCCTTAAGCTTGAGGGTCAGAACACTTTGAGTATGTGTAAGTGGTGTTGCAGGCCCATGCCCTCCGCTGCTAGCCAACTGGAAGAAACTTTGAGTGAGAGTCCGTATAAACATACATGTAGTTGGTGCGTACCGTCATCCATTCAGACCTCTGACTTAAACAGAACGTTTAATCCAGAAGAGTGGATGTTCGCTCAACGCAGCTTAGCTATTGTTAGTTTGTTTTTTGTTTTTTGGATTTCCCATTACCCCTGACATCTCATGAGCTCGTCGAATTTCACCACCGTGCCATCTTGTTGTGTCATTGTTTCATTGATTGACGTTTGATTCTCATCATCGAATGTAGGTTCTAACGTGGGGCTAAAAAAGATCTCAGCTCTCGTATGGAACAATCAGAAAACTCGTGCAGACCGTATATCGTAAGCCTCACGCGCACGAGCCTGACCTAACCATAGAACTGCGTGACAGATCACACAAGGCCAGTGCTGTATAACTCATTTTCAAGCGTGCCATCTCTGCCCTGCAGCGCAGGTCTAGCTTCATCGGGAAAGGCGTTGGTTTTGAGGTTCCGTGGTAATATTCTGGAGATTTTCATGTTCAGGTCTAGTTACTACCTTCTTCCCTCAAGATTCAAGTAATGGATCACGCACGGAATAATGAATATATCTAATTGAATCTATAATTAGCATGTCTAGTATAATCCCGTATAATGCAAGAAGGTGATTAGGGGGAGAAGAGAAATCGAAAGAACTGCAATGCACACACAAATCCGTCATTTCAATACCCGAGAGCCCCACGCCACGGAGCGTGCGCAGTATTCGAGCAGGACAAGATTTCTTACTGGAAGTTTAGAAAGTTGACGCTGGTAAGCTGCACGCAGTTAGTTGTACTAGTTTAGAGTGTAAGTAAATTGAGTGTTGGAATTGCCACCTTGCGGTCGACATATCCAGGCATCTGTGGATGGGACATTGAAGGTCTGCGTGACAAATTTTCGCATGCGTAACGGGAGATGCACTTACTTAGCAGGAGGTCCTTTTGCGATACACCTGTTGCTTGTATAGTTGATTCATGTGCAGGTATAGATATTACACGTATTATCTTATATATATGAGTGTCGCTTGTCCCAATCCTTGTCCGATTTAGCGCAGGGATAGTGTCAATCACGGACAAGTACTCACGAGTAACTACAGCGGCTCATGGGCTTTCACTGACCCACCAGATCTCTTTCATTTTCCAGACGAGCCAGAGTGCCAGAAAAGAGCCAACGATATACAATATTATCCGCATTTGTCTGACGCCGCCTGCGCCGGAGAGGCCGAATGCTTGCGCAGCTCGCCGAGAGGACTGAGACAAGGACGTTGAGAAACTAGAGAAAGCGTTTCCCTATATGCATATATTAATATTTCAAAGCGAAGAGGAGAATCATCAAGGTACTGTATCATCCAGAGTCAGATGTTGTCTTTCGGCATCGTCGTAGATGTCTGTGGTAACCTGGAAGACTGTTTAGAGATTCGTAGAAATGAGGGGACATGAATCATACTCCACGAAGTGTGCGTATCTTCGAATGTAACTCATCTAGTCGCTGGTCATTCTGTGCTTCATAGGTGTCTTCTGTAGTTCGTGACGAAGACATGGAAGGATTGCGAAAGAAAGCTAGTGTGGGAAACTGTACAACAATGCGTTTCTTCTCCAACGCATTTGAACTTCGGGCGTACTCACAACATTTGTACATGATGCATCAAGGCAATACACCGTTACCTTCCCGCAGACATGGTCCACTAGTATTCTCCATGCGCACGAATCTTCGAGTCATTCAAACAAAATCTCGCCTTACAGGATGAAGTTGAGGCGGATCACCTTGATCAGGCTCCGCCGAACATGAATAGCCTGGTACTACTAAGATATTCTTTATCTTGGTTTCAGCCGCACCTCAGTGCTCGTTCCAAAAAAAAAGAGAATTGAAAGATACAAAAAACCTTGCTCTGTAAGTGCACCCGTCATTGCCCCTTGTCACAAGACTGGATGACCAAACCTTTTGCAGATTCTATGGTTGCATTGCGCTGCGCAAGTGATCTGTGGGTTCGTCTGGTCAGTTGGTCGTGTGATTATCATGTAGGTATATAATTTGTCGCGTCTGCGACAAGCTACATCAAGACACCATCAACATGTCCATTTAAAAGGGCGTTGCTCTCATCACCGGTCCTGCTCAAGGCATTGGTCAGGGAATTGCGCTCCGTTGGACCAGAAGCTTTGATGTCGCTCTTAATGATGTCGCCACCGAATATCATCAACTTATTTACGATAGGATTTGAAACCTTGGGAGAAAGACGTTCATCGTCTCCGAGGAATATGCAAGTCAAGAAAATGGTTGCCTCCGCTGTAGAACACACTTAGGAGGTTGTATGCTGTATGTCCATGGTCTCCACGAGTACAACTGGATTGACAGTATGCTGACTGCTATTCATCTGATGGTCGCAATCCGTTCCTGTCAAGGTGTGTTTTTCCGCCGCCCTTCCTACCTATTGTCATGGGTTGCTTCAACGAATGATGTCTGGAACCGGGCAACCCATTTCATCTGCCATAATTTTGTGACCAGTTGGGGGGTTTCAAGTACCGCCGCCGCGCATTGCGCCAGCAAGTTAGTCATTTGCGGTTTGACGTGGTTTGACGCAATCCGCCGGTAGGTACTCAATATTCTGAATAGGGTTACCGTGACGAAGAGATTTCCAGCTCTCGAACTCGGCAAATACGGCATCACTGTAAATTTGCATGCGCGAAGTCCGATGCGTGTGTCAGCATTGACACCAATGCATCGCGAATGGACGTCACGTACATCAAATGGGTCTCGTGGATCGTTCTGGAACACTGGCTTTGGATGAGACGGAGAAAAAACACCAGATCCACATTGCTCAAGTACGAGATTGTTCGTTGTATCGCGTCTCATCATCGACGTAACACGTACAGATGACTGGAAGCCGAAGGCACAATAGTGTGCCGGAGCATATCACGGTGTCGTAAGATAGAAAGAAGCACACTTCATTACTGGTAAATCCTTTGTCACGATAAATCGGGATGTAGCTCATTCAGTCCGATTTCACAGGACAATGCGTAGGAACTGTATTGATAAAACTAGATGCTCATTGAGCCTCCAGACCTCAATAAACGGGGGTGTTGTCCTTGTCGTAATTTTCCGTGTCATTCGATGATCCTATGAACAATCTCCCTGGTACGTGTTTGAGAAGTCACTTTTGGCTGAAAATCGTTAGTCCCTGTAGTTGCAAGCTCATGAGCAGAAGCCTGCTACACACGTTGATTGTGGGTGCACAACAGCAACTAGCCTATCTTCGAAGCAGGAATGACAAAGATTCTCGCAGGGTTTGGTAACTCGTCGTAATGGCAGAGATGATACCCATGAGATGCTTACGCCACATGGTACTACAGCCATTTTACGGCCAAAAACCTTCCAGACAAGGCTTCATCCATTACCGTCGGAGTCTCTGACCAACCTTTTGGTTATAACCTGCACCCCGGAACGGCTTGAAATCACCGGTAGCATATAGGTTACTACTCCGAAGCACACTTAACGGCACCGATGGAGCACAAGTTTCCGGACCATTCATGACACAGCCCACGCAAGCTAACGTCATAATCATTGTCATTGCGATTAACTTCTACGGCGAGGGATATTCCAAGAGTAGTTAGTGTCTTTTACCTGCAAGCGAGATGAAAGGAGCTATCATTCCTGTAGCATATATAATCCGACTGTACCACTTTCATCGATCTAGCAAGCCCATCACCTTCTACCATAACCATGTCGCCTCAAAAAGGGATCGCACTCATCACAGGATCTGCTCAGGGCATCGGTCGCAGTATCGCTCTGCGGCTTGCGAGGGATGGGTTCGACATTGCCTTGAATGACCTTCCTATGAAAAGTGACCAGCTCGCTGCCGTTGCTAGTGAAATCGAGGCATTGGGGCGCAAAGCATGTATCGTGATCGCGGATGTGACAATCGAGGAGGAAGTCAAGAACATGATCAACGACACCGTAAAAGAGCTGAGCGGATTGGATGTGGTAGGACCCTGAGCTTTCATTCCTGGAAGCTTGCTTATAATGTCTCCACAGATGGTCGCCAACGCTGGCATTCCAGGAGCCAACACCGTCTTGGCAAGTAAGCTCGGTGGTTGTGTTTGAGTGTGCGCTGCAATCTCATGACATCCGGTGTAGCCACTGTTGAAGACTGGGAGCGTACATTCACCGTTAACGCCCGCGGAGTCTTCTTGTGTTATAAACATGCCGCAGTACAGATGATATCTCAGGGCCGCGGCGGTAGGATCATTGGCGCAAGTTCAATCGCCGGCAAGATCGGTGACTGATATTCCGCGTTGAGTCGAGCTCGAAGGGCTGATATGAACGCTGTCTGCAGGATTTCCATCAGCTGCTGCATACTGCGCTAGCAAGTTCGCTGTCCGCGGATTGACGCAGACGGCTGGTGAGCAGAAACGTCTTTGATTGTGAATGATCACTGAGTCTGGCCAAGCTCTTGAGCTTGGAAAATATAATATTACAGTCAACGCCTATGCGCCAGGTGTCATACAAACTCAGATACGTACGTTCCACGTGAACATAGTATGTAGTTTGAAGCTGATCACTTTCGTAAATTCAGTGGATAGCATTTCTGACCAATCAGGGAATATGAGCCTGGCAGACGAAGATTCGACGAATTACCTTGCTCAGGTTTGTTCGCTTCATGCTCACGTGCCTCTATACCGTTGGCTCACGCTGCGCAGCTAATCGGGAACCGGCCGATCAAACACAATGGCCAACCAGAGGATGTTGCAAGCATTGTCGGTTATTTGGCATCAAAAGAGGCGCATTTCATTACAGGTGAGCTCTTATTTTGTTGTTCATTCCTTGCAGCTTGTTTGACACTGCAACAGGGCAATGCGTAAGTGCACAGTGCTGGCCACCTAACTTTCAAGGTATTCACTACACTGCAGATTTCTGTCGACGGAGGCATCGTTTTGTCTTAGCAAGTCAGACGTCTTCCAAACACAATGTACTAAAAGAAGGAACAAATGTATCTTTCAAGAAGTACTCGCTCGAGAAATACCGAACATGACGGGTCAGATTGACATCTGTGGTTCAAACCCAAGTCTAAGTATCACGTATCATACCAATTTCACACACTTCATTCTGTTCTAAAGTTCTGCTGATGTGCCGCAGTCACGTTAGTATTTTGCAAGTCCGCACGATGAGGAGATATGGGGCTACCTTGCGCCGTGAAGACCGTCCCAGACCCTTCCCTCCTGTATGAAGTTCCCACGCCCTGGGGGTATCGTAATTTGTGTGGTAAGTACCAACAACAAACAAGCAATGAACGTTAATGAGCATGTATTGCCAAAAAACCATCCTAGGCATCGTACAAACGAGCGGATACAGTTTTGAGATCTTGAAAACAATCATTTGTGTTCCTATGAGCGCTGGTATTACTAATACTGCTGCAGAACCAATCTACCTCGGAAGCGATCAAGCAAACCAATGAAACTATCGCAAATGGAATCGGCTGCGGTGATGAGAACGTTGAAATGAGACAAGTTCCCATTGATCGCAGCTATTGAAACTGCATTCGAAGTTCATGAACCCTGTTCAGAGTGGCTCATGTGCGGAGAACGCGAAATAACACGGTTCTTTACTTGAAGTGTGCTGCGGGGGGGGGGGCGAATTTTGATGGTCAGACGAGGGTTTAGTGTAGAAGGTACCGCATCTTGGCTATCACTCATCAGACAAACCTCACGGACGCTTACCAAGCGATACAGCGGATGTCGATTGTATATTGAGCGACAGGTGTCTGTTGGTTCAGAGTCAGAGATGAATGTCAATACTATGACACCGCTAGACACATGTAGTATAGCCAGATGATGTGACATGATAGACAATATCAAACGTTCATCAACCTCGTTGTCGATGGCGTCAGACTGGAAATTGGAGAGCTTCCAATTGGCCTCGACCAAGTCTCGATTGGCTCGATTATGCGTCTGTCATCACTTTCCACAATCTAAGATCATCTATATTTGATACAGTAATATACGTTTGATGCTCGAATTTTGAACCCAACAGGAACCGTTTTGATACCCCCTCCCCCTTGCATTTCCCGAGTGGGTACCTCATGACGGCACCTGTAACGTGCAATACGCCGCCCATCTAAGAGGTTTGCTAAATTTAGCAATTTTCCCTTCATCAGAATATTATCTTTCGGGCGCTTCCCAAGGGCCAAAACGCTCAGTATACCAGGTTGTCTTAGTTCAACTAGACTGCTTTCGTGCAGCTCTCCCCGACAGCCCTTGAACAGGGCGTTCCTTTGAAAAGGCATCCCTGCACCTGTTATCAATTTGTGGTCCGCATTTGTTTGTTTTCCCTTGGTTTATCTCATTTCAGCAGACACTTCAACTTGGACTGTATCATCGATTTGCCGTCGGAGGTAAATTCTAGAATCCTTGCTTAACTTGAAAACTTTAAAAGTCGGAGTGCAGAAGGGGGGGCCTTCGGCCTACTTTCCAGACATCACTCTAGGAGTGCTGGCGCCTGGATCTTCAAGTCAACCTCATGTACACTGCCCTGAGGGCCGCGTGTACCTCTCGGGTGAAGTTGCCTGTTTCTTCCTGTCCCTGCAAGGGAGGACTCTCTTGTGATCTGCAACCCTGCTGCAGGCTGTCAGTCTGGCTTTAATTACTCAGCGCGTTCACCCGAGAAGACCGTATTCGCTACGACATGGCTTCATACTCGGAAACTTTAGGATACCCTGCTGAGCGCAGCCGTTCCTTGACTAGCAGGCCTCACGTCCTCTGCGATTGGGCGAGCCAATATTACGACGCGTTCTTTCTCACGTGGAAGACAATGACCACCGACTCGATCGAAGCGCCCTGTCAAGAAAACTGACGGGTGGGCGCCGATCAGAGGATTGGTGAGCTGCAGATATCGTCACATATGCTGATATATGATCATATATAGAAAAGGTTTTCGTTATATTGGCATGTGAAGTCGTATAAAGCCATGCCTAACGTCGGAAATCCCAATCAACGTAAAGCACCCTGGGGAGACCCACATCATAATTCTCTGATGCGGTGACGTTGAAGGCTTGCAAGTGCGGTTTATCTCCTTTGGACCTTTATCTTTGGCTGCTGTTTCTAGACGCCATGATAAGTGTATGTACTTCAAGTATTTCAAAAGGTATTTAATGTCCATAGATTATCTTGAGACTGTTCGATCGATATACACGATGTCTCAATCCAAAGGTGTCGCCCTCATAACCGGCTCAGCACAAGGAATCGGCCGTGCAATAGCAATCAGATTAGCCCAAGACGGCTTCGATTTAGCGCTCAATGATCTACCCGGAAAGAAAGAGGTACTGGAAGACTTCGCAGCCGAACTTCGACGAGGCGGAGAATCAGAGGACTCCTACCGTCCTAGAACATGCATTGTAACTTACGATGTCAGCAAAGAAGACGAGGTGAAGAGCATGATTGATACTGTAACTGACGTTCTGGGGAGCTTGGATGTCGTGAGTAGTGGCGCGAAATGTGTGATCGTTGGACTTATGGCATACTACTGCAGATGGTCGCGAATGCTGGAATTAGTGCCATGATAGATCTCTTAAGTGGTGCGTAGATCCATCGTGAACCAAACATGGCATACTCACTTTTCATGCAGAAACTCTAGAAGGCTGGGACCGCATGATGAGAATCAATGCCACCTCTGCGTTCCTGTGCTATAAATACGCCGCAATCCAGATGGTAAAACAGGACGTGGCGGACGCATCATCGGTGCCAGTTCCATGGTAGGAATACAAGGTAAGAGGTTGTCCCTGATTCGAGTGTGGCGCCTGAAAATACTACGTCTACTATGAAGCTACGTCCCCCTTGTTGTCGTACAGTGCAAGTAAATTTGCTGTTAGAGGCATAACGCAAGCAGCTGGTAAGGTCGTTAACTCATGCATGTGCATTAGTACTAACGACCGCATTAAGCACTGCAACTCGGACAATATGGAATCACGGTCAACTCCTATGCTCCGGGCATCATAGCAACACCCATGGGTAAGTGTTACAAGCATTTTGTTTGCGTTCTGTCCCTATAAAATCACGGACAGTCGTCGCATCAAAGGCTCAAGTTGCAAAACGAGGCGACACGGGCGACTACTTCCAAAAGGTGCGACTAGGAGATTCATGTCTACCATAACATGTTTTGGCTAAACTGCGGCACAGACGATTGACAACTCTGCAGTCGGATACGTCGGACAGCCGGAAGATGTCGCCAGCGCTGTTGCATACCTCTCTTCCAAGGAGGCCCATTTCATCACAGGCAAGTTTCCCATCCCATAAGGGCTGTATGAGAACTAACCTATATTTCCATGTGTTAGGACAATGCGTAAGTTCATTTAGCCATTGATATGTCGAGCAACTGAGACGAGGAACCGATCACGCAGATTTCCGTCGACGGTGGTTTGATGCTGTCCTGATGTGAATCCATCAATTGTCGAATAATTGAATACCAGCGGAAACCCACAAGCTAAGGAATTTTCACTCTGTAGGTATGGTTCAGGAGAAGCTCCGTGAAATCCAGAGGAATCGAGCTGTCGTCGTTTATGATTGAATATGCAATTTTTTTTTGGTTCAGTCTTGATGGAATTAAGTTGATAATGTCCGGGCCTTGCACAGGACGACGGCCTGACGATCTGCTGATCACCACAGAAAACAAGTTGATTCGATGCTCGCCGGCAGTATACTCGGCAGATGTTCTTGCTTATCTGTCTGTGAATGCGTTATGACCTCTGGCTGCCTGGATTTGCAGATGATACGTGGAGCATGTACGATTGGTCCACCGAGCCCAAGTCTTCGTCGGAATGGTGGTCGTTCGGCGAGTCATCGGAGAAGATGGACTGGTTGATACAGAGTTCCAGTTGCGAGAATTGAGCCAAGTTGCAACGTCGATCGTTCGGGACAACCTTTCGGCATATGTTTTGTGGCGAGGCAGCGCTCGTGGTGGAGAATCACATCAGATCACAATACCATCGTACGTGTTAGGTGCTTAGCTGCTGTATACGTTCATGAGTCATGACAGGATGGGCGTTAGAGATATTGTAATTCGAATGACAGATATCTGATGTGTTTTCATCATACCTTGGCAGTATTGTATCCAAAAATAACCCTGTCCCGCATCCTTATCGATTGTGGTCATTGATATTACTTCCACCCGCAACAACTCATCCTCTCAACACTCTAGGACACTCACCCCCTGTCTTCGGAAGCAAGCTGATAATGAAACAGGACTTGAGTTGAAAAAAGATTGCAGAAACGGGGTTCCAGACGTAAGTTCTTTGGAATGGGTGGTACTGTACACCAATGAAGGAGATACTGTATATGACGAGTTGTGCACAAATGGCAGTGGCGATGAAACGAAATGAGATCCACGTTGTAGCAGCGTGGTGGGGAGCCACCAGGAACACTGGAAAAGCGCCTACATGAGGTGGGTTGTGGGCACAAAATTAGCGCTTCTCACCCCACATCAGATTTACGATATAAACATGTCCACAAAACACACCCGTCGTTTGCAACTGACCGTCTGTTTCTCACTCTAGATCAACACAATATGTTAGTGGAGCTTTCGGATGTGGCAAGAAACGCAGACCTTGTTATGAAAGAGCACTCAACGCAGCCGCGAATAATGCTAGGACACACATCATCAGTGTTAGCGGCCGCGTTCTTCAAAGACGGTCGAAGGGTTATCACTAGTTCATCAGACAAAACCCTGCGAATTTGGGATGTGCAGACAGGAGCATCGGTAGGAGCGCCATTCAAGGGACACAAGGGCTGGGTGCGATCAGTCACTATATCCCCAGATGATAGGAGAATTGCGAGCGGTGGAGAGGACAAAACCATTATCCTTTGGAATGTGGAGAACGGGCAGAAGATTTTGGATCCGCTGGTGAAGCATACGCGCGATGTGAACTCGTTGTGTTTCTCCCCCGATGGTGAAAGACTGGCAAGCGGGTCATCTGATTGCACGGTTGTCATATGGGATGCGGAGACTGGCGCTGTCCTCGCGACACTTCGTCATGACAGTTTAGTGTTGACTGTGGCATTCAGCCCCGATGGGTTGAAACTAGCCTCGGGATCAAAAAACAATACCATCCGCGTTTGGCGCACCATTGACGCTGAGGTTCTTCTCGAGTTCGACGCTCACCAAAATCGGGTTCGAAGCGTTGTGTGGTCGCATGACGGCCAGCAACTTGTCTCCGCATCGTACGATCAAACAGTCAAGTTTTGGAACTCGTCCAACGCAGACCAGATCGATAAACCTTGCGCTGGTCACACTGCCTGGATATATTCTCTCGCCATCTCTTTTGACGATTCCTTCATTGCCACTGCATCTTGTGATGATACTGTGCGGCTGTGGAGCACAAAAACACACCAACAGATAGGGCAGGCACTTGGACATACCACATGGGTCGGCTGTGTGGTGATTTCTCCCAATGGAGAACTGCTCATGAGTGGAGATGGAGATGGGAAGGTTCGGCTCTGGTTCATCAAGAACATACTCGAGGAATATAATGCGGAAGATAGGCTGAAGGAAGAGCTAGACGCTGCCGTAAGCCTCCATTTCCGTTCCGAGTCCAATAGGCTAGTAAGTCCTGATCGGCGACCTTTCGTTTAAACCAGAATACCCTGTCGACACCTTTTTTACCGGTAAGTTCTCTTCTTACTGCGGTATCATATACTGCTAATGCCAATAAATGAAGGATATCGCTCGAAGTGACATCCAGGTACGCTCTTACCCATCTTGTTCCTTTCTCATTTGCAACTTATTCTTCTGCACTATGGCACAGCTGGCACGCAACGAGTCCTCTGACGATTGTGACATTACGAGCCATCATTCTTCGGAAACTCACGTAACCTCTAGCACTCGCTTGTTTCCTTCATTATTCGATGTGAGTTGTTTTCCTTCGGTGCACATGCTTATTACGGAATGTGAGCATGTTTTATTATGCAGAACCTCCCTATCAACACGACAGTTCGCAATGCGTGCATCGCCGGGGACTTGCATACTGCTGAAGATATTCTGAACCAGGAGATCGGCACTGATGGCGACAACTGCGCTTCTTGTGCCAGTCGCTCAATTGTAATGGCGCGAAATTCAGATTGGGACCAGGCACTTCGAGATGCAGTCAACGTAAGACACTCTGCCTATCATGACTATTGATTTGACTCCTTTGGTTGCCTAGTCAATTGCTATCCAACCCTCATTAATGGGTTGCATCTCTAAGGGCATTGCCCTTTGCGGCAAGGAGCAACTTTGGGATGCCATGGAGGCTTTTGATCTCGCTTTCACATTTGCCACTCATGATTCGACGACCATCAACCTCTTACTATTGATCAAGGTACTCTTCATACCATTCGAGTTGGTCATTCTCAGTCTCAGTCTCCAACTTTTCAGGCCGTTGCGCTTTTCAATGCAGGCCGTCGCGACGAGGCAATCCGGCGAGTTCAAGACCTAGCCATTACTTGTCAGCACTCAGATACGCTTCCGTGCAGCGTCGTAAACGTGCGTCTTATGTTGGGTTCGCAGAGTATCATTCATCTTCCTGAAATGCACTCGCTAGTCATATCTACATGTACAACTTGCAACCATTTCTTTTGAGAATGGGCAGTACCTCGAAGCTGCTGAACAATTCACGGAGGTCCTCATTACGACTATGGCTGACTTGTCCTTACGCACGGCACTCTGCGAACCTAGATTAAAGATATTCACCATGGTGGGTCATTACAACGTCACAGCACTTCTAATAATTGACGATATGTGCTTTGCAGCTCTTCGGTTGGGACTTGGATTCGTTATTGCGAACCGCCCACCAACAACGGTGTGACGCGTTCCTTCGAGCGGATCAAGTGATCGAAGCGGTCGAATCGTACCAATACATGATGCGCGTGATTGACGGGGCTGAGAAGACCAGCTATCTCGGATGGTCTACCAGTGAGTGTCTTATGATCTTGGACAACTCGAGCATCGATATTGACCCCGAGGTCGATGAGCCTTCAAGCAAGACTGCATTGCACGTTGTGTGGCCAAGGGAGAAGAAGCTGTAGTTACAAACGATCATGCAAGAGCTATCAAGCTTTATTCGGCAGGGATCGGGCTAGATCCCTCACATGACCTACTTCTTGTACGCCGCGGTAAGGAGAATATGGGACAGAACCTATATGCGGAAGCCCTCTCCGACGCAGAACAGGTGCGGATGATGTGCATAATATTTAACATTGTGTTGATGTTGTCAATCCATAGGTGATCGAACTCAACCCATCGTCTTATGTTGGGTACAAATTAAAGCACGAAGCGCTTTACGGGGTAAATCGCTATGATGAAGCAGTCGTGACCTTCAATATCATGCTCACCAAGTTGGAAAATGCTTCCGACGCGCAGATACAACGTAAGTCTTGAATCTTTCATGAGTAAACGTGATCGTGATCATGATCACGTTTTTCTCCAGAACTACGTCGGCAATATCACTATGTCACTCCTTGTGAAGCAGAACATGCTATTCGAGAAGCGATTCGTACTCACCTGGACACCGCTCCACTTCGTTTACTCGACACCTCCACAGGACGTTTATGCGATCAACAGGCACAGACAACTGCCTTCATGGAGAGCACGGAGTACGAGAAACTTATGTCTTCATTGATGGCACATGGGCACCTTCAAATGGAGTGCATCAAAGAGATGGTGGTGGTGTACTTCCGTTGGGCAATGTTATCGCATAGGTGGGAAACGAAGGAGCCGCTGCTACTCGACATCCAGGACAAGGCCGTATACGATTTAGATCCAGTCGGAACCATGACGAAGCTGCAGATGTTCTGCAAAACTTCCCGTGATGCAGGGTATCGCTGGGCATGGAGCGATACATGTTGCATCGATCAAAATAACAGTGCTGAGCTCCAGCGATCAATCAACTCTATGTTTGTGTGGTATCGTCATTCATCTCTTACGATTATTTACCTATCCGACGTTGCGCCATTGTCGAAGTCTGGCGCACTGGCAAAGAGCGCCTGGAACACACGAGGATGGACTGTCCAAGAGTTCCTGGCTCCCAAAGTCGTTCTCTTTTACCAAGCAGATTGGACCCTATATCTCAATGACTGTTCTCCCAATCATAAGGAGTCTGTCGCAATCATGCATGAGTTGGAGGATTCAACAGGCATAAACGCCCAGGCTCTCGTGGACTTCTGTCCGGGGATGAAAGGTGCACGAGAGAAACTTCAATGGGCGTCGACACGTGTCACGACATTACAGGAAGATATTGCATACTCATTGTTTGGCATCTTTGGCGTTCACCTACCTGTAATCTACGGCGAGAAGAAGCATCTCGCTCTCGGCCGACTGTTGCAGGCGATTGTGGCTCAGTCGGGTGATATCACTGCCCTGGACTGGGTCGGAAAATCTTCGGAGTTTAATAGCTGTCTCCCGGCCGACATTGCCTCATACGAAGCGCCGCCATGCATACCACCATCGCTATCCGATGATGAGATGCAGGCGTCGGTCTCCAACCTTCGAAGTGTCGCGGATGTAAAGTTGGCTGTGGCATTGTATACCCAGCTTGACAACCTGCACGCTCCTCGTTTCGCGAACCGCAGACTACTCCTTCCTTGCATCACCTTTCTTGTCACAGGAGTCAGAAGGAAGAGCGGTCTACACTGGGAGACATGTTTCACATATGACGTCAAAGCAGACGGACTTCAAGACTTGTTAGTCACCACCGAAGACAAGCTGATTCAGTTCTCGCATTCGAGACCTTCTCGGCAGAGATTCTTACTCGTCCGTCCCTGGAATCATCATGACCTCGGACTGTCTGATTTCTCAGACGATATGCAGACCGTGCCCGGGTCTCCACTAGACGATTTATCTTGGGGTCACCCTAAAGAAGTTGGCTTAGTTGATATAGAGTCTCAGCCGCAAGCATTGAGGTTGATCGCTCGCCTTGGACAGCCTTTTGGCGCACTTTTGTTAGCGCAGCAGCGCGGCGAGGAATACAAAAGAATCGCATCGGATCATGACATCATCGCACGTGTCAAGGACGTGTCTGCTATTCGCGACATGTCGAACGTCAGAACGGTAGAGATATTATAGTTTGCATTTCAAAGAATATGTAGAATTCTAACGAGTCTTCATTATCATATCTTTAAATTGACTGTACTTTCATGAAATAATATCCCAACTCGACTTTCATATCGATATGGCATACTGATCAAACATTGGAACAGACAGACGATCTGTCATTTAGAACACCACAGATGAGAAGGTGCTGTTTCAGAGAACTAGACAAGGTGAAAAAGGTACGTATGAGGACATTGTATGTGTGTTCCAGCACTCTGAACGAGCCAACGATCAATATCTTTGTCACGGTCAGGTCATGAAAAAGTGCATAATCTGTCAGATGCGTGTAAAATGGTCCAGATACCATCGAACGGGGAACTGAAGCCTCAGGAATTTGATTGTGCTCGATTCTAAACGTTAGGCTGAACTTTTGCACTGGTGACATGTTTTCGTCGCCGCTCGAGAAACGCATGTGCCATCCCCGAGCTGACACTAGAAGTGTTCAGACATTAGCGTCTCGCGATCGTTCTATGTAGGACTTCCAGAGTATCGATAGCCCATCTTGGTCGCATGTGAATAAATAGCAATCTGTTAGAGGTGATGAAGGAATAAACATGATTTATTTCTACGCCATGGCACTGCAGCGGGGGCGAGAATCCAGGAAAAGGGCTACAAGAGCTGGGGTAATAAGCAGAAACCATATGTAACTCACTCACAAGGCTCAGTCACAACCTCAAAGACCGCTCCTCGTCACATGCCACTGACTATCTTTCTCTCTGTCGCGGCTAACGCGATGGGCTATTCGAGGGTTATAAGGGTTGGACGAACTCGGTCGTGGCATCGCTAGACGACAGGTGAATTAAAAGTGCTGGAGATGACAATACCATCATCAATTGGGATGTCAAGAGCACGCATGCAGCAGAAGGTATTGGGTTGGCTGGTCAAGCATACAGGCTCGGTGTATTCAGTTTGATTCTCCCCCGACGGCACCAGACTCACCAATGGATCCTGTGATACAACAATTGAAATGTGAAGACTAGCACTGTTCTGGCAATACTCCGAGGTCATCATAATTGGGTGTTCTGAACGTTCACGAGTTGCATTCACAGCCCCAGATGGGCTAAAATTAGCCTCCGGATCACGGGACTCCAGCCGATAACATCGAATTTTCGCCTGACAGCCACCAGCTTGTTTCCTTTTTGACATACTGACCACCAAGTTCTGGAACTCATCTAAAGGAGACCCATCTTTTCTGATGCTGCAACTCTTTAGCTATGGCTTGAGACGAGTCACAGCTCCGAATTCAAGCTTCAGCATCAACCAAAAGAGCCATTGCATTTTTGAACGCGGTATGTATGATGTCACACACAACGAGTGGCCCATTGCTCACTGCGATAATCCCAATAGAACCGAGGTGCGCGTCCGGACAAGATTGAGGCTAGATGGTTAAAACGCGTGGCAGGTGCGTGCACAGTCGGTCCTCTACCTAGATCCTCAGTATTGAACAGATATCAACGACATTTCAGTACCCACCAATATGGCCACATAGTTTATGTGTTTCGAGCGCCCAGTAGGATGTAGCTCCTAGTTACATCCTACTGGGCGCTCCAGATACGTAAGGTTTCTGTTCGAACCCACAGATGGTTTTTTTGGTGAGACTTGAATTAGATTACCGCCTTCTAACTGCTATCACACTTCTGCAGTGAAATGAATGTCTGCCTTTGCATGCTTAAGTAAAATTGAGATTCTGGTTGATCTGCAATTATTTGCCCGACTTTAGGAAGCCCCAGACTCTAGGAACTTGGATCTGGCAACAATTGTTGACGATTTTGTCTCGAGGAAGTGGGTGATGTCGGTGAGTATGGCACAATTGCAAACCTTGTCCAGAATCCAGATACTGAACACTCGTTTTCTTCAAAACCTCGACAAATTACTTGAGAATGTTCCTATCAAGCACACTGGACAGCCCGAAGCTAACACTGTATGCTATCTTGGAACGAAGGAGGTACACTTCGTTACTGGTAAGTTCATAGCTTCGTTCAGTCTACCTCTTGCTCACGTAACATGTAATATCTTCAGGCCAATAAGTTGGCTTGATGCGCACAGCTGGTCTGATTTTACTCCCAGATGTTCGTTGATGGGGGAATCAGCATGACCTAAAAACAGGTCCTGTAAAAAATCGTATTTTTACTCGCAGATACTATCGTTACATAAACTTGGGCGCAAGAACTTCTTCCTGATTTGTGGTAAAACTGGCAAAACTAAAAGGCTACATTCGGATAGGCCGGAGGTTTGGGATATTTAGAGTCTGCTGATCAGTGTCAAGGGTGTTCGAGACTTGCCTACACTCTCACCAACATTGAAATTCCTCTGTCTTCCATGTCGCAACCTAAAGGGACTGCTATTGTCACAGGAGCGAGCCAGGGAATTGGCCGTGCCATTGCACTTCGCCTTGCTGATGATGGCTTTGATATCGCTCTGAATGACATTGCGACCAAGAGCATGGAATTGGAGGCTGTAGCGAGTGTCATTAATAGTAAGGGGCGACGAACTATCGTTGTTCCAGCAGATGTATCGATGGAGGATGAGGTCAGAGGGATGACTGCAACCACTGTTCGTGCTCTGGGGGGCATCGACGTAGCAAGTCCTGCTTGACACACTTCTGATAGCATTAGCTGATATTGAGCAGATGATAGCTAACGCCGGGATAATCACATTTGGCAATGTCTTGGACGGTAAGTGGCCTTTAAGTGGCACTAACGTTCACCACAGTTATACGTGTGCCTAGCCGACGTAGAAAGCTTCGACGCCACTTTCTCTGTGAATGTCCGAGGGACGTTCCTCTGTTATAAGTATGCTGCCCGGCAGATGATCGAGCAAGGACGAGGCGGAAGGATCATAGGCGCATCATCAGTGGTCGGGAAGAAAGGTACAGTGGTCGAAGTGCTTGTCCAAATAGCATTCTAGCTTACCTGTGATACGAAGCCACCAAGGATTTCGCTGTGTATAGCAGCAGCAAATTTGCTGTGAGGGGGCTGACTCAGGCTGCAGGTGAGATAGTGATGGGCATAGAACGAGTAATGGATAACTGGTACCCTTGATCCTTCGCAGCGATGGAGCTTGGCCATCACGGTATCACCGTGAACTGCTATGCTCCAGGGCCCATCCAGACAGAAATGCGTGCGCATTAGAGTGTTTTTGTTGTTCCAACAATGTCCGAACCCACTTTCAGTTCGAACCTTGAGAGAACAAAGGGAGCGATGGCTGGCTGAACAGGGACATGATCCTAGTTTAATTGAACGAGTAAGATGCAAATCCTTAACTGTACGGAGTCATACATTCCCATGTCTTCGCATCAGGTACAGACAACAGTTGGGTACGAGGGTACTCCAGACGACATTGCAAGCATCGTCTCCTACCTCGTATCAAAGGAGGCGCACTTTATAACTGGTGAGCTTGAGTCCCAGCCAGTGGAATATCAGGGTTTATTGGATACCTTGTAATGTTATATAGGGCAGAGCGTAAGTGCACTAGCACCGAATTAGAATCTGGTTAAACCTGTTGATTATCCCGACACAGGTTTCTGTGGATGGAGGACTCTTCTTCACTTAGGCTGCAGCTGGAGTCATGGTTTGGTTTGAGACGCTATGAGGGACAATAAAGATCTTATACTGGTTGATGTCTGAAATTGCTATTTAAATTCTACATGGCCAATTGAATCTGAGTCGTACGAGTTGCGTCAGGATCACGTACCAATTATTTGCGACCCACGTTTGAAATTTATTGATTATCAGCTCGTATGATCTCGCGTCGTATGATCGGATTTAGCGTCGGACTCTCGATAAAGATTAGATATGGACTAGCTCTGCGCAAGGCTGAACACCTGCCAACGCCGCTGTTCGACCGTCGAATCCAGGTCTTTTCTCTTCTACCATATACCTCGACTTTTATTCGATATGCCTCGTCAATTCTTTGTCGGCGGAAATTTCAAGATGAACCCCACCTCGCAGGGTCAATTGGGGTCTATCATCAGTGTCCTCAACTCTGCTGATCTAGACGGCACGACTGGCGCGTATTTTTCTTATATGTACGAGACCTTCGGCTCACAGAGATTGCTGCAGAGATCGTCATTGCGCCTCCGTCATTGTATCTCATCCCACTCAAAGACACGGTGCGATCGGAACTACAGCTCTCTGCTCAAAACTGCTATTACAAAGATTCAGGAGCATTCACTGGTGAACTCAGGCGAGTCGACAGAAAGCCTGAGTTGTCTTAATCTTGAACTTTTTTTATCATTAGTCCTGCGCAACTCGTCGACGCCAATATCCCCTATGTGATTCTAGGTGAGTGGTTTATGAACTTCCATAGATGTCGGCTGAATTCTTTCAGGCCACTCTGAACGCCGGACCCTTTTCCACGAAACGTCCGAGTTCGTTGCCCAGAAGACTAAGGCTGCTTTAAATGCGACATTGAAAGTCATCCTTTGCGTCGGGGAAACCCTTCCGGAACGTGAAACAGGGCAGACTGCAGCAGTTGTTCAGAAGCAATTGCAGGCCGTCGTCGATGTGCTACAAGAGAGTGACTGGAGGTGCGAACTTGGGCAGTTGTGCTGTGCCATGCTGATTGGCGATGTTCCAGTGATGTTGTGATCGCATACGAACCCGTGTGGGCGATTGGCACAGGCAAAGTTGCCTCATCCGCCCAAGCTCAGGAGGCTCATCTGGACATCCGCACGTTCCTCACTCAGGCAGTGTCCCTTGCTGTAGCAGAGAACACCAGGATTATCTATGGAGGCAGTGTTACCGCTGCAAACTGCAAAGATCTTTGTACGTCAACGGCAGAAGACCAAGAAGGAGATACTGACTCTCCATTTTAGCTACTCAATTCGACGTAGATGGTTTCCTTGTCGGAGGAGCTTCATTGAAGCCAGAGTTTGTCAATATCGTCAATGCGAGGAGGAATTAGAGGGTGTGATGTCTCTTCAGCATATAGTCCCGTTTGATATCCAGATATCCCCGATTATGCTACTTAGACTTGTGAAAGAAATAAGATCATCACTGTACATGGAGTATGAATATATTCAGAGATATCGATAGGTCTGATATGCTGGCAGTACTTGGTCGGAACTTCTACACAAACATTGATGATCATGATGTAATAAGAATATTTCCCAGCCAAGTCGGCTCTCGCATGCACGTACTTCAACACGAATCAACATACCTCCATCGTCATTCTAGGTTGCGTTCTAACTGATTGGAACTTGAATCTGATCGAGCGCAGTTCCTGTCGGGATGTTTCGGTCACTTCTTGCACCATGGCAAAGTCACGAAGACTTCGCGCCCACTTTGCCTGCAATTAACATCACTGGCGGCGGTGCCTCAGATCCCAGCAACAGCGGTGAACGTGTAGCAAAACAAACCATGCGAGATATGATAGAGGACTTGAAAGTATCGGAGACAGTAGTCGCGAAGACGACTGTGAGCTCCGTGTCGTTCTATGTTCAGTGGGATACCCATGATCACATCCTGTAGCTCCTGCAACGAATTGCTACTCTCGTTCGTGAAGTACCCGAAACGAAAGACGCGTTTCGCAGTTCAGATGGGTTTCTCTTGCTGGTTCACGTGCTCTCTACACTGTCGACGACGATCGGACGACGAGGATCCCAATCGACGCGTGATGTCGCGGCTTGTATCAAGTCAGTTTTCACGTTGGCCTCCGAGGCTTTGAAGGGACATGCAGCGAATCTTGAGTTCTTCGAGGTGCGTTTCTTTGCACCTGATAGTAATACTATCGTGACCTCGAAAACCAAGGAATTCATTGGTTACTCTTCGCTTTCTGATGCTGTGGACCCACTGGTCTGTAATGCACTGACTGCGGATGTGACGCTCGGGTGCTTGCTAGCTCTTTCATTTGGTGATCTATTTCTTGTGGAATTTTTCAGCTCGTTACGAACAAAATTGCCTGAGACCGAAGCGATGCACATCCATTTCCTGGAATTTGCACCCGGTCTAGCCAGTATCAGCCTTCCCGGAGCATTCAATGTTCTTTGGAGCTTTGTTCTGCGAACCATGAATACGGATCGCGCCTTGAGGCTCGCTGTCTACCGGCTTCTAGAACATCTGACGCATAGCACGCATAGAAATCTCGCCATCCTAAGCATGCAAAATATCTTGCCACATCTTTTCAAATCGTGGAAGGCTAATATGAGTAGCGCCGGAGATGACGATAAGGAGCACCGTATCCTAGCAAACATTCTTCGCCGTCTTTTCGAAATGGGTGCTAGTACCCAAAACTCGAGAGATTTGCTGCAGTCCACTGCGAAGCAAGATGGAACTGTAGATGCAGACATGTTCGAACTTCTGCGCTCAAGTGCAAAGTCGAGGTGGCCACAGCACTTCTCACTTGATGGCCGTTCTGCATTTGCAATGTCGTCCACAGAAATGAAGACTCTCCCTGCCCATGGGTTCACATTCATGGTAGGCTATTTGATCTGCAATATCGCAATCGTGTCTAAATCGTGAGCAGGCCTGGATTTGGCTCGAAAGGATGCCATCGGAACCACATAAGTTGCTCAGCATATCTTTTGGGCCCAACGAAGCCGTGGCTCTCTCTGTCGGTAGCAACGGGGCGTTAGCCTTGCGAACACGCGCCGTTCAAAAAGTTGAAATGCTTCCAAAGTCAAAACTGACAACTTCTCGATGGACTCATGTCACCCTTGTGCATCATAACCATAGATCATCGCATCCTTCCGTCTGTACGTGTCTCAGATATGCTCCTGTAATCTTTTGACCGGTCGTGTTTTAGGCTTGTTCGTTGATGGCGTTCTAACTGACTCATTGCAATGGGCATATCCGAAGTTCGATAATATGTCGCCTGCAACTTTCATGGTAGGAGATGACATTGCCAAAGTTGAATCTAGCTGGTGCGTGGCTTCTGCCTACCTGCTTTCCGTCGCACTCGGTAAGCATTTCCTATCAGCAAAGGACTCTAATTCCTTCAATACATGTAGATGACGACATTCCGAGATTTATACACCACCTGGGCCCCCGATATTCTGATTCATTCCAAGATCAGACTCTCATCAGGTTCCTGACGTACGAAGCGTCGACCTCGCTCAACATGCATATTGCAGCTCAAGGTGCATCGCTGCCTGAGAATTCGCAACTCAAGAAGGCTATTCGCGGAGATTCGATTATTAGTGATTCATCGATCATATTTCGTCTCGTCCCACAACCGCACGACAAAAAGTACCAAATTGTGACTCGAGGCGATGTATTTACAGTATGCTGTCAGACGCTGGACCTTGCCGTGTGGAAGATTGGCGGGGCGGCTCTATTGCTGCGCCTAGTAGCACTTGCTCAAACGCCGCATGAACTTTCTAGAGCATTAGGCGTCTTTTCTGACTGTCTTCGCAACAGTTGGCAAAACTCTGATGACATGGAAAGGTTACGTGAGTACAGAATATGCGAGATCTTGCTTGTAGTTGATTTTCGTATAGACGGTTATGATGTTCTTGCAAACACGCTGAGAGCTCGAAGTCATCTCATAAACATGACTAGCTTTGAAACATTGTTTGAATTCCTTGGTCTAAATTTCCGTTCTCCGGAGTATGCATGCCTTCTATCTTAACATGCAAGGCACTGACACTCTATCAGTTTATCCACTGTTGTCAACACCATCGCATACAGAGCCGTTGCACTTGACTTTGAGCTGTGGTCAAAAACTAGTACCGACATCCAACGGGCTCATCTCGAACATTTCGCCTTCCTGTTGCGTGCCAGTCGATATAGAAATTTCACCATCAAGATGCGATTGTCGAAACTAGGCATCGTGCGCAAGCTATTATTCGCCATTCAGTCGACCTGGTACCCGCAAGAATCTATATCACTTGTCGTCAACACGCTGGTGCTTGTTGCACAATCATCATTTACAGCGGAGGAAGCGATCAAACCAATTGTTTCTTACATAGCTGCCACCCTTGCTGAAGGTGGGCTATTTCATCTTCAAACCCTTTTCGTCCAACTAAATGTTTCTCAGAGTCCCGATCATCGTCTTCATCGTCACCTCGATCAACAACGTCCCGTGGAGACTTGCTAAGATCAAGTACGAGGGATAAAGCCGAGCAAGTCCTTGAAGCCCTTGTTTCTATGATGCGCATCCCTTCGCTTCACTCCAAGCTTGCTGGTGCACTTCCTATGCCGCGGATTTGTTTACTGTTGCTTGGGAGCCAACCTTCCACACATACTGCCTGCCAAGTGCTTGGCATGCTTGGCCTCACCCTGAAAGCCTCGTTGTCATCTGGCAAAAACTTCGAGTCGGCTGGTGGTTGGGGCATTCTCAGAACTGTGTTACCTCGAGTCTGGGATCGCAGTGTACATGATGCAGCTTTAGATATCCTCCCTGGGCGCCCTGGAGATAGATCCGATGATGACTCAGGATCTCCTCAAATGTTGCCCGTGTTTCTCTTTGCGTTATATCAAGGACTGTCAATCGGGAACAACAGTGCTGAGTCCGATGACGGTGGGTCATCTGTCCACTGCCTTGATATTCCATTTCACTCTTCATGCAGCTCCCTCAAAAGATGCGATCATCTGGATTCTCGATGACTTAACAAAGCTGCACGAGTCAAGTTCATCGTTCCGCCGCGTCTTCAGGTCCCAGAGCACTGCCCAGCTACTTCTTGATGGCCTCAATATATTCTCTCCCATGAGGCAGCCTCCCGGGGTCCTGGATGCCAAAATATCCGTCAAACTAACGCACTTCGGATTACTTGTAGCGATGGGCAAGCACATATCTGCGTCTCAAAAGCAACAGGTATTCTACCCTTTTGTCATATGATAAGGTCTCTTAGACGATATGCATAGATTCTTGATATCGTTCGCCCTGGCGCTCAGTCAAAGGACGACCTGATCCTGTAGACACTTCTGGGTCACGACTCAGTCTTGCTCAGGCAGACACGGTCCGTAAAGCGTCTGCACATCTTGAAGAATGGCGAAAGACGATTCTTGTTTCGGAGCGCAAACGCTTCAGACAGATTCTATTAGACTTGTGCTTAACAATTCGTGCTACAGTGACCTTGAAATGTACTGACTGTTGATACAGGCAGGAAAAGCGACGTAGAATCGCATCTTTTGAAGAAAGTGTGTCTGCATCAACGACCGAACGTGATATTTGGCCTCATATAGCTCGGAAACGTGTATGGAAATTGGACGAGACCGAAGGACCGCATAGAGTCAGGTCAGTGAACTTTTTGTTGTCAGAAGCAAAACAATGACATCAGCCAGGTTAAAGATGGAGAGCCTCTTGGAAATGCTTGTGCAGGACTCGAGGTCTGCTGGTCTCGAGGAAGCTTCGCCAGCCTTGGGTTCAGAGTTACTGTCTCTGTCCCAGTCAGAACTTACTTCTCCGAATACGGTGGTTGTTCCATCTTGGACAGGCGAAGACGGTTCTTCTTTACTTTCGATGCTTTATCAACTTTGACTAACATTATTTCCAGACGGTCAGCTTGCTGAAGAGATAACCGAGGACAAACTCAGGAGAGTGAGGCATCAACTCGAGCCTGGAGATGTCATCGAAGCTGTTAGTACTGTCTGCCGAATAGCCGGCGTCGATTCTTTTCGTAAGCGGTCAAACTGCTGACTTGCTCACTGGCAGTCTCAATCATTGATTCCTAGTTGGCATGTTGATCTTCGGGCGTACCCACCTGTACATGTTGGAAGGCCTCGTAGAGAATAGTGAAGGCGAAGTTATTGACGCAGCTAATGCGCCAGAAGGATTGTTCCTTATATCTGGGAGTGCCGTGGACGTTCGGAACTCGCATCGGGCTCAACGATGGTACATAGAGGACATTTTTCTGTCCTAGCCTTTGCGACACTGAATATCTCCTGTGACAGGTCATTAGAGCAAGTATCAGGCTTCTCTGACAGGATGTTCCTTTTCCAGGACGTAGGGTGAGATGGGTCGCTCACCGCGTGTCACCTTACTAACCCGGTCGTCAGGTTCGAGATCTTCTTCAAAGATAGCCGTACACTGCTGGTTATTTTCCTCGATGGGTCACGTCGCCAAGCGGCTTCCCAGATGCTCTTGTCGATAGCCTTGAAAACGAGGACGTCCGATCCCAGCCCCTCACCTGGATCTATTATACCCAAATCGCTTTTGAAAAGTAGATCATCCACTAGCGCAGTAGAGAAAGAGCTCCAATTGGCGCAACGGCGCTGGCAGAATAGAGAACTAAGCAATGTGTGTGATGTTCACATTTCTTATTTCAACACTTACTTTGCGCTAGTTTGGTTATTTGAGTATTCTCAATCAATCGTCGGGACGTACCCCAAACGATGCAACTCAATACCCCGTTTTTCGTCAGCGATTTTTAATTCCTTATTCATAAGGAAACTCACATTGACTTTTAGCTTGGGTTCTCAATGACTACGTTTCAGAGGTGCTGGATCTTTCATCTCCTAATGTGTTTAGAGAGTGAGTTCGCACACTCCCTGAGATCGTAGACTTCAAGTTAACACGTTGTTTCAGCCTCACAAAGCCTATGGGAGCTTTGACTGCCGAGCGTCGTGAGGCTGCGGAAGCTCGCTATGCTAACCTGAGCAGTGTTGACGAAGAACCATTCCACTACGGAACACACTTCAGCTCGCAAGTCTGTTCTATCTGCCCATATTTTTTTCTTGACACCGAGTACAGGTCGATGATCGTTTGCCACTTCAATATTCGCATGCAGCCGTTTACCAGTATGTTCAAGACGCTACAGGTGTGTTCCTTTTTGGTGCGGAAAAGCATTCATTTATCCCTGCAGGGAGGAGACTGGGATTTGCCCGATAGGCTTTTCAGGTTAGTCTTCAGTTGGAACCAGGATGTGGCCCAATGTGTAATGGATATACTTCAGCGATATCAGGAGAGCGTATTCATTGGCATCGCATGACATCCGAGGGGATGTGCGTGAATTGATACCTGAATTCTTTACTTGTCCAGAGTAAGCCCTCTGATTGCTCTGTGTTTCGTTCGGTTTGAGATTACCGCGTTCAGATTCCTCGAGAATTCATCAAATCTCGACTTCGGTATTTCTCAAACTACCGGAGAACGGATTCACAATGTTAAACTGCCTGCGTGGGCGAAAGGAGACCCGTTCCTGTTCATCGTAATGCATCGCCGTGTAAGTTTTACGATAGAAATTTATTTTGATTAAACAATTTTGTTCTGGTGTGTAAACAGGTTCTTGAGAGCCATTACGTCAGCGAGAATCTTCCTGCTTGGATAGATCTTATATGGGGATGCAAGCAACGAGAGGTGGATTCTACGAACGTTTTTCACCCTCTCAGTTACGAAGGCGCAATTGGTAGGCTCCTCTGTCGGAATTTACTCTTCGTTGACGGGCATGGACAGATCTGGACAAAATTACCAACGATCTTGAACGACAAGCTACTGTTGGAATTATCCACAATTGTCCGTTAGCCCTGTCCTAATTACCTGAAACAGTCAGTTAATAGCAATGCAGTCGGGCAAACTCCCAAGAAGCTCTTTACCTCACCACATCCACCTCGAAATCTTGAAGGGTTCCTGAGTCTCCCTGTCACGATAACCCGTGGTGTCCCTGAGGACGCACTTGCGTTAGTAAGAGATTCGGAGCCTTTCAAGGGCAAGTATCCCAGTTTCGTTCGTTTCAAGTTTTTAACTGTTTGACGCAGTCGTGCTGGACGGTGCCGTGTCGAATATCTCTGCCGACCTGTTTGATGGGAAATATGGCGGTGTGCGTCCGTTGCCTCGTGGAACGATCGTCCTCCCTTCGATTGGTCATGAACAAATCGAATGGGATCAGAACGCGAGTGACCGCTCACTGCGATTGGTATCCCATGGAAAAGTACACATTTTTTGACGATGATGGCCTCAACTAATGTAGTCCTCTCAGGTCACACAAGTTATCGAGCAAGTAGCACTCGCGTGTGCTGCCTTCGCGGACCAGGACACTCTAGTAACGGGTTCTGGTGATAATATTGTGCGTGTTTGGCGCGTCAACCAAGGTCAAGTGGCGCCTTCGAGTTTTGTTGGAGCTTCGGGACGGTCTCGCAGGCATGCATCTTCAACGCTGTCGATGACACATCTCCTCAGAGGACACACTCAACGTGTGGCGTGTATTGCAACATCGCGTACATGGTCCGTTATCGTTAGTGGCAGCGAGGACGGGAGTGCCATCGTTTGGGACCTGAACAGAGGGTCTTACCGACATTCAATTTGGCACGGCAATGAAAGCCCAAGAGCAGAAGTGTATCTATCTGCCATCAACGAGTCTACGGGATACATTGCTACTTGTTCCGCTTCCCACTTGATGTTGCACACAATCAACGCGAGACCAATTGCCAGACTCGACCCTGTGCGCACGCCAATTACGTCTCTGGCGTTTCATGAACGTGAATATTCGCATTTGGATATCCTTGCCACGGGTCACGACGATGGTTCCATCACGCTATGGACATGGAACGCAGATGGAACTCCAGCTGGAATGCAAGCGCAATGGGAGTTTGTTGAAGTTCGTCGGATGAATTCTGGAGAGGGGGCATCTAATATTGCTTTAGGATCTGTCACTGCGCTCAAGTTTATTGGGTGCGCGAACAATTCGTTCTATTCTTAAGAGAGCTTGCTGACAGAAGGCGCTTTTCTACTAGTGAACGCCTTTGCGCTGGTTATGCTTCTGGATTGACCTATATGTGGAGTATTCCTACCTAATGTTAATTGAATCGTTGATCGTCAGACTTGGTTGATCGAGAGATGATAATCCTTAGAAGGTGAGGGATACTGTAGCTTGAGGACTTCCTAACATTCTGATCACACTCAAATCGCATTGGCCACCAGTCTATCAGTAGTCTATCATAGTAATGATTATGTAATCGTCAATTGCTTTCTTCCTACTAGTGTCACCCCTTGGTCACCCCCTTCAACAATTTTGAATGGTTTTGTATCTTGTTTGAATCATGTCTACTCAAGCGGAACCCCCTGCGGGAGAGTTGTCCGAGTTCGAGACGCAATTTGAGCCTCGGTCTAACGATGACGATGCTCTATGGGAAGTCATAGAAATCGTTGCCGAGCGGGGTAAGAAGTATCGGGTCAGGTGGGCGGGCAATGATCCTAAGACGGGGAGGCCATGGCCGTTGGACTGGGTACCTAAGCATGACTGCACGGATCACCTTGTGGAAGAGTGGAAGAGGAAAAAGGCCGTGAAGGGACGTCGATCGAATAAGACTGGTAAGTGCGATTGTAACAGCAATGAGTCTGATACATAATTCCTTCTATTAGGTGGCCAAAAAACTGCTTCACGCGCCTCGACGTTTTCAAAGGTTTCTGCGACTTCTACCTCCCGAAAATCGCGCTCTCTGGCGGGAGAAAGCGTTCTTAATCTAACAGACTACGATGAACCTCCTCGTGCTCAACCGTTGGCAATATCAAAAACACAGTCTTCGTCTTCGAAGCGTAAACATGCAGATATGGCAAAGGAGCCATCAAATCTAAGTGACTCGGTGGATCCTTCAGAGCCGGAACATCCAAAGAAGAAGAAGAAACTCGTTACTGGCGAACCAACTAGTATGAAGTTGAAGCGCAAGGCAACACAGCGCACCCCCGCTAGCCACAGTCAATTTATCGAGTCAGATGCCGATGACAATATCGCTGCAGCAGGCGGAGTAGGCGATGGAATCCCAATTACCAGAGTTGGTCCACCTACTAGAAAACGCCCTGTACCTAAGTCCAAGGACGACGTCCTCTCGTCTGTCACTGATCATCATCGCGTCACAACTACCGTGACCGTCCAAAAACCTGAACAATCCAGTGGCTCAAGTCGAAATGGACAGCCTTTTTCGAAGAACCAACCCGATGTTATCGAGTTGTCATCTACAGAGGAGGCCGACTTATTACTCAAATCGAAAAAGCCACCTATATCCCGCTTTGCTGACAGGAAGACAGCCTCAAAGACCGCACCACAAGAGACCACCGCCAAACATGTTGTGGCTCAATCCTCAGTCAGGTCACACATCACTACTCCCGCAATACTTCATTCCAGGAAGTCATCTTCAGTTTCTCCCCTTCCTTTGCGACGCCAACCATCATTATCCCCTGGCGCCCGAGCTCGGTTAGAGATATTTGACTGCATGATGGGCATCGGCTCGGATAATGGTGACGGAGATCCCTACGCGAATATGGGCGAGAATGCAGATTATGGCGCTGCAGATCCTTACGACACACCTCTTGGTCCGCCTCCTAAGTCTTCAACGCCGCCACCCACGACTGCTACTACGGCAGGTCGCAAGAAACCTACCGGCGATTCACCGTTTTCTGGGATTGTCCCGGAGACAGAGTCTTCGCAGTCCCAGCCTTCACTTCCCAACCACATAACGAATGGAAAGCGCACTGATCAGCCGCCGCCACTCAAACAACCTTCTCTCCCAAGATCTACTTCAAGGAAATCCCAGTCAGCATCGGTCTTGCCTACCGTCGCTTCAAGCAGTGAAGTGCCACTTCGACCGCGGAAACCACCCGCAGGGCCAGTTCCACGTATCTCCCCCCACACCTTCCGTAAGACGGTTGAATCGCTCACTACAGAACACGATAATGAGCCTCCGATGAGCTCCATTGAAAGCTTCCCATCTCCGCAGAAAGATAAGGGAAAGCAACGATGCTCTGGCCCTGACAAACGTTCAAGCGACGAAGATCCTGTTCCTGGCGTTACGGACGCGGAACTGAAAGCTAGAGGGAAAGCACTGTATGAGCGGGCTTTGCGGAAGAAGGAGCTTCTCCAAGTTACCGATAAACCACCTAAAAAAACTATCAATGACCTTGTACGATCACGCGTGCCTCTGGCTATGACCAGCAAGGACAAACAGTCGGGACCAGACACTCACCCATTCGCCTCTAACAATGGGGTTCACGAGGGAGAGTTCGAAATCGTTCAGCAGATGGAGGATGCTTACGTTGACCTCAGCGGAGGAAATAGCACAACTATCGACACTTTCACACAAAGTGGCCCCCAAGATAAAGAGGCTCAGCGCATCCTTCTTCGTGAGGAGGAGGAGGAATGTACGCAGGAGGCTTTACTCAGCGGTAATCCAGCGCTTCTGGTGCCAAAGGTAGATGTTGTGGAAAAATTTGAAGCGCGACGGCAGGAGCTGGCTATCGATGATACAGAGATGGGCAATAATGATGATGGTGTTCAGGTTTGTCGCTAGTATATTTTGTTGGCTCTCACCTCATTTCGTTTAGCCGCCCCCCGTGCCTGCCGAGCCAGGTGGAAGTAACCACAAAACAAACCAGCCTTCAACACACATAGACGACTTACAAGTTGCCAGTATGATTGCCAACCCAAGTCAAGGTCAACGGCAAGGCAGGGATGATGAAGATTTTGATACATCAAATATTCACTTGAACAGTTCACCAACACGAAGCGTACCGCAGCATGATGTATGTACTGCATTACAGCCCAACTTTACTGATAGACTAACTAACCCCTTTACCTTTTTGCACAGAGCGACGCGACTGTGAGACGGCTTAATCAGGCACTGACCACCCTCCACAAGAAGTCCGACGAGATTCAAGCGTTGCAAGCTGCATTGGCACTTGAGCGCGAGAAAACTTCAAAGCTCGAAGCCGAAGTAAAGGCAGTCTGGCAGTCCCCAAGTACGGCTGGTCAGGAAGGAATCGCACCAAGCGCTCAACCCGTAGGCGCAATGCAGACCAATTCAGCCGTTTCCGAGCTTGCCGACATGAGGGTCAAGTGGAACCAAGAGCGCGAGGTCTGGGAGGCCGGGCGCCGTAATTGGGAGGAAGAAATCGTGAGACTCACCGCTGAGCGAGATCGCTTTGAAACCAACGCGCGCTCGGTTGACGAGCTTAAAGCCTCTTGGGATGCGGACCAAGCGACTTTCCGGCGAGAACGCGAGCTATGGGAGAATGAACGCAAGAAATTGGATCTCCAAGTGGCCGAAATGCTTGGTGAGCGAATCGGATGGGTGGAGGAACGTGATCGTCTTGCTGCCCAGATCGAATCGTTAACGGAGACTGGTGCCACTTTTAAAGCGGTACGAGCTCAATGGGAACAAGAACAAACTATTATCATGGTGGAGCGTGCTGCATGGGTGGAGGAACGGGAGAGTTGGGCACAGCAACGAACGGCAAGTGCCCGAGAACGCGCTTTGTGGGACATTCATCGCGAAGCCATGGAGCTACGAAGTATTAAATGGGAAGCCGATCATGCTGAATGGGTACGTGGCAAGGAACTTTGGGAATCTGAGCGCGAAAAGTGGTCTGCGGAGCGCGCCTCGATGATCGAGGCACACGAGGCACTTGTTGCGGACGTGACGAGATCAAATTCCTCTTTGGATGCCCTGACTCGCTCCAAGAGTCTGGCTGAAAAGGACCGCGACTTCTTCCGTGATCAATATACGCAGGCTTCTGGTTTCGTGAGCGCCACTAGAACAGAGAATATTGAGCTGGAGCAGAAGGCCAAGGTTGCTGAAGGTCAAGCACGCGATGGAGTTGCTTTGATCAAGCACATGTTCGAGGTAATTTTATCTTATTGTGTTTGGCTGCTCTCCTGACGATGTTGTGATATAGAGTCAGATAAAGGCGTTGAAAGAAGATGTCGATCGATGGAGAGGTGTTTCCGCCCTTCTCCAGGAGAAAGATCGGCGAACAGATGATCTTATCAGACGCCGTGCTGCCGAACACCCTGAGCTTGCAGAACGATGCCGGCAACTGGAGCGTCAGGTTGACTCGTTGCGTGCTGACCTCATTGAGCTTGGACGTGTTCATCAAAAGTCTTCTGTGGAGCCCGATAAAATTCAAGATCTGAAACTCTCCGAACCGCGAGAACACAATCGGGTGCCCGATTTCCATTCGGTGAAACTATCGTACACCGAGCTTGAACCAGGCGAAATTATAGAGCTAAACGGTCTGTCGGATCCAGACACTAGCTTTTTGAGCCAGGCGGACGCTTTAGAAGTTGATGTCAACTCGGAGGAAGCCGAGGAGGAAGAGTGTGGGCTGTATCCCTGCAAATGGAAAACTGGGGCCGACATAATAGGCCAATGCCAGCAGTCCTTTGACTGCAGAGAGGTAGGTTCAGTTCTCTAAATCAATTAAGTAGGTGCTCAATGCCAATGTAGGATTTGGATAGGCACATGCATGATCAGCATTATCGCCCTCAACTGGGAGCCTGCGGTGATGTTTGAGTAATGTATCGGATCTTATTTTTTACTGTAAGAGGTATCTGCATCCTGATCTTTACGGAAGACCGCAACACATGATAGTTTTTGGGACTAGTGGCAAATCACGATGATACTTCGCGTGACTTTTCATTGCGCCCAAGGAGCGGATCTACATAGTCCAGAAGCGATATAATGACGCTCCTGCTTTTTAGGATATATTCGTAACTGTCCCGCACTGTACCCACTACCACGTCACCCATATGGCTTCCAAGGTTTTACTTCTCGTCTCGCTCTTTCTGACATTTGCGTTCTCGATTGTTGGGTGGTCGGTTGTGATCAATGCCCTAGTGAAGTGAGTGAAGACTGCAACTTCCATAAGGTTTAACTGAATTGAAGAGTTCCAATGAAGGTCCAACCAAGAAAGCTCATACGTCAAGAGCGCGGCCCCTAATGGCACCATCGTGGATGTTAACTATCATGGTAAGGTGCTTGTGAGATATGTAATATAACGGGCTTCTTTGACGCTCGTCTCGAGATATCTACTCGGTTTGCTCTGTCATCGCGGCAGTCTGCGCACTTTTGACAGCCCTGTCCCTCGTCTCAGCTTTCTCCCAAATTTCATCAATTGGAAGAAAACGACGTCTTTTGCACCTGCAAGCCTTTCTCATGTTGTTTGGCGCCCTGTGGCTTCTGGCTACTGTTATCGCGTGTGATGTTCTCTTCGCCACTCGGTCAACTAAAATCACAGCGACTTTCGATGGATTCGCAGTATCTCAAAGCTCCATTCAGCAGATGGAGCAAAGCATCGGTGTCTCACCTGAATACAGCAAGAAGTGGTACCGTGCGTATGAACCAAATATAGTATCAGGTCTTCGTGCTAAACGATACAAAGTGCGACTCTGTGCGATCCTTCCCTGGTTCGCGGTCCTTTTCGCAACACTCAGTGGACTGTTACTTCACAACGCTGCTAGGAACACCGATGACTATAGGAGCACGGAAGCAGCAGAGTCGGAGAAGATTGCACGAACCTCGGATGAGTAGTAGGCTTGAAACCCGGGATGGTCATTCGTATAACACTTGGAATCCACTTCACATCTTCAGTTGAAATATAATTGTTGTAGTATACCAGCTGGCGCTTTACGACGGCACGCGAACACGACTCATGAATCTATTACTCACAGAGAGATCTGTATCACGAATTTCCTTTCTCTTGCACATCGAATCCTCATCTCCACACCTACCTTTTATGGCAGGTGCGAGGTTGGATACAGGTCCGTTGAACCAGTGTGCACCTTCGTATACTGGACAGTAAAGCAGAAAGCGACATGTATCCTCCGAGGACAACGACCGTGTAGTCCATCACCTGGACACTTGTTTGTGCAGTGGAAGGGAAGAAGAAAACGATTATCATGAAGACCATCCACGATACAGCGATCGCTACGATAGGAAAGCTCTGCGCGGGGAAACTAGCAAGAATATCGTGATTTATTACTACAGCTCGACTGGCAAAATTAAATGGGCCGGGTTTGAACTCGTTCCAGCCAAGGATGGCTAACACGGCGATGGAACTAATCTAGCTGGGATAAGCTGAATGATTACTCATTTTCTAACGTTACTTACAATTGCCCACGGTTTGTGGTGGCGGTATTGGAGGCCTCCTCGCTGATATGCACGCTAGAATCATAACCCTTTGGTGGGTTGTGAACGTGAACAGACGATCCAAGAGGTAATGTTTTAACCTAGTGTATACAGTGGAGCCATCAAGCTTAAAATGAACTGATGGCCAACCGTCCACTACAACTGATCATGGGCCGTGATTGTAACTGGCACACGTTACATGAAGCTTGTAAAGCCCCCTGGCGCAAAACTGGCGCTGTTTCGGTATTTTGATGGCGTTGCGACCGGAAACACAATGGTAACCATGAAGCAGAGGCTCTAAAAAGATTCAGAGCAACGATCGGGGAAAAATAATACTCACCAAACATTCAGCAAGATATATAGTCCTGCAGGCTTGCCCAGAATTGGTACTAAGGTTAACCAGGATGACATGTATTAACACCAACGCCGCATATGTGCCGCTGGTGATGGCGCGGGACGCGGACGGAAAATTCTGGGGATAGTCGGCGTAGGTAGAGCGGTCGATAATGTGGCTTCGTCGAGTTATCGAAGCTTTTCGAGTGGCGCGACCGTGCTTCAGAGAGCTCGGACGACATCTTGCCACCGCGGAGTGCAGCTGAGCATTACCAAGCGATGTTCGCATAAGTGCCTAAGCGCTGTTACAAGTAGAATACCGCACCCACGTAAGATGCTAGTACAAAGCTAATGACCATCCTTGATCTCGATTTTCAAGCAATCCAGCTGCGCAGGGTTGTTCTAGATAAGAACTGTGAGGTATGTTTTTTGGCCGAAAAGTGAAAATTACGAGGGTCACTGGCAAAATGTACGTGTGTGAGTAGGTGTTATAATTACAGTACGTGATAGGCCAGGGCTTCAAAGGGTAACGCACCCGATATGCCAATAAGACGGTACGAGTTCTCCAGGAGAGTCAACAGCAGCTACGCGAGTGGGAACATTGGCAAATCTGGGCTCTTGCGGCTGCAGCTCCTCAGAACAAACATGGTATGGAAACTCCTATGGTACCATCCGGGTACCGGATCGAGGTCGTTGCTTATATCCGATGGTTGTAGCAGTCCAGATGACTGGTGCCACAGCACCAGATAAAACAGCTGGAAAAATGCTTCAAGGATACCTTAGAAAGTGCACGGCATTATGATGTGCCCCTCGTGAGTGATACTTGTCACTTACAGGTAAGCACTTGCCAGCATCGTCAAGAGGCGGTGGCCACAGGCTTGAGAGTCACCCTGATGAGTCTGGACATGAACACATAAACGATTCCGCAAAATTCTTATGGCACTCGCCTTGAAATGAGATTCGTGTGAAAAATCAAAATTGACGGCCTTTTGCAACTCCTTTGGGTGATGTTTGCAGTCCAAGGAGGTGGCGGAAAATGTATTCGTTGAGTATCTACTACAGCAAGAAGTGTCTGTTGTGGTCAGCGGAGCAGGAGTGACTGCCAGATAAGCGGCAAGTTACCAGAATGGTTGCCGTGAAATTGGTTACCAAAAGACTGCAAAACCGACCTGCGACAGTTTCCAGGCACGGTGCTGGAGGCAGTGTAAGCTTTCGTATTTCTCGGAAGTTGAGGTCACCTTTGATCAAGGTTGACTCGGACCTGTCCAGTTTGTAGGGTCACCGACAACGTACGCATTTCGGTGTTTTCTACTATGCCGGCTATTTGGCAATGTCAGATTTTGAGCAGCGTGCCAGGCTATATAACTGTAGGCTGCTGGCTCAAAAATGAGCAAACAATCAGATCATGTTGTCTCAAGCCCTAGATAGCGGTCGTCGTATCAGCGGGCACATCATGACATTATTTTTGTTCACGAAGTCCGACTTGTTGACAGTTCTGATCCCCATCGTGCGTGTCTCTACATCTTACTTGTATGTTCCTTGACGTGACTTTGTGCATTAGACTTTGTCTACCCTCGCAGCTGCTCCCCATCCCAACGTAGCTCGCATTCCAGACATCATCGTATGGATGTGGCTGCACGTCCTGAAACATGATATATATAACCAGATGCAAGATCCAGAGGAGGACCAGAAAAACAAGCCTCATCGCCCTCTCCCTGCCGGTCGTATAACTGCACAAAATGCGGCGGATGTGCGCTGGCTGCTAGTGCCAGTCTGCCTGGTATTTTCTGCGATGTATGGCAGCACGGCCCTCGCCTGTAGCGTTTGTCTAGAAGTCCTCAGTATCTGGTACAATGAGTTTGGTGGCGATAAGACTGGGCTTTCGAAGAACCTATTGACGGCTATTGCATATACAATTCTCGAACTAGGCGCAACGGTCGTGATTGGTATGTGGGCCGTGCCGGAGGTCGTAAGCAAGCTTTGTCGTTAACTGGGATTTATATTTCAATAACCAGGGTCCAGCATTGACAAAATTGGGGCGTGTGGATTTACCTTCAGCTCTATAGTCTTTGCAACGACACTTCATGCACAAGATTTTAAAGATGAGGAGGGAGATCGGCTGACAGGAAGACGCACTCTTGTCACTCTATTCCCTACCTTGGCACGCATGTCCATGATGATTGGCGTCCCCCTTTGGTCACTCTGCCTCAGCAGACTTTGGAAACTGGATCTCGTCTGTTCTGTCGCATTCGTAACATATGGAACGATTGTCGGGGCGAGATTCATGGTTTATAGGACTGCGAGTGCCCACAAACAATCGTGCAAACTGTACAGCGTGAGTGATATCGAGTTAGAAAATTCTACCTACTGACTCATGACTGTAGCTCTGGTTTACCCTTGTGCACTTACTCCCTGGCTATTGGCGATTTTTCTACGGCACTTGAAATTGGAAATCAAGTGCAAGTCGACACGGGTAGCAATGTATCATACAAAGGAAATGCCTATATTGGTAGGCTATGCAGTTTTTTATTTTATTTTACCGTATTTCGAGGTCTTTGGGTAAAACGCACCTCTCTAATAGACGAGAGAGTGATAAGAAGAAGCTTTAATACTGTGTTCTCGAAAGTTGTCAATTTAGGTCAATATGTGACACATCGATCCGTTTTCTCGCGGAACTGAGAATTCTCTGCAATCACGTGAGCGAATCACCCTGACGCGTCTGTTCAAGTTGGGGTCAGCTCATTAAATTGAGAATTGATGAGTTGGCCGTCGTGTGAGAGGCCACCCACTTTGACTGGGCCTCAATTGACAACAGCCTTTTCGAGTCAGGCCTCGACTCCAGCTGCCATATCCACTGTTCCCACTTGAGAACTTCATGGGTGAGCTTACTGCTCTATTCATGAGGCTTTCCCTCACGCTACTAGTATACAGCACCCACAAGCCCTCACAGCTCAGGCTCCCAGAGAGGAACGGTGTCAAATGATGGCTTATATCACCGACGTTACGGGATGCCTCGTCAGCGTCGTCATCGCCAGACTGTTCGCGATGAAGCTGACGCTGCTAAAAGCAATGAACTACAGTATCGCAAGAGGAAGGGGTATACAGCAAACTCGAAAGATACTAAGGAACGCGGGAAGAATCAAGAACAAAGTCCTAGTAGCGTCAATATGCAACAGGGTGCACTGGAAAGTCCCAACCAGTCCTCAGACATATTTGATCCTACAGGTCCTGATTTTTCCAAAGCCCTGACGGAGGGTACAATCGTAAACCCACTCTATCAACAGCAGTCAGTGGTAAGCCTCGTGCAGCTCTCCAGCGTTCTGCGCTCAGATGTGGCAAATCAGGGAGCACCAATCAGTCCTGCTAAGCTGCATCCATCTCTTCCTAACCGTCCAGTTTTTGTGGAGCTACCTCCCCGAACTGTTTCGACCACCATAGCATCGTCGCTGCTCGAGAAGCCGCAATCAACTCCTGATAGCAATGCAACATCTCGACTCACACGCGATCTTTGGGATACTCGGCGAGAAATGACTGCTTTACAAGCGCGCGAAAACGACCTCGTAGCTTCATTGCGCCGCCTAGATGCTCCTCGCCACATCCTCGAATCTGGACAAGCACATAAATCCTCAGGTGACTAGTTCCGAGCTGCATTTAGCCTTCATTTGATATGATAATGCAGAACTTGAAGCTCGTCTTGTTGAAGTTGAGAACGAACTGCGGCAAGAAAGATATAAGCGCCTTCGAGCTGAGCGAGGTCTCGATGAGATTGAGGCAGAGAGAAGGGCTCCATTTATCGTTCCAGCTCTGTTTCAAGCGTTCCTGATGATTTCTGAGATTCATGGATAATCCCTTAAAGGTTCATGTTAGCCATGGAGTGCTTGTTCAAGTCAACGCTACGTATTCATGAAGGCTTCGAGTGACTGAATTGGGGCATAATCATGTTACAATAGTTATAACATTGCCCGATAATGTCATCATCTGAGAACTAGACATCTACTCCTCGCCCTTTCCCCGTCTTCTCTGACGCCGATTCATCATCTTGCCCCTTGTCGGCTGATACTATATTTGATACAGGTCCATTGAACCAGTGTACTCCTCCGTATATCGGGCAGTAATACCAGAAAACGGCGAGGGACATGAAGCCACCTAGGACGACCACTGTATAGTTCATCTCTTGCACAGTAGTCTGTGGGGTCGTGGGAAAGAAGAAAATCATGATCATGAAGACCATCCATGACACGGCGATTGCTGCGACGGGAAAGCTCTGCAAGAGACATAAGTCCAAGATCACATCAGTTGCTTTCTGACCCACAAATTTCCCAAGATTAAATGGACCAGGCTTGAAATCATTCTTGAAAGCGAAACGGGTTACGATTGGTGTGGTGTAAGATATGTATGACGAGCTGACTGCGAGGGTAAACATTGCGTCGATAGCTTGTGTACTTGCGAACGCCAGAAGACCGATCGCAAGAGCAAGCGAAGCATCGAGCCAAACAGTATTGACTGGCGTTCCCGTGTAGCTATTGATTCGGTAAAAATATCGCGAGAACGGTAGGCCACCATCACGAGAAAACGCGAACGTCTGGCGAGAACCGACAAGAAGACAACTCGATCCCATCATATATCTGTTACTCTTTTAGAGCAGTACGGAGAGACTAATATCTGGAGAACACACTGTGCCACAATGACGAGAGACCAGAGGGCTAACGCTCCTTTTTGCCCAAAAGAGTTGTAAAATATCTGCGCCATAGGTTGACCGATCGGACTGCTCAAGATACCTTCGAGGTCACTGCCCATGCAAAATGCAAGGGAGACATTGATGCCTGGAAGTCATTAAATTTGTAGCAATGCACTTGACAACAGTGACACGCACCCCAGCCAAGGGCTGCAGATACTGCAATAGAGCCGACCTGCTTGCATTAGTATCATGTAGCTACAAGTGTATCTAGCTACTACTTACAATGGCCCATGGTATGGCGGTAGTAGCATTGGATGCCTCCTCACTTATGTGTACACTTGAATCATAACCACCTGTTAGATTGTCAAATAAAATGCGAGCAACAAGGGATAGGCCGAACCTATCGTCCAGAGAGGCGCCAATAAACTCAATATGAATGCAAATCCAGATGGCCAGCCTTCCACTGACAAAAATTATGAGATGGACATCACAATAGTACATGTCACATACAGTTAGTAAAGTCTCCGAGTGCGTAGCTGGCGCTATTTTTGAATTCTGATGGCGTTGCAATTGGAAGCGCGATGATAACTATAAAGCAGAGGCTGCCTCAAGCAGTGAACCTGAAGAAACTAGTACAAGACGGAAAAATGACACCTACCACACATTCAGGAGGATGTATAGTCTTTGAAGTCTTGCCAGGATTTGCGTCCCAAGGCTCACAAGGACAGCGTGTGATAACACCAACGCTGCAAATATACCACTGCGAGGGATCAGGGAAACTGACACATCGAGACATAAAAACACTCACTAGATCTGTCCATTGGTTGTCACGTATACTTGATTAGATGCGATGCTAACTGCCGCTGTGATTTGGATCGCGCATGCCCAATCCACTGAAGCTAGTTTTCACAACTCAATAAGCAAATTTTCATGGCACGTCGAGTTCTTCACCAAGTGCTGCGATAGACATGATCGTATTAGCATCTGCGTGATGGCATATGTCAATGATACGAGTTGGAAAGGAAAGATCATACTCACACCCAACTATCCATGAGAGAAAATTCCGGCAACGAGGGGAGGCAAGTGAATGGGTCCAGTAATACAACTAGATACTTGTGAGAGGTCGGATCTGTATCGGCGACAGCATTAAGGGCATACTCCACCTGATGTTGGTGCCGCAGATGCAAGTTCCGCGATGGCCAAACCGATACACATGATAAAGGCACTGGCAAACAGCCACTATATCACGGAATGAGTACAAGATCCGATACTTTTGACATGTGAAGCCTTACACCCCAAACCATTGCAAGAGGACCACCATTGGGCATGGCATTGAAGAGCACCGAACTGAACAAACATTGTATCAGCGAACAATTCGTCTCGGGTAGAATAACACATCATGCCCAATGGATGGAAGGAGCCCCACGATGCTGAACGCAACACCAAAGACCTGTGCAAGGACATTGTCAAACGTGCCCAAGGCTCTGATGAGGACCCACCTCTAATGGAGTAAACTCCCTCCGAAACTCTTGCTTGTATCCCAACCTGGCAAGAATTGCCTCGTCCCTGGTATGTTCTGAGTGCGAATTCGAACTTGGGGAAGCCATCATGACTGGCACTTCCAATATTCTTACGAATGAAGAGACTCGGACTAGGAACGGGAAAGGGACTCAATCTTGGGTCAAAAGACTGAGAGAGATTATTCGACAGGGAAAGAAATTGATACCCTGATTGAGACGGAGAATCAAAGGTGAGCGTGTATGAGGCGTGTAACGAGGAGTAATTGCGTATGTAAAAAAGGATGAGTACGTACGAGGTCGAGAGTTATATCTCGATTAATATGACTGGCGAGGACACTCAAAACTAGCGACAGATTGCAACTATCAAGCTGAATATAAATAGTGGATCTAACTTTATCTGGCGCCGGTGAGATAGGTGCAAAGATGAAGCTCGGACATGACTTACCGCTCATTTTAAGGTAAGAACTAGACCTTAAAAGAAGGTTCGAGATCATATAGGTGCTGGTGGCACACTTTTTGAGGCCCAGCGAACGTACAAATGAGGAGGCGTGAGAGGGTGTAAGCGTGCAAAGATCACTGCTTACAACGATCCTCAGCCAACACAGTCACATCAGGCAGGAGAGTTACGCAGATAGGCTGAGTTCCTGGCTTGGTCTGCGATTATAGCGATTGTGCAGGAACAGAGGAAAAACTTGAACCCGCCCATGGCATTGGGAACTTGAAGCATTGAGCGTTTAAATTTTAGTATGGCTTCTTTCATTCAAGTCATGAGGTCGTGTATGAATTAGACTCACCTCATGTAGCCTCAGTAGAAGAGGGTGTGATCACTATTTGATGATATGTGGCGCGTTAATATGAGTCCGGTGTCTTCATCTCAGATACGCTTAGGTGTAATCTTTCTTCCGCAAATTGCAACATGAGGCTGAAGATATGTAGCCTACTGGTCACGGTGGGAGGGCTGCGTGATCAATAATGATTCGATCACATAATCGTAGTAAGTTGTCTCCCTGTTGCATGTCAGCATGCATTGATAGCGATACGAATGGTATTGTTCCATACAGGTGATATCAAAGTATGATTGAAACCAAATTAGATCTGTTCCTTCAGCTAGCGTCCTGACGTCCAACATTCCATTAACGCAAGCCTCGCCCTTGACCTGTGCGTTAATATCGTGATCCAATGAGATGCTCATATATTGCGCCGCTGCATCAGCAAAAGTGTGCCAAAAACTGTCCATAGCAAACAAATAACCTCGAGTCTCGCAGTGAGGTTCGTAGCATCTATACTAGTCATCCACACTTTGTGGATTATCATCTGCAAAGTCAGGCAGATTGAGGTTCATGACAGAATAACTAGGAATACTTACGAGTGAGAAATTGAATCAGATTGTCTTCCGTAGTGATGAGTAGGTCTTGAAGTCCATCATGATCACCTCGACATCGTAATTAAAATACGTCTCTAGGTCTGACTTCCGGGTGTTGAATGAAAGGTAGTGAGTTCAAGTTAAGAATGAACGCAAGTATCATTGACAAGACACAATGAACCCCAACGACTCGGACAACCCGGCGGCGTGAAAGCGCAAAGGGCCATATTTGCATCAGATCTGAGACTGGGGCTGATGAAAGAAAGGAGACGCGCATATTTGTGGATCATCACAGTTCCAATGTTGATTCTGAATATCAACAAATTATCAAAGTGAGCTGTCGTAAAAAGAGTCGGGTATGGGGAAATGGCTATTCAAAATACTTGACTGAGCAACTTTTCCCTATAGGATGCCCCGATGGATTGCTTGGGTGGCAGGAGGACGCTTATATATATATGAGCAATCTATTTTTGTAGGGAGATTCCCACAGTAGGCAGCCCAAGCTTTGCTTCCCTTCATAGCTGCACCATACGATGCACTCGCTCGTTTCACTATAATCTCGCTCGCTCACATGTTTTTGCCCCCATGCACGCTACTCTCAAGTCGATTAGTACCACCTCGTTCTTCAATACCTTTCTGCTCCGTAACTGATAGCTTCGTGTATCTACACTCACAATGGACATTCAATCAGCCCGCATGTTGAGTTTTCCCGTCCACCCAGCGGCAACCTCGCCAGCATCCGACCGAGCCAACGCTCGGCCCGGCCCAACCACTATTTGTCTGATGGAGCTATATTACTCATTCCCTCTAACTACAGGCGCACACCCGGTCTACAGGTACCTCTCATTATAGGGCTTAAGTGGGAGTCACATGTGGCGGGTATGTAATCTTATCCGTCACGGTAAGTTTCAGATCCCACTTGCTTTACTTTTCCCAGTTAACGACATTTAGTAATAGGAATAGGCACCCGACCGCATCTGCTACTCTCACTGACGCTACTGCACGTCGATCGACCAAACTAGAACAGGTCAATTACTACTCACGCAATGCAGTCTTACACGGTGGAGCGGGGGCGGGACAGATCCGTTGAACTGCCATTCCAGACCCAGTGTGTCCTCTGATGAGCACACAAGGGATGATAGTATGGAGGACAGTCGCTAACACATAGGATTCCTGAGACGTACCGCTCAGTTACTCTCTCGACACGGAATTGAAACTCGTGGGTGAGTGAGATGGAGATCTCGTAATACCTGTCTTAACATTCTTATTGATCTTTGGATCAGCATCACACCGGTGCCAGCAGAGGAACGTCTCGAGACTCGGTGGTACCAGTTTTTCATCTGGTTCTCCTCTTGCATGAATATCTTGTCGTATGTTTTCAGTGCTGTCTTAATTCTGGCGCTATTCCCTGATCCACCTAACACCTCAGATGCAGCGTTGGCGTTGCTAGCCCTACATTTTTCCCTGGGAGTTTGCGAAATCCTCACTGCGTTGGTCGCTCTCAGCATATCCAGTGCTTGTGCGTCAATGATATATACGTTCAGCAACAGTTTCATGGCTATTGCTACGTGGTTTGCTGCGGTGCCCAGATGGGTATATATCTTCATCTCAGAGGGAATGTGAGTGGATGCACGCCTCGGGGATGCTAATGACTTGAGTTCAAGCCTGACACCAGTAGTCATTGTTGGTGCCAAAGGTTTTATGCTACCTTTGTCGACATCCTTGGTACAAGTCCCAAATACCGGTATCTATTGTTAGCGCTAACGTGCTGATCTCTCGGATATCGTTGGATATTGGAGATCAGCATTATCTGCGATAGTACTCACAGAGCATATCTTATTCCGACGAGCTTTGTTTTCTGAGGACCAATATCCCATCACGACTTGGGCTTCATATGCTTTCTTGCTTAGCGGTATCTCCACGGCAGTGGCCTTCGTGTGCGCGTGTGGAGCTCTTGTTACATTCATGTCACAGGCTTGGTACGTAGGACCAGTAGCGAGGCAGGGCAGTGGAGACGTTGGTGTATTCGTAGGGTTTGTGGTGGGAGCTATCACCTATGCGTTGGCGAGGAGTTGAGAAAATACTGTACAAGAAGATGGGTAGAGCAGATGCTTGCCAGTACTCATACCGGTGTGCACATGAGTTGCCTTCGACTAGAGACAAGTTATTTTTTGATTGGTGCCAATTCTGAGGCCTCGATCCTTCTGGCAACTTGAATATTCGATGATGATGACATATCTGACCTTACCCCATACTTGATCAAACTTGATCATGCAATCACACATGACGTGACGCGGAGTCTGCTAGAATCAACGAAATAACGGGTATAATAGTAGGAGCCCATTGGGAAGAGCCTGAGGGTCATCGCAAAACGCAGTATCTTCGCATCGATGTAGAACATAATTCGCTCTTGGCACGGTCAATGAGCGCCGGTACTTATATCTCCTGGGATAGCCCGAGATCGCTCTTCTTGCTCACGATGATGCCCACTCTCTTTACGCTCATCCAAGTGGGCCACATGAGCATCAGCCACCGTATCGTCCTCGCCCCCCTCACCCGTTTTCGCGCCTACCCCACCCACGTCCTCGGGCCCCATGCACCCACCTACTACGCACAACGTGCATCTGTCCCGGGAACACTCCTCATTTCAGAAGCAACCATCATCTCCCAGGCCGCTGGTGGGAGGGAGTTCATCCCAGGGATCTATACCCAGGAACAGGTAGAAGGATGGAAAAGAGTCACCGATGCCGTGCACGAGAAGGGTAGTTTTATATTTTGCCAGCTTTGGGCACTTGGGAGAACTGCAGTCCCAGACGTCCTGTTCAAGGAGAATGACTCTCCGTTTGTATCTGCCTCTCCTATCCCGCTTTCTACCAACCCTACTGCGGTCCCGCGTGCTCTGACTGAGCCAGAGATAAAGGCATACATAGACAATTATGTTATCACCGCCAGGAACGCCATCGCAGCAGGCTTCGATGGTGTTGAAGTCCATGGTGCAAACGGATACCTCGTCGACCAGTTCTTGCAAGAGGTGAGCAATACCCGGGAGGATGGATGGGGTGGGAGTATCGAGAAGCGAGCGAGATTTGCGATTGAGGTCGTGGATGCGATTGTAAAGGAGGTCGGCGCTGAGAGGGTCAGCATTAGATTGAGTCCATGGAGTCCGTATCAAGGCACGTTGTGTCCTCGTTCTCATTTCACGCTGGACTAACCTTTACGCAGACATGGGCCTCCCTGATCCAAAACCACAATTCTCCTACCTCGTAAGCCAGCTCCGGAAGTACGACCTTGCCTACCTCCACGTCATCGAGCCACGTGTCAGCGGATACATGGATGTAGATGCACCCCTGCAGAGTAGTAACGATTTCCTGCGTGAGATATGGTGCAAAGGAGGCAAGAGCGGCGTATTTATCAGTGCGGGTGGGTACACACGACAGACCGCGATCGAGACAGCGCAGGAGCACGGGGGCATGATAGCATTTGGCAGGTTGTATATTCCGAATGTAAGTCCTTCTGCGTTTCTGTGTTCGTTTTGCAGCTTGCTTCATCCCACGTTTGCTGACAAATTTCTCTTCCTGCGCCTGGGTCGATTTTTTTCGTATTCCGCCTCAATTGCTACTCACTCTCCACGCCCTTCCAACAGCCTGACCTCCCTGCTCGACTTATATATAACCTGCCGCTTGCTAAGTTCGACCGTGCAACATTCTACCTCGCCGGAGATCTTACTGAGAAGGGATACACCGATTCTCCAGCGGCAGATATACCAGTAAAACAGACGTTGGAAAGGCCAAGATGGTGAAGGTGAGCGTTTCTGAATCGCCAAGATCGGGAGGTGTATTGCAAGGGAAATAAAGATCTTTCGAGGATAACCATAGGCTCGCCTCCGAGATGCAGTGCTACGTCGACCTCAAATAGAATGTGGGCTGTGATACAATACCCCCTACGTAATTTGTGAGCCATTCTAGCCTCCCGAGGTACGCATGGGGTATGGATCTCTGGCAGCGGCTATGTAAGCTGGTTGTTTACGACGGACTTATCTTGTTCTCCTGTGCTCAATCACGTATAGGGTTTCACTAGTACTGATTCTCGAAAGATGGGTATGTAGCCTGAGAGTCCGGGGTGACCTCGTTCCAGACATGCAACCTCGCATAAATCCCTGACTCACTTTCACTGAGGTGGGACAAGAAATATGGTGAGTCTTCCTGTTTTCTAACGTGATGTATTTCAACTCAGTGTTGTGCAGGTGACATCTCGCATGTCGAGATTCTGGGTCAACCGATGCTCGTGCTGAGTTCTGTCATGGCAGTGATAGGAAACGCTGGACAGCTTGAAGAAAAGCTCTGTATCTCTGACTGTCTTTTTTTTCCCAATGGGCAGCGGACTTGTTGGCTGGAAACACATTTTAGGTCTCCTCGCACATGGTAACTGTTTTCGCTGGTACCGTAAGAACATCTGCCACGTCACCACGTCGTGGACAGTTGCGCCACATTGTATACTAACTACAGTGCTGTTGATGAGATTGTGACACACTGATTGCTGAAGTGTGTACTTGTGAAATCCGATCAACTCCAGAACACGTTCGACAGTATGTGCTATTAATCATTATACTACTTGATGTTCAACCTTCACAGCACTGCTGGCTCTATCATTCTGCGGGTCTCATGTGGATCAGGAGAACAGTAATTCCTCCGTTGGCCTTGGCACATTGCTGAAACCTCGCCCAAAATGAGGAGTGCACTTCAGCACTTCCTTCAACGACTGGCACCTTTATCCGTGGCGACTAATACCGATCGCTGTGCTGCTAAAGCTTGTAGACATACTTTTCGTGTCATCTCACCATTGTGAAACACATCTCCCTTCTCAACCATGGAGCTGCAAGCCTCGTGAACATCAAACATGGTATCCCAAGCCTTCTTCGATTTTTACGTCATTGCCCATCCCAGTGTGTAGCACGCGAAACATCCGACATCTATGATCCTATGATAGAATTAATTATCACACGGCGCATGTGACAACTTTCACTCTATGTTGTCGTCTAATAGCCTCATAGATTGTCCTTTCATCACGACGGCTATACACACTTGGGCTTGCCGCTGCAAGTCATGGCATTGGGCAAACAACACTAGATCCACTTATAGCGTGCTCTGCTTCTTCCAACTCAAGACCAAGGATCACCGGATGGACTTCATATCCATCATCCGTTCAAGTCGTGGTGTCGGTGCAAGAGCGCTGTGACTTCTTCGAAGTTTGACATGTTGTTCATCTATGCTCGCACGAACTGGGTCCAGAGCCCCAGACAAATTGTGTGAGACGGCCAACCGGTTCATAGGATATCAAAGTCACACTGGGAGTCATGTTCAAACTCTACGTGATGTGTCACGGGCGGCAGAGTGCATCGACGCATCTTTGGGTGGGAAGGTTTTCTCGTGGCGGCCGACTGGTCCACGCCATTCCACGCCTGTGACAGCGCCTGAGGCCGAAGATTGAGTACTTATACCTCACACGGTCCACAAACCACCCTTACGCACCTTGCTCACTGGGCCCACGATGACAGCCACGCTTTTCACGCCCATCCAAGTAGGGCGCATGAACCTTAGCCACCGCATCGTCCTCGCCCCCCTCACCCGTTTTCGCGCCTACCCAACCCACGTCCCCGGACCTCATGCAGCCACCTACTACGCACAGCGTGGTTCTGTCCCTGGAACACTCCTCGTTTCAGAGGCTACTTATATCTCTCAGGCTGCTGGCGGGATGGACTTCATCCCGGGCATCTATACACAAGAACATGTAGAGGGATGGAGGAAGGTCACGGATGCCGTGCATGGGAAGGGTAGTTTTATATTTTGCCAGCTGTGGGCACTTGGGCGAGCTGCAGCCCCGGACGTCCTCGCCAAGGAGAATGACTCTCCGTTTGTATCTGCCTCTCCTATCCCGCTTTCTACCAATCCTACTGCGGTCCCGCATGCTCTGACTGAGCCAGAGATAAAGGCATACATAGATAATTATGTTATCGCCGCCAGGAACGCCATCGCAGCAGGCTTCGATGGCGTTGAAATACATAGTGCAAACGGATACCTCATCGACCAGTTCTTGCAAGAGGTAAGTAATACCCGAGAGGATGGATGGGGTGGGAGTATCGAGAAGCGAGCAAGATTTGCGATTGAGGTCGTGGATGCGATTGTAAAGGAGGTTGGTGCTGAGAGGGTCGGCATTAGGTTGAGTCCATGGAGCCCGTTTCAAGGCGCGTTCTGTGTCCGTTCCTCATTTCACGCTGGACTAACCTTTATGCAGACATGGGCCTCCCCTGATCCAAAACCACAATTCTCCTATCTCGTAAGCCAACTCCGGAAGTACGACCTCGCCTACCTCCACGTTACCGAACCACGTGTCGGTGGAAACGTCGATGTGGACTGCATCCATCACAGAGTAGTAACGATTTCCTGCGTGAGATATGGTGTAAGGAGGGCAAGAACGGCGTATTTATCAGTGCGGGTGGGTACACACGACAGACCGCGATCGAGACAGCGCAGGAGCACGGAGGCATGATAGCATTTGGCAGGTTGTACATTCCGAATGTGAGTCCTTCTGTGTTTCCATGTCCATTCTCTTTGTCCATGTATGCTGACAACGTTCTCTTCCTGCGCCTGAATCGATCTTTTCGTATTCCCCCTCTATCGCCACCTACTTTCCGCGTACTTCCAATAGCCTGACCTCCCTGCCCGACTTATATACGATCTGCCACTTACCAAGCCGGACCGTGCAACATTCTACCTCGCCGGAGATCTTACTGGGAAGAGATATACCGATTTTCCAGCGGCAGACGCACCAGGGGAGATGAAGATTATTCGAGGATAATCATAGACTTGCTACTCTAATGCATTACCAGCCGCAAATATAATGTAGGCTATGATACCATACCCCGCGCGTAAGTTGTGAGCTCTCGCCTCCCGAGGTATACATTTCTGTTATATATTTCAATCAATCCCCTGTTGTTCTGTTTGATGCAGCATGATCACTCCACGCCCAGCATCATGAGCGACTTTACGGAACTACAGAGACAGGCGGTCAATAGCATTTGAAGTTGAAGAGAGGCGGATCTTGTGTCGCATTGACATAATCGATGACCCCCTGCTACGCTGGGACGTGGATTTCATTCCTAATCACTGTCCCTGTTCATAAATATCAAATGCCCGTCATATTGTCAGTGCTAGTGACGCGGACGATTCGATCATGCAACAGTCTGTCGTAAGTCAGCATACGATATATATGATATCAAATATAAATTGAAGCACATCAGAGATCTTCGCGCTTGGAGATGCACACAACTACAAAATCTCTAGCGTCCTGATATCCATCATGTCATCAACAGAAGCCATGTCCTTGACTCTGGCTACGATGAGGCAATCCGACGCGACTCTCTTATACTCCCCACCACGCTGCTGTGCTAGCAAAAGTGCACCAAAGGGCTGTCCAAGGCGAACAACCAACTTCAACTCTCGCGAGTGAGCCTCCGAATCAACCAGCTTGGAGTCTACAAGAGAACCGCTGACAGATTCGTCTAGCGGAGACTCAGACACAGGCCAATCGTCCATGCTCTGTGCATCATCTGCAAAATCAGGCTCTGCAAAGTCAGGTAGTCCAAGATCATGACGATTCCATGGACGGACAAGCAAAAATGTCTGCTGAATAGGCCGTGCTAGCGAGAACTGAATCAACTTGTTTTCGGAGGTGATTAGCAGGTCTTGAAGACCATCCGCCTTGACGTCATAAGTGAAACATGCTTCCTGGTCTGGACCACGCCTCCGTCTGAGTTCTGTGATGGGAAATGCGATGCACGGCAACTGCAGTCTGGAGTGTGCGAAACGAGGAGCACTGAGGTTGTCAAGGAGAGTATACAGTTTCGAAATCGACTCCACTGAGACAACGTTTTGCAGCGTGGAGACAGACATCTGCATCTCATCCTCGGACAAAGATGACAACATGCACGGCGGAGTTTTGTATGATGTAATGTCAGCTGGGAGACAGCTATTGAACTCGGATGCTTTTCCGATCCAGTCAAGGGCAGTGATGTCGCCCGAATGCGCAATGATCTCCTGCAAGAGTCGTCCGAGTGCGTTTTGTCTCTTCTCGCCATAGATTACAGGGAGGTGGACGCGGAAGATGCCAAATAGTGAATACGCAATGTCTTCTTGCAGAGTCGTGACACGGCTGGATGCCCAACGAAGTTTCTCTCGGGCGCCTGTCATGCCCGGGCGGAAGGCGACAAGGGCCTGTGCATCTATGCCTGTTGAATCCTCCAACTCCTTCATGATAGTGACAGACTCTTTGTGGTTTGGAGAGGGGTCGTCGAGGTATAAGGTCCAATCTGCTCGATAAAAGAGAACAGTGTTAGGAGCGAGAAATTCCTGCACAGTCCACCCTCGCGTATTCCAAGTGCTATTTGCGAGTGCCCCAGGTTCCGACGAAGCAAAACATCCGCCAGATAGACAATTGTGAGCGCCGAGTGACGGTACCAGATGAACATAGAGTTGACTGATTCTTGGAGTTCAAAATTGTTGCCCTGGTCGATGCAACATGTATCACTCCATGCCCAGCGATACCCTGCATCACATGCAGTTTTGCAGAAGGCCTGCAACTTCACTATGGTTCCGACTGGATCTAAGGTGTACACATCTTTATCCTGAATATCGTGCAGCCGTGGCTCCTTGCTCTCCCACCTATGGGATAACATGACCCAACTGAAGTATTTCGCGACTGTTGCCTTGATGAACTCCGTTTGGAGGGTTGCATGCGCCATCGATGATGACAAGATTTCTTGGTACTTTTCGCTTTTGTTGAAGGCGTTGATCTGTGTCTGTCTGTCACACAAACGCCCGGTGTAGGTGTTGACGAGACGAAGTGGTGCATTTTCCAGTTGAGCGTGAATAGCTTTTTGAATGGCGTCATGTGCATCAGATGGACTGACGTATTGCTGGCGCAACTCTGGAGAATGAGTTAACCATCTTCTAGTTGACATAAGGTACTCAGTGCTTACCTCGTATCTGCGGGTCGGATGCATTGTCCAACTTAAAAAGCATGATTTTGAATGCCTCAATCGCTTCATCGTAACGTTGGACTTCATGAAGCACTGCATACTTCAGTTTGTACCCAGTATAAGACGAAGGGCTCAGTTTGATGACCTGTGTATTGGCGATATCAGTGCAACTGTTCGACAAATGAATATCATCTAAACCTTTTCTGCGTCGTTGAGGGCCTTTGCATAGAGGTTCCGTTTCAAATTCGCCTCACTTCGGTGAGCAAAAAGAGCCTCGCATGAAGAGTCTAAGCCTATCCCTGCCGAATACAGTTCAACAGCCACCTCATAGTTGCTCGCAGTAACAGCATCGTCTCCCTTTGTGATACAGCGCGAAGTACATTTGCGCTTGAAGGCTGGTGGACATCAGAATGAGTCTCAATTTTCAAATTATCTACGACCACTCACCGGTAGACCATTCGAGGTAATTGGGCTTCACAGCCTCACCAATCATGCACATCATATACTGATGAGATTCAGCCGCTTCAACCACGCGATCAGCGGAGAGAAATGCCTCGCAACGTCTTTGGTTGGCGGTCTGCCATAACGAACCAAAGTCCCAGCCAAAGAACTGTGCAGTGCACATGATCAATCAGTGGGTGTCCTCTGCGGCTTTATAGTGACGTGCCTCTGTGAACGTATCTATATGCCAATCCAGTCTAGGCCCGGGGTCATCCAGTGTAGATTCATACATTGTCGGAAGTAGGAACAAGTCGGCTATAGTAGTAATACTGGCCGTGAGTTGATCAGCGGCTTCGCTGTAGTGCCCACCCTCGAAACCGATTATTGCATGCTGCGTACGTAGATACGACTGACAAGTATATTCTAAAATGAGAAAAACCTGTGAAGCCTGATATAAGACTCACATCAACGATGCGGCACTGAAGTGTCTCTGAGGGCTGACAGGCGGCGGCTAAATCCTGAACCCGCCGTTTCGCCTCATCGTGGCGACTTGAATTAAAAAGCGCAATAGCCTGGTGAAAATGATATTGGAATATTAGCATGACAAACACGCTATTGAACATATGAAGAGAATACCTTGATTAGTAAAATTCCGACAGTCATTCGATTGTGATTTGAAAATGAGAGAGCAAGATCAAAAGCTTCCATGGCATCCCCAAGCTGTTGCTTGCCGCAGAGGGCAATACCTTTAGAAATATAGCCCTTTAATGAGGGTTGGATGGCGACGGACTATATCACCGAGAAGAGTTACCTGTCATCAATAGTGTCATGATCAGACTCAGGAGTACATCTTACTACGAGTGCATCTTGAAGCGCATTGTCCCACTCAAAACGTCGAGCCCTTACAACCGAGCGACTTCCATAGGCGTGGTGATTGTTGTGGTCTGCGTCGATCTCCTTCGTCAGCAGCTCTTCAGAGGTATGTAAGTGTCGAGCTATCCATGCGTCGTGAACCGCCGTATTTGTAGGAGCCGGGATCTGCACCAAGCATGCTCACATTATTCAGTATGATGATCGAAGTCAAACAACCTACGTCGAGTGATAAATAACTGCTGGGCCCTTGGTGACTTTCCACGGAATGAGTGTTTGTGCCGCCATCATCGCTAGATAGCTCGCTCCAGTTGTTGGTGATGTGAATGCGGGGCTGGATGTCGCCGCCGAGGACGATGTTGGATTGAACAAACAGGGGGGGGAAATAATGGGAGAGATCATACCTGTCTCTCATTGAGAGTAAAGAGTGAGTGTATCTGTGTTTCTTCGTCGTCCTTGATCCTCTCCGACTCTTGTAGATCGCGTCCGACTTCAATCCTTATCTTGACGGATTTCCAGATATCCTCCGTACCGCCCTTATAATTGACGCCAAACTGTACGATATCGCCATGTTTAAGCTGATGTGGTGCGCTCTCAGAGCCTGCAGGGCTTAGGCGGCGATCATTGAGGAAAGTGCCTGATGACGATTTGGTGTCCTTAATGTAGAACTTGCCATTATCTGACCAGATCTCTGCATGGAAGCGAGAGAGTACTTTTGAATCAAAGGAAATTTTGTTGGTGAATCGGGCGTTTACAGCTGGTCTATTTGTGGGGCGGCCGACGTGGATGGGGTTGTCGCCATCTCTGAGGTGACGGGAAATGGGCTCAAAATGGAAGGTGTTGTTGGAATCGATGTGCGGGACTAGGCAGATGCGGTGGGCGAGGTGGTTGGAAAAGGCGGTGGGTTGCGCATTGAAAGATGGACTATTCTGGATAGTGCCTGGAGCAGAATGTTGCGATCGGTCAGGAGAATAGTTTTCCTCGCGAGGAGCTGGTTCAGGTGAACGCGAGGCTTCTCTTTTGCGTTTATGCCGAAAAGAACTCAAAGTGATCATGGTCGACGGTAGGGAGAATCATTCAGGACATACTTGGTGTGTGTAATCGCAAACCTGTGTGGTATGTATATAGGACCGGTTCTCGTAAGTGCTTGGTTTTGGTTATCTCCCACAACTGTCAAACGTTCCTAAGCAGTTGATTAGTACATACGTCGCTTGCCTCGTTTCTTGTCGGGATACTACTCATACTCAGTTCTAAAATGTCGTTGTCAATCCTGACTCGACCTGTAATACAATTTCCGATAACCTTCGCCTTCCCAAAGTCTGAGCAAACATTTCGAGATTCCGACTGGTGTCAGGGCAAGTAGCACAGCCGCATTGGACAGAAATTGGCCCATTTTCTCCTGCGGTAAGTAGGATAGCTGGTAGGTACATACATATCCAAGAACGAGGTGCACTGTAGGTTATGCGATTTCAGTGGACTCTGCCGCACAGAAACCACCTGGCGAGAACCGTGAAGCACTTCGTCTCCGGAACAAGTTCAGTGTCCAGTGATGGATATTCGCCAGTCATTGCAGGAGCGCTAGTTGTTGTGGTCCGCACACTTGCTGAGGTTGCTCCGCTAGTAACATCAGACATCCCCGCTGCGTTGGTGTTAGCGCTCGGGACACCAGCAGCGGAGGCATGGGCTTTCTTGTGAGGAGGATGTGATGGCCGCACTAAATGCCTTTTCCCACTGATAGCATTCGCATTGCGCTACAGAAGAATCGATGAATAACGGAAGGATACAAGACCATCACAGAAGACATACATATTTACCCCGCGTAGCGGAGATGTCCACAACAGTAGTCTTACCGGTGCGTGGAGTAGGACTCTGAGAAACAGAGAAACGAAACGAGAGACGATTCATGAGTTGTCTCATGCGGGAACCTTCGGCGTGACGCTGGGATGTGGTTGGAACAGTGCGAGTTTCGCGTTGAGGTCGGGAGCGCATATCAAACTGGAAACATGGTGAGATGAGCAGGTTGTGATGGATCTACTGCAATATGAAGTCTTACATCATCGAAGAACCCTCGAGAGATTCCAGCGCGTTTTGGTCGAGGCTTCCCAGTAGGAGTGAAGTCAGTGATGGTGGAAAAGCACAGATGTGAAAGCGTACATCTGGTTTGGAAAACCGAGCGCGGTATCGATCCTGTGTCACCAGAGATCAGTATATATGCGGGTGTGTCTGAGGGATCTAGAAACCTTGTGTACGGACTGTATGATAGGTCAGTATGAGGCATGGCGTGATATGAGAATCTGCTCACCTGCTGGAACTCTTCTGACTCAACCCGATCAACTGCCCATATGCGAACGAGTCTATCAACACAACCAGTCGCGATGAACTGGCTATCCTCAGAAAAAGTAACACAGTAGAGTGCGTCGGGGTATTCAAGTGGCTCGCCGAAGGGTTCCAATGTGGTGAGGTCAAAGAATCGTGTTGTTTTGTCGCTTGATGCAGTGGCAAATTTCGTGCCATCAGGAGTAATGGCCAGTGACTGGAGAAGATCAGTGTGCACGTCAAATTGTTTGAGGATTTCTCCAGTGGCAGCGTCTGATATTCGAATGTCGTTGAAACTCCCACTGACAAGACGGAGACCATCTAGAGTGAATGCGACCAGCCATGCCCGCTGTTCTATCTTCAGCAATTCTTCTCCACTCGTTGCGTCCCATAATATGATACACGTCTCGGCGCCTGCTGCTAGCTTGCTCCCATCGGGAGAGTAAGACACCGAGTATGCCTCACCGCACACTTGGAATGGTCCAAGGGTTATTTTACCTGTCTCCCTCTGCCACACACAAACCGTTTTGTCATATGATGCGCTTGCAAATGTCTTGCTGTCTGGCGCAAACACGGCACTCCAGATGTCCCTCTTATGTCCCTTGAACGTGTCTGCGACCGGCACGCTCAGACTTTTCGTCCTCGGAACCTCCCATACCAGGATGTTTCCATCCCTTGCTCCACTAACAATCCAGCGCCCATCGGGAGATGCCGCAATCCTCAAGACATAGTCACTGTGACCCAATAAAGGCTTCCCCACTTGTTGCCCTGTGTCCAGGTTCCACAGCCGAAGACTTTTGTCGTCAGAGCAAGTGACGAGGAGACGGGTACCAGGGATGAAAGCAATGTCTCTCACCCAGTCTTCATGACCCTTGAGCGTCATTTCGGCCTGAAGTGCCTGCTTTCGAACAAGGGGTGTGGGGGCTTGTGGAAATACGGCGCGATTTGGCATTGAATCTAGTTCTGGTTCTCGATCAGCAGGAACATGGCAGGGGGGCAGATACTTACGTGCGCTGTGACGTTGGGTTGTGATGAGCGATAATCGATAAGGAGCTGTGCCACCTATCAATATCAATATATCTTATCGCAGTGGCGCAAGGCGCCTGCAACTTCGGGAAAATGGCAAGAACGTGACGACAAAGTTGTTGATAACTAACATATGCATGAGTCACTCAAGCTGCCCACAGAAATGTTACGCAAGGCATACCACAGGGTTATCGGTAGGTCAAGTATTGATGACATTCATACCAGGAAGAACAACTTTGAGTAACCTCCTGTCGAAGGAAAATAACCATGCCAGTCTGCACTTTAGACCACCCGCCCTGCTCCGGCCCCGTACCGTCCTTACCGACCCATGCCGCCACCTCGCAAATTTTGCTGCCGCCGTAACTCCAATGCAGCAGGCTTCGATGGCGACCACGTGCGTGCAGCAGTAACCGTCGATTCGAAGATGCTCTCATGCACTTGATCAGCGAGCGCTCAGCATGTTTGTCAATGGTCTCCCAAACATAAGTATCAGTGGTAGACGAACCAAATTTCAGACAGTTTGTTTATGATCATGTGACGTGCTAAGTCTCGTCGGATTGGAGGTTGGTCTTGGCCAAGTGACCAAGTACCACAATAGAACTGAAGTCTGTTTCTCTTGGACTGAAAGTTCGAAACCTGCTGAATGACAGGTTATATATACATCAGAACACACCTCAACATCTCATGGATGGTTTCCTTGGAGGCTCGTCTCAACTTCATCGGCCGCCTCCTGGCTAAAGTGGGTGCCACAGCAGAATCTAAAGCTGTCTCCTGGACTGTGCCAGTTCAGGTTCGAAACCTGCCGACGACAAGGTTTTTTTCTATCGGATCATGCCTTGAAGATTCACTCATGGATAGTTCCATTGAGATTTGGAGGATACCACAAAAGAATCAAAATCTGTCGAACCTGCTGACGAGGTTTTTTTTTCCTTTCGGGACACATTTTGAAGATTCACTTATGGAGAGTTCCTCGAGGGTTCATCTTGACTCTTAGCTAAGTGGTCACCGGAGTCAAAATCTGTTTCTCTAGATATTAGACTGCGCAGGTTTGAAAACTGCCGAACGTTTTCTATTGGAACACACCTTGACACTGACTCATGTTTCCTGGGAAGTCCATCCAACTTCTTTTCTATCGGAACACGCCTTGACATTTACTTGTGGACAGTTCCTCGGAGGTTCATCTGATTGGGTGTCGCTTGGCGTGGTCCTGCAAAATGACAGGTATTTTTCTATCGGAAAACACCTTGACATTGACTCATGGATGATTTCCTCAGCAGTGGTCTTAACCAAGTGGTTGTCACAGAGTCAAAATCTGTTTCTCTTGGAGTTGGTTCGAAACCTGCTGACGGCATTTTTGCAGCGTATAGATCCTCGGAGGTCGATCTCCACTAGTAATCATTGCGCCAAACTCTCCTTTTTATATAATAATCTGTCTATGAAAAGGAATTCACCTTTATACCTCGCGAGGCTCGTCTCACAAATATCCCCGAGGTGCGTACGTGCCAACCTAGATTCTCGACAGATTGACCAAAACCGACGGGATTCACCACCGAATGAAAAATGTTAATGGGGCCAACAGAATGGACACAAGCTAAGGACAGAGAGTGTCTGACAGTCAAGAAAATAATGTAACCTCCCCACCTTCCCGAACATGCTTAATGATTTTGAGAGATGAGGCCTTCGGCATGTGTTGCTAGTTTTATATCACTCACAGCTCACAGGGTTAGTCAATGCTCAATACTTTTCGGCTGGATGTCAGTGGGCCCCAGGACAACCCGTCCCAAGTCAAATTTCCTCGCCAGCACATGTCCCACATTCCTCATCCACCCCTGCAATGCAACATGAGCCAGGGAAGATGTCGTTTCTAGACAGCCTTATGACTGTAGGACCTTTAAGCGCCGCATCCTTTCTCACTGGTCTCAACATTACCAGAGCTCCATTCGTAACTTGGGATGAGCAAGTTTGGTTTCTCATAATGTGAGTATATCGTATTTGATAGTCCGTTAATTAATGCATCCTCGTCAGAACCGTTACCGCAGGACGCCGGAAGGTGTTTCGAAATTCATAGACCATGTTTTCGATGCCACGTGTAATTATACCCTGGAGAAAGGTGAGCTCCCTCATGTGCGCTTTGGTCGAATTGACTATCTCAATATTACGAGTATCACCACTGAATAGGCTATCTGGTCGTGAGTCTGTAACATTTTTGTAGTGTGTTCGTGTTCTTGACTTTCTGTCGGCGCGCCTTACTTTGTTGTATTGAAAGACCGAAGGCAAACTTTGCGTAAAAAGCCAGTCAGATGAGGTTGACCGACGAAATCCTACACCATCAAATTTCTCAAGGAGGAGGCGTGGGGCATCAAAGAGCCATGTAAATCTATCTACGGCTCTGGTAGTGAACGGTAGGACGCGTCAGATTTAAGTAAGCTACCAGCGTTTACCGCCCTTTTGCAGCGAATACATTTAAGACCACCTGGCTCAATTTCTGCCATAGTCTACAGTGCTCTTGCTCGTGTGCCGAAATGGCTCTAACACATAGACTTTGCGTCAGTGACGGCACCATCTACTACAACTTGAATGAACTGCTCGAAGTTATGTTCAACGTCTAATGTTCAACTGTGAGTATGATACAGACTGGGACCAAGTTGTCTTCTAGTAAGTATTTTTCTACCAACTTGGACTTGGCTGAAGGTAATTGACTAGCGTCAGAAATTGGCCATTAGAAACAATATGATACGAAACGACCTGGGATAATTAGAGTCTCGGATTTTGTTCCATAGAACACTGTGCTTTCCGATCCAGCCAGGGTACAGATCGTGCTAAAATCTTGTCGAACTGAACAATATTCCTAGTCCTCCCTCCAACCTCCATTTTTATCGTCTCAGGTATCAAAGTCCCTCCTTTTGAAATTCCACTCCTTGACACGCAATATTCTTCCTGACTTACTATCTTTTTGGTGACATTTGGTGGGCTCGCATTCGCCCTCGCAGCTCCATTAGAAAGTAAACAGGGGTTTAGTTCTATGTTGGTCAATGCGTTGTTGTGTTGACGATTTTTTACTTCGAATGAGCACATTGATCACCATCACGCCAATTCTGCGTTCGGTACGTTGTATCAATTGTCTTGCTAATATTATTACCGCTCGCGAGACTCTTACTCTGAAACAACAGCTCATGGCCTCCGGGGTAGAGTATTTTTACTTGTTCGATTTATCCTCAACTGCACTGCAACTGCGGCGAATCACATAGCAAAGAGAAATAAGTCCGATCACAGGTGCGGCGGTAGCGGCGCTCTGGCGAATATCAGTGCTGATGAGTACTATTCGCCTTCCGGAAGTCATATATCAAGCTCGTTTCTCCGAGTCAGTCATATAAAACCTTTTCAACAACGTCATCGTTAATATTCTCAACTAGGATGCCAGGAATTAGTTATGTAAATCCTTCCATAGGTAAGATTCATCAGTCTGCATCGGCCACATGTTCATGACCGAGTCGTGTTTAGAGAATTCTTGTCCACTGTGTTCCCGCTGTACTGGCGCGACTGTTTTGGAATTCATCTCCTGTAACGTTCATCGTGCCCTGTATAGTCACTACTCTTGATTTACTAGCATGTCTGAAATATCACTGTCGTTACTGTCCCGCCAAAAATTCATGCTATCAACCCCAGTGGAGTTTCTTGCCTAGTCTTCTACCTGTTGTTTGCATAAGCCTTTTTCTTGTGATCTTTCCATAGGATCCCTGATTATCATGTATATGTAAATATTATATTATAACAGCGGCTTTTAAGTGGAACTCGGTAGAGCGATACATTGAGATGCATTTAGCCACACCGTTAACGCTCCAGCGTTCATTGATAGCAACGTCGCATCACCGAAAGAAGTCGGATATGAGACACCACGTCAAATTGGGCACCTTCGCGCAGAACGTTCCCGTGATAATAATACTATATCCGATCCCCCACAACAAAGAAGAGTCATACATCACTCTATGGAACCGTCCATGACGCATTTTGGATCTGTCATTATTGTGTAATATTGATATCCTTTCTACTTCTCCATCAGGAGGTAAATTTCACGTTCGCCAGACACGAATTGGTCATAGTTGAACGTACCGCTCATGAAGATGACAGATAGTGATACCGATGCACAACGTATGACCTGCGCAATGAGTGAACATTTGAACACTGGCTAACTAGTGACAAGTCCGCAAGGTTGACCATGGAAGACACCAAGAAGTCTACTTCGTGATAGTCGTGATAGGTATACTATGAAGCAGACATAAATATCCAAGACCAGAAGGCGAAATAACGTGGTGCACACAGTTTGGCTAGGTAAGCACATTGTCAGGATCTGTAGGGTTGCGTTAAAGACAACCAAAAATCATGTGAATGGTACTTGCAAGAATTAAACGTTGACCAAACTGAGAATATCCTCGACATCATCCCGCTAGGTGAGCGCATTGACTGTAACATTATCCAAATCGTCCTGGACGTCTGGAAAACACTCAGCTGCGAACTGTGAGTGGAAGGAGATGCCATACCAACGATAACGTCAACCAAAGACCCATCATCCCGCTTGGTGAGCGCATTGACTGTAACATTATCCAAGTCGTCCTGGACGTCTGGAAAACATTCAGCTGCGAACTGTGAGCGGAAAAAGATGCCATACCAACAACAACGCCAACCAAAGACCCATCATCCCGCTTGGTGAGCGCATTGACTGTAACATTATCCAAATCATCGTCTACATCTATACATGCGAGTCAGTTCATATTTCTACATCACGAGGTTGGACACGCACAAGCAATGACATCAACCAGAGAACCATCATCACGGCGTAATGGAGGGACAGCGAAAGCAACGCCGCAGAGAACAACGAGGGATGCCAGAAGAGTGAGCTTCATAGTGGGGAGCTAAACGGTTGGAGTGAATAACGAAGGTCCATGGGATGGGACTGTTTTTATACCTAGCACTGAGAGTGTGTTGATTATTATCTGCGATCCGAATAGAACATCATGACGAACATGGTTGATAGTTTGGGACCCTTTGCGACTCGCGAATAATCGAAAGAACCTCTTCTTCGAATCATGGTGCCGCCTCTCACAAGAAGTTCGCTGCCGCCCGTGCGAGAGCGGCACAGAAACTCGGCCTCCGGCATACGAACATAATAACTCCACCCCCCCACCAATGAACCACCTCCACCGCTGCCAATAAATGCTGTAGAAGCACCCAAAAGTTTTGGTGTTGAATTCTGTCTGATATAACTGGATCTCGAGTGTCTTTCTGACTGGTTATACTGTCAACTATAACATTGATGATTACATCACTACATGTGATTACATAATGTCATCTGGGATCGGATTGAAGCTTAGCAGCGTCGACACCAGCAATGTCGTCGGAATTCGAAACCTGCCGTACTGGCAGCATCCGAATTCGCAAATTTTCGCTGTTTCTTTGAAGGCTCGATGCGATGCATTAAATTAGCCACACCGTTAACGCTCTAGCGTTCATTGATAGCAACGTCGCATCACCGAAAGAAGTCGGATATGAGACACCACGCCAAATTGGGCACCTTCGCACAGGACGTTCCCGTGATAATAATGCTATATCCGATCCCCCACAAAGAGTCATACATCACCCTATGGAACCGTCCATCACGCATTTTGGAACCGTTATTGTGCAATATTGACGTCCTTTTCGACCTCTCCATCAGGAGATTAATTTCACGTTGAATGCACCGCTCACGAGGACAGCAGATAATGATGCCGAAGCATAATGCATGACCCGCGCAATGAGTGAACATTTGAACACTGGCTAACTAGTGACAAGTCCGCAAGGTTGACCGTGGAAAAGTTCACTTCGTAATAAGTATGCTATGAAGCAGACATAAATACCCAAGAGTAAAGACGAAATGATGTGGTGCACACAGATTGGCTAGGTAAGTTCATTGTCAGGATCTGTGGGGTTGCGTTAAAGACAGTCAAAAATCATGCGAATGGTACTTGCAGAGGTTAAGCCAAATCGAGAACATGCTCGACATCATCCCGCTTAGTGAGAACATTGACTGAAAGATTATTCAAAACGTCTTGGACGTCTGAAAGACATTCAGCTACGAACTGTGAGCGGAAGGAGATGGCATACCAACGGTAACGCCAACCAAAGACCCATCATCCCGTTTGGCGACGGTGACAGTTGCGTTGTCCAAGACGTCCTCCACATCTATGCATGCGAGTCAGTTCATATTTCTGCATCACGAGGTTGGACACGCACAAGCAATGACAGAAACCAGGGTGCCATCATCACGGCGCAATGGAGGGACAGCGAAAGCAACGCCGCAGAGAACAACGAGGGATGCCAGGAGTGTGAGCTTCATAGTGGGAAGCTAAACGGTTGGAGTGAAGAACGAAATATCAATAGAGGTCCTATGAGACTGCTTTTATACCTAACATCGACAGTGTGTTGATTATTACCTGCGATCCGAGTAGAACATCATGACGACCGCGGTTTATAGTTTGGAACCTTTTGCGACTCGAGAATAATCGAAGGAACCTCTTCTTCGAACTAGAAGCATCGACATTAGAAACTCAGTAGAGTGTGTTGTAGTATGACAAACTTCCACATATCCCCAATCGGATTCGGAAATGGCCGAAAGCGTCCTTCGGTGAGTGCCCGATGTGCTGAAGGCTATGAACCTGGGTTCCGAAATTTCTTATCCGGTCCCACTTGCCCTGCCGCAGGCTATACTACTGCATTAAAACAGGCTAAGTACGAGTACTGACATTGATGCAGGAGCGGTGCTGAGGAGTGGTTGTGCACATTACCTGTCACCCAAAGCTGTAATGCATCAAAATCCTGTCCTAGACATACCTCCTGCCATATTTGTATGCCCTTCCGACCTTGAAATAATATTTATCGAGCAAAGGTTCTGGTGCCTCAGTGCCTGGCTTCCGAGTCCTTGTTCCCTGGGGATGGTTTTTTTATGTTAACAAAAATCCAATTTATTGTCTGCTTGGGGCAACGCCCGATGTAGACATCATGATGCGACCTGGGCTCCCTTATTCTACGCCCATATTCTAGTACTCGCCTCCGGTATCTCGCCCCTCCACCCATCAAGCATAATCTACCGCTTTCTAAGCCCGACATTCTACCTCTCTGGCGATCTCACTGGGAAAGGCCCAATCTACAGCCTGGGTGGTCATTACCCCGCAATACCACTTGAGGTGCTGCTTGAGTGTCTAACAGGACGAGCGAGGTCTCTAAAGGTCGAGAACTATGATAAGGTGCGAGATAGCGGTAGCTGCATTTCAGGCCTCCTCGCTCATATGCACGCCAGAAATATACCCCTAGTGCTTAAGGTTTCAATGTGTCAACCCACAAATCAGAACTCTGGAACATGCCCGCATGAGCATCCGTCCTATCGTATAAACAATTAAGTAGTAGACGCGAATTTAGATGGCCACTCATCACTACAATATCGCAAGTTGTGATTGAAATCAGTGGTGGACAATGTATGATCAGAGGTTTGCAACCGAGCCAGGATGTTCTAACCTATGAAGAGCTTACTGAGGAGTCCGAGCGCAAATTCGCAAGCCAATTACAGGTGGGTGGAACCTTGCTCGGGAAGACAGCAAGGAACACTAAACGAATCGGACGAAAGTTACAGGACGAAACTGTGGATTCTTAGAGTGTTGTACTAATGAATAAGTGATGGTAGGTAGGAGACCCGAGTCTGAGCTAAGTAATACGAAAGTGGCGGAATATAAGGAACAATGTCACATGACATGCGATAAGGTAAGCGCGTAGTAAGCGTCCAGCTTACACCCTCTCATTCTCTGAAGACTTTTCTGTGGCATATGTTTCTTCATCTGTTGCCTCTTGATGTGTATCTTCATCATTCAAGTGGCATCCGACACTGTTGTCTTCATCAGTCCAGCCATGAGTGGTGTTGTACTCTTGTAGTACATGAGTGTCTTCCAGTTCCTTTCCTGGTACCCATACATCGGCTTCTGAACCATATCCACGCCAGCATATGAGATATTGATGTCCATGTCTGTGTATTCATCTGTCCAGGACTTTCTCTATCTCCCATTCTTCAGTTCCAGTCTTTGTCACTATGGGCCTGGGATATTGAAGCTCGTGTGAGGGATAGAGCTTGGCATTATTTGGAATGTGACATTTGAGTTCTGATACATGAAAGGTAGGATAAATGTTAGTATGGTCTGGCAGGTCGAGAGTATAAGTTGATGACTCAGGGTTCACAGAAACTACTGTGTAGGGTCTGTTGAACTGGGGCATGAATTTTGCCACGCATTTGTTGTTTCCATTGCGGTATTCTCGTCTTCTGTGGGCTGTAGAGAGATACATGGAGTCCCCCACTTTGAACAAAGGATCATCCATCCTATTCGCATTGGCTGCATGTGCTTGAGCAATCCTTGATGCTATGAGCACTGTAGGGAACGAGATTCCTCCAGGCGTATATCGCCCATATTATAACTCATGACAATTGGTACAGCACACGACTCACTAGCTATGACTTTCCTGCAAAATGCGCCAGAGGTGTGACACTTTCCTGCACTACATGATGCATTCCCACACACGCTCTTCCCACACTTGGTCGCACTTTGTTGTGCAGCATCCTGGAGCCTTCATCCATTGTCCAACCAGTCCCCTAGTGAGTCCCTTCTTGTTTATTTCTCATATCAGACCATATTTAGCATTATATGACACTATATTTTGTCATGGACCCTTACTTTACATCATTTTACATACTTAGAGTGCTCCCTGTTCGCTTCCGAGCCCTGTTACAGTGCCCCACTCTTTTTTCCCATCATCACTATGGACTCCTATATGGCTGTACTTCTAATGCTTCCTTTTCACTGCATTGTTTCCTCATGGTCTCCCTTATCTCTGACTCATACCTTGTTTTCCCATGAACCTTCCTTTCTTAGTAGTCATTACCCTTTGCCCAGCTTGGTCTGTGCACAATTCCCTTATGTATATAAACCCTAGTTACCACCTGTATTTTCTCTAACTTGAATCTACTCGGTTCTCTTTGATACTCAAACTCTAGCTCCTTGGGAAGGAGGCTAGCCATCTGTCCCATTTGAACTCTAGATCCTGCGGGAGTCTAGACAATTGCTCCTGAAGGAGGCATTGACTTGATAAGGCTTAGTCCTTGATCAACCCTGATCTTGATTCCTTTATTGGAACAACGCTCTATCTGAGTTCGTAACAAGCCCTGGGAGTGTACCTAGGCACAGCTTACCTGTTGCCTAGGGGAAGTTTTCATACAGGAACCACCACCATGTCACTTAGTCTCTAGAATGAGAATCTATTATCATGAGTTAGCATCCATCAGAGTCATCGCCCTAGTCTTCAGCAACAGTCTACTATCATCAGTCTCCAATCAGCAGTCTCAGTTCATGCCTTCACGCCATCCTTCAGTCTTTACACGTCCATGTACCAGCTCATGTGCTATTCCCACACTTTGCGCTCCTATGCACTCTATATTCCTGCATGTGCGCTTCACCAGAGTTGACCTGGTGTCACTTTGTGGATCTTGCTTTCTTTGCTTCCCCTGAGGGTCGAACATATTGCCTGGCACACTTTGACCAACAACTTAGAGAGTCAGTAGCCTTCCTCTCACCCCAGAGGTAGAGGCTTTCTTTCTTTCTTAGTTCTGCAAGCCCAGCAGAGTAGTTGAACCTTTAGCGCATCATGCATGTCTGCAATGTCTTTAGGGATACAATTGCATCTAGTGCACTTGCAATGTCAGTGGGGAAATTTTGTCATGTTTCATGGATGTTCTCTGGCATCAGTGGTGGTAGCATATGTGGTGTCCTTCCCAGGTGTAGGTGGAAGGGTGTATATCCTGTCAAGGCATTAACCAATGACATGAGGTTGAATCTTACCCAGGGAAGCACGTTTACCCATCTGGCTTGATGTCTGTCTACAAAGTACCTGAGAACTTGGTTGATGGTTTTGTTTGTTTGTTCGCTTGCACTGTCAGTTTGTGGATGGTATGCTGTTGACATCTTCAGTTTCACACCTGTCAGTTGGTGTAGTGCCTTCCAAAATTTGCTCATGAACAGCTTGTCATGATTGGAAACTATGCTCAAGGGGATACCATTCTCGCAATACCAATTGTTGAAGAACAATCCCACCACCTCCCTCGCTTTCATATTCATTCGGCAGGGTATCAGGCAGATATCTGCTCCCAAGCGGTCAGTGATCATCATGATGCTGTCAAAGCCATGCTCCACTGGTAGTGGTCTGATAAAATCAATCACGATTGAATCTCCCTGATGGTCTGGCACAGGGAGAGGATGCAGTGGGCCAGTTGGTTTTGTTGTTCTGCTCTTGTTGTGCACACATACTGGGCATGCAGGTATGTAGCTTTCTTTGAGGTTGTGCCTCATGTTTGGCCAGTAGTACGATTCATGGATTGCTGTGTAGGACTTGTCAATCCTGAAGTGGCCTAGTCAGTTGTGAGCCAGGTGGAAGATGGTTTCTCACAGGTGCATGATGCGAGGGATTACCAATTGGTTGTTGAGGTACATCAGGCTGTTGCGATTCTGCAAACCTGGCAGAGAGTCAATCTGTTTGGTCAGCTTAATGCACCAGGGGTCTGTCAGATACCCTCTCTTGATGCCCTTCAGCAATGAGTTGTCAGGCATCACTGACAGGACTACTGCAATAGGTTTGATCTGTTTGCTGATCATGGTGGGTATATGTACTGTTTGTTTCACATATGTTGGCATGCTGTTGTTGTCTTGAGGTAGTTGAGATAGGGCATTGGCGACTGAGTTGTCCTCACCATGAATATACTGAATGTTGAAGTCATATTGTGCGAAGAACTCCTGCCATCTTGCTTGTCATCATGACAGTTCTCACTGGGTCATAAAATTCTCCAATGTCCTGTGGTCGGTATACACAGTGAACAGTGTTCCCAAGAGTTCAATCCTCCATTTCTTGAGTGCTCATATGATCGCTAATAGTTCTTTTTCGTGTACTGGATAGTTTAGTTGTGCCTCTCGCAGCTGCATAGAATCAAATGCCACTGGCCATGCAGTTTGTGGTGTAGGTCCAACACTTAGCATAGCGCCAACATGCCAATTGCTGGCATCACAGGTAACAAAAATCTTGTTGTCTCCAAGATTGTCATGATCGATTGTTGTCAGGCAATCACAGCCGACAACAAGTCATTTGATGGCATCAAAAGCCTCCTGGTGAACATTTGTCCATCCTGGCCATTCGAGCTTGCTCATCTTTGTCATTAAGGGTGTTAGTAGGCATGTGTGGTCCACTAAGCTGGGTAAGAACTGATTGAGGTATTGTACTAGTCCCAGAAATGATGTACAGTCCCAGGAATGATCGTACATCATTTGTCAATTTCGGAACTGGCCAGTCTAGTATTCGTTTCACCTTAGAAGCATCAGCTTCGATACTGGATGCCAAGATTCAGTGACCCAAAAAGTCGATTTCAGTACAGAACAGAGACATCTTCTTTAGTGAGCAGAAGAGGCAAGCCTTCCTCAGTGTGTCTAGGACTAGTTTAACATTATGTGCGTGTTCTGCTACCGTTTGTGACCATATGATAATGTTGTTGAGGTAAGCGTGACAAATCTTGCTGATGAGTCCACGTAGTGCAATGAATATCCTTCATTGATGAGTAGCGGGCGCATTTCTTCCACCTTGGGGCATTACTGTCCATTCATGTAAACCCTTAGGAGTGTTGATCACTGTATATTTGATGTTGTCAGGGTGTATCCTTGTCTGGAAGAACAAGTTCATCATGTCAATCTTTCCAAATATTTTACCTTTTGCACAGTCTCAAAGGATCTCATTGATATGTGGTAGTGGGTGGTTATCCAGTATAGTATTAGCGTTTAAGGCTTGATAGTCATTCACCCACCTAGGCAGCGCTGTTGGATCCTTCTTTGGGATCAGAAAGGCAGGTGATACAAAAGGGCTAGAGGATGGACGTAATCATCCTGCCACAATGTGTTGATTCAGTAGCATATCCCATGCTTCTCAGTACTTCCCTGGCATGTTGTACCATCTGCACTGGATGATCTTGTTCAGATCTTTCAGCATTATGCGATGGATGACATCTGTGGGCAATTGGTCAATATGTGGGATGTCATCAGGGAATCTGTCTTCATATTTGCGACACATTTCTCTATTGAGATGGTCAAGGTGTTCCTTGTTCTCCTTGATGAATGTGAGCATCTCAATTCTCTTTCATAGTAATGCAACCATGTTTGGTGACTCAGATATTGTGTTCTTCTCAAGATTGTCATGTCAAATGTTCAAGATGCTTTTCAGTTTGTTAACAATATCTCTATGCAGGCATCAAATTTGATGAGGAGACACGATTTGAGTCTGAGTTTTCGGAGTGTACATGGGTGGATTCAAGAGGTCATAATCCAAGTTTTTGACAATACAAGTGCAAGAGTCATGATCTATAACAAGGCAACTATGTGATAAGAACAGTCCTCTGAGGAGGAGTGGAACTGCCAGATTCGGGGCAATAATTGCACGTATAGTATGGGAAGTCCAGTCATGATTAATGGAAGAAGGAGCCAGAAGAATGTATTCAGAAAATGAGAAAGATGAAGAAGAAGAATCATCCATGAACACTGAGTTCACCTTTATTTGTGCATGCAGTCTGTGCTTTCGCAGTCCCAACTTGTTGACAACATTTTTGTCAATCAGAACTAGATGTGACCCATGGTCAATCAAGGTGTCAAAATGTTCGAATGAATCAGAAGAAGGCCCTGTCAAGAGACAGGGCCACATAAGGTGGGCGGTTTTGAAAGGGGCTACACACATGTCATCTTCTGAGTCTGATCTGTTGTCTAGTACTGACGATGGCATAACTGCACCAACAGGTCTGATAGCTGCTATGGTTTTAGTTTTCAGTTTGGCCATGATGGCATCTGCTTCTGTGAGCGTCTTGTATGAAGACGCCTCCAGTGTGCCATTGGTACAATCCTTCAACTGGTGCAAGACATAGAACTTCCTACACTTGAAACAACCTCTGTGCTTCATCAGTAAGGTACGTTCTGCTTCTGTCAGGGTTCCTAGGCAGGAAGATGATGGATTATACGTTTTGGAGGATGATGTTTTGGTCGAGGACATTGCATGCTTTGAGGTTCTATATAGTTCCTCAGTGATCTTTCTGTGGGAGGCAAGGTCCTTGAGATGTTTGTCATCAAGGTGTTTCACTTCCTCGATCCACTTCTTAAGAGATATGTTGTTGGTGAGTTTGGCTCTGAGTACAGGGACGGTCAGCTTGTCACAGATATTAGCTTCAAGCTGATTGCATAGTTGGATGTCTGACAGGTGTGCAGTGTTACCATACAATAATGTGTTCTGGTTTTGCAGCTCCAAGGCCCACTCGTAGAATGCGCAGTTGCCTTGTTGTGAACCCAGGACTTTCCTGTGCAGCTTGGTATTCCAGTGCATTTCAAGCCACATGTCTTTGAGAGCAGTCATGTAGGCAGTGAACATCCCCACATCTAAGACAGCTCATTGACTTAAGTACCAAGTGTGTAGGTGTGGGTCCAGCATTCTGAATGCTATCATCTTCACTTGGTCTGTGGTGTCAATACCTTTGTGCATAAAGTATGTCACACAAGTGTTGTCCCAGTCATGTGCACCTCAGGTGTAAGTTCACCTGCCAAGAGCTTTGAGGCTTGTTCGGAGCAGACTGCTCAACACTAGCAGATTTAGTCATCTTGTGGGAACAAGAGTACAGTGTATGTGTGTCATTAGGTTCAGAATCAGATGAAGAGTCCCAGTATGTAGTGGTACGAGTTGTATGTCTGGCAGGCGTGATACTTGAAGGTATAGATGATAGAGGAGACAGGGATGGGTCAGGGGGAGGTTGTTGTCTTTGGTTCCTAGCATGCTGCCGCATGATCAAGGGTTCAGAGACAGTAGGTTTCCTTCGTATGGAAGGCAGTTTGACAGGTCAGGTAGCGGGCAGGTAACCCAGCAATTGAGAAACAATTGTTATGTTGGGTTCAAGATATCAACCAGTTTCATTTCTGTTAAAAAAAAAGTGGAACCTTGCTCAGGAAGACAGCAAGGAACACTAAACAAATTGGATGAAAGTAACAGGACGAAACTGTGGATTCTTAGAGCATTGTACTAATGAATAAGTGATGGTAGGTAGGAGACCCGAGTCTGAGCTAAGCAATTCGAAAGTGGCGGAATATAAGGAGCAATGTCACATGACATGCGATAAGGTAAGCGTGTAGTAGGCGTCCAGCTTACAGTAGGTATCATTAGGGGCTACTAAAATGATTACGCTGCCCAGGTTTGGTTCTTTGAACCTCTTTCTCTCCTGCCCCCATGAACGTCGCTGGTCCCTCACGACTACGTGGTTCACGTCCGATCCCGGGTCCAAGAGAAATAGATAATCATGAGGAAGATCTTACCCGTATGATCGCTGAACTAGGTCTTGCAGATGTCGAGAGATTGCAGACCCTATATGATAACAGAGAGCGTCGAGGAAAGGGGTTTTCTGATCGTGAAGTTGCTTTCAGATTGTTGATGCAGAACGCTCGAGAACTTGCAGAGTTCAATGCTGATCTGGCACTTGCCCAGCGACTTGCCGACGGAAATGAGGAAGCAAATCCTACACCTGGGTAAGGTTGCATATCACGGAATTTACAAATACTAACACCGAGAAGCAGGCCCGCAACAACAATGCAGCAAGATACTGCGCTCCAACCCGACGTCGGAAAGTACGCTTGCAAGTGTAGCGCTCCCCTAGAGTCCCTGACGAGACTTTTAGAACCAGATCAGAGATACAAATCTGGAATCAATTGGTCGACTCCTTTCTTTCGACGCCCATATCGAGTGGTCAGACTACACCAAACCCAGGCCAAGTGCCAACTATCATAGCTAGAGCTCCTCGGTGAGACCTGTTATGATACTGGTGTTACATTTAAATTGAACGTAACATCACAAGCAGGGCAACTGGTCACAATTGTGTGATTTGTCAGGATCCTATTTTTGGAGAGGAAGTTCTGGCACCATGCAATCACTTCTTTGATATCGGCTGCATCACAAATCTATTCCAGTCAGCAATGCGCGACGAACGCCTGTATCCTCCTCGATGTTGTCATCAGAACATTCCGCTCCTGCAAGTTCGGCCTCACTTGACACAGGCATTCCTCTCCGAGTTTGAACTCAAAGCTCAAGAATTTGGGACCCTGAAGCGTGTTTATTGTGTTAAATCGACGTGCAGTCGTTTTCTTGGGCCATTACACGACGGAGATTCCAGCAAGATATTCACATGCCCGTCCCCTAAATGCAAGACGACAACATGTGGAAAATGTCGCGGGAGATACATAAGATCTACCCACTCCTGCACTCCAGATGCAGAGACTCTGGATGTACTCACGCTCAGCCGCGCTTCAGGATGGTCCCGCTGCCCAGGGTGCGCTCAGATGATTGAGCTTAGTATGGGGTGTTTCCATATGACTTGCCGATGCAAGACAGAGTTCTGCTATTTATGCAGAGCACTATGGAAGACTTGCAAGTGCCCCAGATGGGACGAGTCTAGGCTGCTCGTTCCTGCAAGGTGAGAGCGTGGGGTGAGTGCTCAGTTGTAGCTGCGGAGCCTGCTCATTATCCCCAAGAGGTATATGCAATGTGTGGTTGAACCACCACCCGTTACTGGCCCTATCGATTCCCCTGACCCACGTAAAGCACTGGTTTGGTGTTCTGAAAAGAAGCACGATGAGTACTATTGAAGATTTGAAATAGCCATCAGGGAGTAAATTCTGCAATCAATCTCAAATGTTCTTGTGCTCCTTGATGGAGTCGACTGTGTTGGTGTTGCGAGTCGCAGGTATCACAAGGACGCCCAAAGCGAACCTCGGTCGCGAGCGGAATGACTGTATTCAGAATGTTATACCTATCAAAGTGAACTAATGCTTGTCAGTACGATTAATAAGTAAGTACTTTACTCACCCTCAGTCGTGAGCAGAATGAGTCACTGAGGGTAGAATAGGGACGAAAACCGCTAAGTGTCCTATGGGGCAAACATGTACAACTTGATACTGCTGATGATCGTGATTCTATCGGATATCGACACGCCAATGTGCAGGAGCTGACATGAGGTACATCACCAGAATCGGAGAGGCTCGGACTATAAACGAGGAACAAGAACGAAGACTTGAGATTGGTGTATTCATACGCTGATTGAGACGGAGAAACAAAGGAGAACGTGTATGAGGCCTGAGGCGTGTAACGAAGAGTGATTATGTATTCAAAAGAAAGGGATGAGTACGTACGAGAGTGACGTCGACAGTCATATCTTGACAGTACATAATACATTATAACAAGCATCGATAATGACTGCAAGAGCAGATGGGCATACACCGCCTTCTCATCCGATCTGAGCAATAATCTGGTGTGTAATCATGGTAGTATGCTTGACTATTGTAAGACAGGACAGCATATGATACATATGATAGAATAATAATAAAGAAAGTCCAGGGTATTGTTCTGTGCAGGTACTACTGTCAATGTATGGATAAAAACATATCATAAAATACAGTTACAATATCTCTGGCGTCCTGACGTCCATCATGTCATGAACAGCAGTCAGGTCCCTGACTTGTGCGTTGATATTGTGATCTGACACCACCCTCTTATACTCCCCACCGCGCTGCTGCGCTAGCAGGAGTGCGCCAAAAGGCTGACCAAGGCGAACAATCAAGCTCAATGCTCGCGAGCGAGGCTCTGAATCAACTGGCTCTTTGTCTCCAGAAGACCCGCCGAACGATTCGTCTGAAGAGGATTCTGGTTCGGACCCACCGTTCACGCTCTGCGCATCGTCTGCAAGGTCAGGCAGCTCGAGATCATAACGATTCCACGGACGGACGAGCAAGTATGGCTGCCGAGTAGACTTTGAATGCGAGAATGGAACCAATTTGTCTTCTGTGGTAATCAACAGGTCTTGAAGCCCGTCTGCCTTGATTTCATAAGTGAGGCGTGTCACCTGTTCTTGACTACGTCTCCGTCTGACTTCTGTGACAGGAAATGCAATACAAGGCAGGTGCAGCCTGCGGTTTGCGAAACGAGGAGCGGTGAGGTTGCCAAGCCGGGAATACAGTGACGAAGCAAGCTTCATAACAATTACATCCTGCAGCGACAAGACCGATGTCTGTATCTGATCTTCAGATAGAGATGGCGATGAGGATGGCGGAGGTTTGTATGCGACAATGTCAGCCGGAAGACAGCTGTTGAACTCGGAAGATTTTCCGACCCAGTCCAGGACAGAAATGTCGCCCGACTGAGCCACAATTTCCTGTAAGAGCCGACCGAGCGCATTTTGTTTCGTCTCGCCGTAGATGACAGGTAGGTGGACACCAAAAATGCCAAACAATGAGTATGCGACGTCTTCCTGCAATGTCGTGACACGCGTCGACGCCCACCGCAGCTTCTCTCGCGCACCCGACATGCCCGGACGGAAGGCGACGAGGGCCTGTGAATTTATGCCAGTCGAATTCTCCAACTCCTGCATGATAGTGACAGACTCTTTATGGTTGGGAGAGCGGTCTTTGAGATATAAAGTCCAATCTGCTTGGTAGAAGAGAACGACGTTAGGAGCGAGGAACTCCTGAACAGTCCATCCTCGCATGTTCCAGGCGCTGTCTGCAAGCGCGCCGGACTTCGACAAGGGCGGGACATCCGACAAGTAGACGATCGTAAGGGCCGAGTTGCGATACCAGACAAACATGGAGTTGACGGATCGCTGGACCTCGGAATTGTTATGCTGGTCGATGCAACACGTATCGCTCCAGGCCCAAAGATACCCCTTATCACGAGTAATCTTGCAGAATGTCTGCAATTTCACCATGGTCCCGACTGAATCCAAATCATACACGACCTTGTCCTCAATGTCGTGTAACAGGGGCTCCTCGTTCTCCCACCTGTGTGATAGCATGACCCAACGGAAGTACTTCTCCACTACTTTTTCGATGGACTCCGTTTGAAGTCGCGGACGCTTTATCGATGAAGACAAAAGCTCTTTGTATTCTGTGCTCGTCTTGAAGGAATTTGTCTGTGTCTGTCGATCACATAAACGCCCAGTGGAAGTGTTGACTAGACGAAGTGGGGTACTGCTGTCCAGGTAAGATTGAACAGTCCTTTTAATAGCATCTTCGACTTCAGTTGGATTGCCATACTGTTGGCGCAGCTCTAGGGAAAGACTTAATTTTCACGTCGATACCAAATATTTAGTACTTACTTTTTATCTGCGGGTCAGATGCGTCCTCCAACTTAAAGAGCATGATTTTGAAGGCCATGACTGCTTCATCATAGCGTTGTGCTTCGTGAAGTGCTGCATGCTTTAATTCGTACCCAATATATGACGAAGGATTGAATTCAATGACCTAAGGATCGACACAATCAGCATAATTGCTTGACACGTCATGGATATCATCCGCACCTTTTCCGCGTCATGAAGAGCTTCCGCATGTAAGTTTAGTCCCAGCTTCGCCCGACTGCGATATGCAAAGAGGGAGTGGTTTGAGGAATCTAGCGCGATCGCTGCCGAATAGAGTTTTACAGCAACCTCATAATTACTCGCAGAAACAGCCTCGTGTGCCTTTTCGATACAGCGTGCGATGCAGTCTTGCTTGAAGGCTAATGGACGCCACTATGAGTGTCAATGATCGGTTGTCTGATACCCTGAAATAATTACCGGTAGACCAATCAAGTAAACTGTCCTTCGCAATATCATCAATCATGCTTATCATGGATTGATGAGATTCGACTGCTTCGATCAGTCGACCGGCGTGGAGGAACGCATCACACCGTCTTTCATTGACAGTTCGCCACAACGACTCCAAGTCCCAGCCGAATAGCTATTCAGCGCACATGATCAATTCGTGGAAGTGACCTCTGCAACTTTGTAAGGACGCACTAATGTGAATATCTTCAATCTAGGTTCCAAATGTGCTGTGTGCAAGAACAATCTGGTTACAGTGGCAATACTGGCCGTGAGTTTATCAGCAGCTTCGTTGTAGCGTCCATCATGGAAGTCGATTATTGCAAGCTGTACACGTAGATATGACTGGGGAGGTTATGTTAAACCGAGAAAATTCGTGAGATTTAATACGAAGCTCACATCAACAACCCTGCAAGGAAGTGTATCTAATTGTTGACAAACGGTGGCAAGGTTTTGAACTCGCCGCATCGCCTCGTCTTGGTGACCAGCATTGAAAAGCGCAACAGCCTGCACAACATGATGAGATTGAATTCTTAGTATGAAAGACTATTGAAGACAGTGCTGAGAGTGACATACCTTGATTAACAGTAAAAGATCGTTGGTCATTGGATCACGATTTGAAAACACGAAAGCGAGATCAAAAGCTTCCATGGCATCCCAAAGCTGCTCGCTGCCGCATAGGGCAATGCCCTTGGAAATGTAGCCCATTAACGAGGGTCGAATGGAAATGGACTATGTCACAAGTTAATCTGTGTTCAGCGAATCGTGATATGCACAGCGCCCTACCTTGACCGCGTCCTGAAGTGCATTATCCCAATCGAAAATTCGTGCCTTCGCAATCGAGCGATTGGCGTAGGAGTCAGAATGGTTTCCGTCGTCATCAATCTCTTGGATCAGTAGCTCTTGAGATGTATGAAAGTATCCTGCATTGCGAGCCGTCGTGTTTATAGCAAGGAACTATGTGTATCATGGTCATATTCCGTGTCAAGTAGACGTATCGAAAGCAAACAGCTCACGTCGAATGAATATCTAGATTTACTGCTAGAGGCTTCGGGAGTTTGTGAATTGATTGTGCTGCTGCCATTGAAAGGCTAAACGTCGAACGATGTGAGTGAATGGACAAGCGGACGGATAGTAACTGGTGAGGACATACCTGGATATCACTGCGAACAAAATCGCTTAAATTTGACAGAGTACTCTGATAAGTTGAGTTAGACTCCACAGACGCACCGAGAGAAAAGGCGGGAATAAATGCTCACAAAAGATCGATCAGGAGGTCGCCTCAGTTGCTCTACCTCATCCTGCGACCTCTTCTCTGCCTCGTGTTGCTTGAGTATGTTCTTCAAGGACCAGAACCAAACCCTCCCTTGATTATCTCCACTGACGAGCCATTTTCCATCCGGAGAAATCGCAACACATAAAAGCCCGGCGGAGTGTTCAATCGCCTGTCCTATGCTTTGGTGGGTCTTTGTGTCCCATAGCCGCACAGTCTTGTCGTCCGAGGCAGCGGCAATGAATGAGCTATCAGGAGAGATGGCGAGCGAGCGTACCCAGTCAGTATGACCGGTGCAAGTTAAACCATTTTGGCCTCCATTGGACGAATTCCAGAACTTGACTGTTCCATATGATGCAGAGACAAGTTGCTGGCCGTCAGACGACCACACAACGCTTCGAACCGGATTTTTGTGAGCGTTAATCTCGAAAAGAATCTCGGCATTAGCAGCCTGCCAAACTCGGATGGTGCAGTCCGATGATCCTGATGCTAATTTTAGGCCATCTGGGCTAAACGCCACGCTCCATACCGAACCACGATGACCGTCCAGCGTTGTGATGACCGTACCAGCATCAGCGTTCCATACAATAACTGTGCAATCTTGCGACCCGCTGGCGAGTCTCTTTCCATCGGGGGAGAAACACACAGACTCTACCCAGTGTGTATGCTTCACCAGCGGTTCAAATACCATCTGCTTGCTTTCGACGTCCCAGATGATGATCCTCTTGTCCCTTCCCCCACTAGCAATTCTCCTGTCGTCCGGGGATACGGCGCCTG